TGGCAAATTTCAAGCTTGAATGGTTGAAAAAGACCCCAGGTTATTTCAGGCACAGAAGGGCCACTGACAATTTTTAAGCTAAACGATGGCTTTGTCACAAGAAAGAATCTCTGGAAATTTATTTACAGTCATTCAGGAGGATTAAAATTATGCATTCTAAAAGGTCAAGAACTTTTGCATTTAATTTTAATTATTTCACTTAGAAAACTCCTGATTAAAATATAGCATGTAATATCAATCTTTAAAACTTCTGATGGTTTACTCTATGAACTTGTTTATAAAATTAACTGGGACGAGTTTAGACTGAATTATGCGAACTCACAACATTGCTTGGTTACCTTAAAGATTTGTAACTTTTCCCCATTTTAAATTTATGTCTGTACAATTGTGAAATGTTTATATTTTATACAAATAGTAGTAATGGTGCTTAAATTCAAATGACTATTGTTTGTAAATAAATGATAACACTGTAAATAAATGATAATACCTTATCATTTCTTTATTTTTTTGTCATTTCAGTAACAAATATGTCCGTCCTGTAACTTTAAAAGAGAGCTTCCCTTACTTTTGCATTTCAAATTCAAGATCTATTTAAGAATAATTCAAAGCTTATTTTCATTTCTGTATGTTGTTAACATTTAATTATTAGTTCAATGATAAAAAATAGTTACAAGTCCTTTAAGTAACATTCATTAGTCCTTGCAGTAACAAGCATGTCCTTGGTGTAACACAGATTGATTTCTAGTTCTGCAATATAGCAACATAGTAAAAGTTTATTTTTACATTCAGATTGATAAAACTTACTCTATTCATAAAAATAGAACAAGAAAAAATGATATTCTTACGTGCGTGCGAAACATACTGACATTGTTTTACTCAATTTCCTGTTTTGTTTACGGTTGAAGACGAAAAAAAGTCTTTTGTAGAGAAAACATATACATCTATAAAACAAAATCCCATTTCAGACTTAAACTGAAATTTATATAAAGTTGTGTTGTTTGTTTTGCTTTGTTGTTTAGATATTATTATTTTATTAAAAATGTAAAAAACGTTATCGTTACTGCAAAGACAAAGAATGGTCAATATTGGCCTTCTGACAATCATAAACGATATAAAATGGACGAGTTTATGTTGCACTTTGTAAAACTAGCTTTCAAATTCATATGCTTACTAGATGAGATAAAACTTTGCAGCTAAATAAGGTATTCATATTTGAATAATCAGAACCCTAATTCGGGCGAAATTTGAAATTAGCTCTTGTACAGATATATCATATCCACGAGAGTCTGTTTTGGACTGTGGTTGAGACGGGTATCAGGCATTTTAGGAATCTACATAAGCTCACAAGAAATAATTCAAAACAAACCCTTAAATAAGACAAAACATTTCAATTTTTATGTACATCTTAAAAAAAGCAAAATTGGTTTTAAAACGTTTACCCAACTTAGATCTATGTAAAAAGCAAAACAATCTGATTGACTATATTACAAAACTGTAGGTTAAACATGTTCATTACGTGAATATCTAAACTTGCATATACCGATAAAAGGTCATCTCTCTATATGATACATATCATTATTTGTTCAGTCCATCTATGATCGCCTTAACCAACGACTTATTGTAGTCCTGAAGAGCAAATTATATATACAATGTACATTCATTTTAAATGTTTTAAGTAAACTAGAAATGTTTTCAAAAGGACCCGGATGTCCCCATATTCCGCTCTTGTCAGTCGGACTGTCTACGGACGAACATTCAAGTGCAAATGTACATGTCCCTTATCCATCCAACCCCATCCCGTTAAGTCGGGGCAAACAAAGGCAATAAAGATCATATGAACAGAGAGATGTTGGAGAAAGGCCGTGCACGCCATTTCTTACAAGATTTTAGACACAAGTGGGCACCATCGTAGAACCACTACCAACCTTCCATGGTTAAACTACATGTAGATAGCTTTGAACATCACATGAGAGAATCAAGTGTTCAATGATTCCAATCAATCAACCATCTCAATTCATTTTTTGACCATGCAATGATTATTTCACCTGATAAGGACTATGTCCATAATTTCGGTTAGATGTAGCGACGATTTTCAACAAACTTGTCTTCTACATAATTTACATTAAAAACAAGAAACATACATGCATCAGTTATCAAATAAGTTCAGGAATAGGTGATTACTCCAGAAAAGTTACCTTTATAGTATAACGTTACTTGGCCGTGTCATAAATTTGAGTAAAATTGAAAAGTGGCTACTATTCTTTTAAAGACGAATTGCTAAATAAAGGCCAACCAAACCTTAACTTAAGTGCATTAGGAGAGATAACGAGTCAACATGGATGTAACAAAGTTATGCTAACTGATTTAAAACTTATACTAAGTTGATTAAATCAGTTAATCACGTCGGTTTTCAATGTGCTTAAAGGACCAGGATCTCTAATAGTATGTGTATACATGTATAGGAGAACAAGACATGTCCGCAGACAACACTTGCAGGATAGTTAAATAAAAGCAACATAAAGAAAATGGGCATTATTCTGTAATAAAATGCTTGGCAGACTTACCTGCCCTTTATAGTCAAAGTATGAAGTGTATACCAGGAACGTTTTCAAGGAAATGTAAAAAATTTATATTATTAAGCAGAAATAGCTTTCAGGATTATCTGCCCATTAAATGATTTTTTTATAATTATGTCATTTATAATATCGAAACATTATGCTAGGATATGACTGTGTTAGTAAACTTCACGCGTCAGTCATATTGTGAACATATTGCGCCGGAAGAACCGCTTATATCACAATTCTTATGTTATTTTGTTGTGATTAATGCTTCCGAGGGATCACTTTGTTTCCAGAATTTTGTACTTCACAACAGCAGGTGTCAAGTGCCGTGTGGCAGCCGTAAAAAGTTGCCCCGTACTTCACTTCAGTGTTGTTATATTTTCTGGTCCTTCGGGATCATTGATGCCAACACTATAAAGTGTTGAGAATTGAGTACCGCTCAAGCCGGTGCTAGGGGGCGTGAGGGATGTTGCACTTATTCATTATCCCTCATGTACAGACTCAATCAAACCGAGTCTGCAATTCTTATGTTATTTTGTTGTGATTAATGCTTCCGAGGGATCACTTTGTTTCCAGAATTTTGTACTTCACAACAGCAGGTGTCAAGTGCCGTGTGGCAGCCGTAAAAAGTTGCCCCGTACTTCACTTCAGTGTTGTTATATTTTTCTGGTCCTTCGGGATCATTGATGCCAACACTATAAAGTGTTGAGAATTGAGTACCGCTCAAGCCGGTGCTAGGGGGCGTGAGGGATGTTGCACTTATTCATTATCCCTCATGTACAGACTCAATCAAACCGAGTCTGCAATTCTTATGTTATTTTGTTGTGATTAATGCTTCCGAGGGATCACTTTGTTTCCAGAATTTTTTAGAACAAGAACGTGTTTGGTAATTTAAACACAAATGCCCCCAGCTTAGATGCTTGTCAGTGACAAAAGTCCTTCTTAATATACGACATTAGTAAAACAAAGGTGTATAGGAAAAAGCGTAAAAAATCTATTGTTAGCATAGGTGACCTAGACCTTGTGACTCCCAACACTGGACCATTCAACGCATGTTCCTTCCAAATATATCAAATATCAATAAAGAAAGGCTGTATATGCAAATGTATAGAAATCTATTTTTTTGGCACCCTTGACATTGACCCACTGACCGCTTACTCGATCAAAAGGAATATTACAATGCAAGTTACTTTCCTACCAAATCTGAAAAACACCAGCCGTGTAAAGAATGTGTAGAAATCTATAATTTGCACTCTTGACCTTGACAAAGAAAACCACGCAAGTTGTCTTTCTATCCAAATTTGAAAGACATCTGTCACGAACGGGCAGACGGACTACCAGGCATAACAATTTAAGCCGAAATTCTTAAATTCTATAAAAACGTATTCGACTGCTCGAAATATGTACTTAAAGCTACATTGAATAAATATGTAAAAATATTTTGCCGTCGGCCTAAAAATCAAACATTCTACAGTTTCATTAACCAGTTTAACAGTATTGTTGTAAATCTCATCAAATATTGTTTATAAATTAGGATTTTAAACGGAAAACCCCATGGTAACACTAAAGTTCGTATACGAATTTTAACATGCAAATGAAGACTATTATCAGCTCGTGTATGCGCTACGTCACAGTTTTATAGTTGCTATCCGGAACACAGCAAATATGATATTTTCTTGTGCAAGCACACTTTAACCGTTTTAGCTTCACGGTGCACTAAGCCTGGGATTCAGTGAAAGTAATCATCTCGTAAAAAGATTAAATTTGTATGAAAACATCCGTTACAATGCGGAAATATACCGTTAAAATTAGGACTGCTACTTATAGTCATGTTTGTTGGTTTAATATTGATGTACGGATGATCCGAAGAAGGAGTTTCTCATGCAAACAGAAATTGTACTTCCCATTTCGCCACAATGAGGTTACCCATTTATATGCTAATAAAACTCATTTTGGTTGTCTCGACACCAAAATAAGACCTGGAGTTGATATAAAACCCAATTTATTAATGAAATGTCGCTATATAGTTTTTAATGAAATTTATTAAATATAGCTTTAACTACTTTGATTCTAAACAAGGTTCGTATGTATCGACATTAATATTTGCATGATATCTGCGGGCTTTTTAATACTTACATTAGAGAATCTCTCGATGAATCGTTCAAAAATATCAACATTTCGTCCTTTAGAAGCATCTCTACTACTTCCATCCATAAGTCGTTCTTCAGGAGCTTTCCCGCTAACACGTGTATCCATAAGTCGTTCTTCGGGAGCTTCTCCGCTAGCACGTGTATCCATAAGTCGTTCTTCTGGAGCTTCCCCGCTAACACGTGTATCCATAAGTCGTTTCTTCGGGAGCTTACCCGCTAGCACGTGTATCCATAAGTCGTTCTTCTGGAGCTTCCACGCTAAAGACGTGTATCCATAAAGTCGTTCTTCTGGAGCTTCCCCGCTAACACGTGTATCCATAAGTCGTTCTTCGGGAGCTTACCCGCTAGCACGTGTATCCATAAGTCGTTCTTCTGGAGCTTCCACGCTAAGACGTGTATCCATAAGTCGTTCTTCTGGAGCTTCCCCGCTAACACGTGTATCCATAAGTCGTTCTTCTGGAGCTTTCCCGCTAGCACGTGTATCCATAAGTCGTTCTTCTGGAGCTTCCCCGCTAGCACGTGTATCCATAAGTCGTTCTTCTGGAGCTTCCCCGCTAACACGTGTATCCATAAGTCGTTCTTCGGGAGCTTCCCCGCTAACACGTGTATCCATAAGTCGTTCTTCTGGAGCTTACCCGCTAACACGTGTATCCATAAGTCGTTCTTCTGGAGCTTCCCCGCTAACACGTGTATCCATAAGTCGTTCTTCGGGAGCTTCCCCGCTAGCACGTGTATCCATAAGACGTTCTTCAGTAGCATCTCCACTTCGAAGTTTAAAAGCATTTCCGCTTTTTATGAGTGTTTTTACAAAGTTCTCGATGGATCTTAACGTCTTGTCGTTACCTGTATTGTATTGATTGTTTCCCTTGGGATAGTCTCTTTGCAAGAAATCTCTGATCTGGATGTCCTGAAGTAGAAAAAAGTCGTATAAATTGTCAGTTACCATGTGAATATTTTATCGAAGGCCCAATGTTCATAAATATTTACAGCTTTTTTTTTTAATAAACGTGATTTAATTAAGCTTGATTTTCATTTTCGCGCCACTGCTACTAAGTAATGGGGTCTTCGCCTAAAGTAGCAACAAACGTAGTTCATATAAAAACAAGAATGTGATTGTAAAGATTCTTGTCAGTAACAAATTTTCAAAAAAAGATTTACCAACTGACTAAGTTATGGATAGAAAAATTGCCATAAAAGTGTAAACGCAGTATAACTTTTTGTTTTGTGAAAAATATAAGTTGACTGTCATTGCTGTTTGATGGGGTTGAAAAATATTCAACTTACCAGTCTTTTATATATATATATATATATAAATGTAAGACCAGCGTCTCTAAACTCCATCCAAAGGACCACCTGAGGTATGTTTATTCTAAATATGAATATTGGTAAAACCAATCAATAAAAAAGGAATATGATGAATTTTTATCATGTGATTACATGTAATTCCTTACATAAGTTTATCCTTACAGTTTTTTTAAAGGACCAAAAAAATGCATTCTAAGAGTTCAGAGATATTTGATGTAAAATCAGTTCCTTTCTTGTTGATGTTGAGTTTATTAACATTCTTAAAATATGGCTAAAATTGTAAATTTCCTTTTAAAAATGCCCCGTTGAAGTAGCAAAGGTCATAACTCAAAAAGCAAATATTTGATATTTGATGAACGCCATTAACCTTGACTATTATATACATTTTTGCTTACCACTTGTGAAATTTGGCTTATTAGGACAATTTCCTTAAAAAATGTTTTTAAGTATCAAGTGGACAAAACTAAAAATAAAACCCTGAATGAATATTTATGAAACTTCAAGTGATCCTCATTCAAATACATTCCTGCAAAATTTCAAGAATATGCCAAAAGCAAACTGTTTCTAAGATAAGGCTTCGAAGGGACGGGCTGGTTGACGGACTGACAACGCTAGTTTAATAAATGATCTACAATTGTTACAAAACTGAATTCAAAAACAACTATAAGATAATCACAAGTTCCCGTCGTCCCCAATGTGGCAACGCCTCGGTGGGAAAAAGTGTCATGCCAAAAACAAGAAGTACAATGGTCTTCATCTGAAATGGAAAATACGTGAAAATCATATTCACTAAAACATTTTACACACTACAATAATCATCTCCTAGTTTAATAGAAGATGCGGGATGTAAATTGATCGGTAAAAGAATGCCACATTGTTTGTGAAAAGCACCAAAGTGGGGTTGGGGATTCGTGCGTGTATATGTTTGTTTCCATTCGAAACAATGTCAATTACCATGTTACGGCTGAAAAATTACTATTTCTACAGACTGTGCAAAAATACAACCTATCTATAAAAAATATAAACTGATGAATAATTAGAACTATTGCTTTCTGTAACTTATGGTGTTTATGTACTTTTTAAGCGGCATGGTTAGTATACTAACTGACTAACGGTTCTGTTGAAAGAAAGCATGAACATCCTAAACAGTTTGTTGTGAAAATGTTGATGATCAGTTCACGTGATTATTTAACTACATTACTGGTTAATTGGTATGACGTGCACGTGCGGACATTTCTTGTACGTTGACATGGCATTCTTAACGACCAAAATCACGGAAAAAGTGGTTACGAATAAGTTAACATGCAAGAACCGGACTGGCTAACGAAAACGACACTGCCCACTCCATGCTACCATAGCAAAGGATAGTTTTTAAAAAAATAATTTAATATTTTCTAGATATAAGCTCAACATCCCATTTTATAAAACTATTACCATGATAAAATTATTCACTTACCTTGACGACGACTGTTGTTGAATTGAAGAAGGTGTCTAACTTTTATCGTCTTTAATAGTACAAGCTGTTTAGTAAATATTACATAAATATAAAGCTGTCAGCAATTTAGTCAATACAATTTAAAATATCATTAGAAAGAATTTATCAAGTATTTATGTAAGCAATCACGTTTTTAATACAGAATCAATTAAACTTGTCTACCCACGTGTTTTTATTTATATGACGTCAACTTCACTTGTACACCAATTTTGACCTGCAACTTCATTTACTTTAAATTTCGTAAAAGTCATTGGATAAACCACTGGTATCCAACGAAAATATAGATATATCTGTTAATTGACACGTTAGTCAGGTGTGGTATATTAGTATAGATGATTGACTACCGACCTGAAGGTCTTTGGCTCGATTCCTAACTAATACCACATTGAAAAGATGAGCCTTTTTTTAATTTACTTGTAAGAACTAATTTGAAATCGTTTTACTACATCTGATTTTAGGATATCTTTTAAATATTGCTTTATTATACATTTACAAATGTATATATTTTATATATAATGCAAACAATGAATTGATAAGTCGAATTCACTGGCAGTGTCAGTAGTACTGTTTATACTGGCGGTTTCCGTGTCACTGTTCGAGTCGTTATTACTAGATGTATCATGAAGAATTATAACAAATTTCTCTGTGGCATTTTGAAATTAAAATAAAATTGGCTGAACTAGGACTCGAACTGAGTTTACGTTTACATAGACTTTTACTGACTGTTACATACATTCATATCGATTTATAAGTAGATCATAACGTTTACGGAATTTACCGACTACTAGGTCAACTGCAAGAGTGCCAGGTCAATATTGTTGGATCGGTGGGATTCATGATTGTAATAAAATATAACTTTTTTCTAAGCATTTAACCTTATTTGGCCCAGCTGAAATGCAGCCTATAGAATGTTGTTTACAATACATCGGAACACATTTTATCTATTTGTTACAAACGAACGTATTGCGCAGCGATACTCCTTTAAGAGAGGTGAAATCATGCGATACGGACTAATGGCCGACGAAAGCAAAAACGAAAGTGGGTATGAGTATGTTTTTTTTTCAAATATCTGTTGTCTATTGTAATTTCTTGAAGAATAGCATTGTGCATGCTTATCAGAACTTATAATTGTGTATGATCGTCAAAATAAAATACTAAATTTTATAGAATTGAGGAAGTTTTTGAGGTATTTGTTGCCTCAAATTTAACCATCAACCTGATATGCACATGCAAACGAATAAATGTATCAGTAGTTTTAAAACGAGATATGTGATTACATTAAGCACCAACGTGTTTATTTTTTTTATTACAAAACGATTATGCAAGAGTAGTTTTAAAAATCTATACAAAAATATATACAATATTTCCAGTTTTCTTTTTGTACGCCTTCTATTTTGGTCCGATAAACCACCTGTTGGCACACATTTTGGTGTGTTTTTCTGTTGCGACGGGGACTTCCTTATTATTCAAAATTGATGAAATATCAAGTTTTGTGTTTGTATGTTAACCATATGTAAATCACAGTGTCAATTAAAACAACAGTGTCAATTAATGTAATATACCATGATATAGTTTATTAAAATATTATTGCCTTATAAAGGTTAAACATTAAAATTAGATAAGTTATTGCACAGAAACTTGAAATTCTATCAAATAACCAATAGTGACGATAATATTCGTTTTGTTTTTAATAATATGTTTTTCTATTATAAAATTTTAATTACATATTTATGTTGATGTGATGGCGATGCTACAAGTTTTTATTACGTTGACATTTTTATAAAGTCTCAAATGAGTTTACTTCTTATGTCGTGGCGTCTTTAGACACTGAAAAGAAAAAATGAGTAAATGTAATGATGTGTAAAAAAAAACATTTAAGATAGGTAAAGAAAGATGAAAGTTAATTACGATAAATATACCGTATTCCTAGAATACTTTTCTTAAGGATGACGTTTTCGCGGCAATCATAGTGACCGTGAATTTCGCGAATATTAAGTCGCTGGGGTAAAGAGAATATAGATTACTACTATCACAATTAATTAGGTCTATGTTCACTCTATACATGCAAGACAAGACAGTACTAGTATCAGTTAAGTATAAGTTATTCATCATAGTACTTCTTAATGACATGATGATAATCTAGATAATCTAAAGTACAAATGTTCGCGGATTTGTTACATGCAACTTATTCGCGGATACAAACATTCACGGAAATGTATTCAACGCGAAAAAGCGCGAAATATTTTCTAGGAATACAGTATTGCCCAATCAATATCAAGAGCAAAATCAAATGTCAAACATATCATAGATGGACGAAAGTGGAAAATAATCTACCAAATTAAATTGCATAGACTCTTAAGTAATAAATTAGACTACAGAAAACAACTGAACTATCAAAAGTAAAATAATTCACAAACAAGATACAGTACAAAACAAACTCTTGTAGTTGAAATGGGCGACATTTTTTTGGAATGAAAATACAAAAGCTATGAACGTTGTTAAAAATTAAGAGATGACATCCACGATCTTAGAGTAAAAGTTACATTTTCTAACTTTTAATTATCACAGATATCTAATAATTTAGTTCAAATAGTAACACTTATATAGATGGGGATGCGAAACTTTTATTTGAACACATATATGGTAGATATCTTAGTATATCATAGGAAAACCTGTACAACAGATGAGATAATGAAGCAATATCGAACCTTGAGCATCGTACAGTTATTTTATAGCACCAAAACCCATCGTACACTTAAATAGTTTGACCAGTAAGCGTCTATGTATATCGGAGCACAATGCAACTCAATTATGATTACCTTATAGAATAAAGAAGAAAAAGAAATTAACTATATTAATATTAGCTTGCTCACCGACACAAAATCAAAATATGTGTCTGTCCTATCTTCACATCTTCAATACAAAATATGCAATTGGAATCGGAGATTTATGAAATAATTAATAAAAAAACACTCACTCTGACGCGTGTTTACACGAATAAATCCGTCATTAATCGGCCGTATCGCATGATTTCACCTCGCTTAAAGGAGTATCGCACCGCTATACGTTTGGTCCCCTGATGCGGTGATCCGTTTGGACAATCGTGATTTTTATTTAGTCTGTACCCGCGATGCACGATGGTACGATGGTGAAAATGCGATGGCACGATGGTGAAAACACGATGGTATGATGATGAAAACGCGATGACACGATGGTGAAATCGCGATGGCGCGATAGCACAATGGTGAAAACGCAATGTTATCGTACCATCGCGTTTTCACCATCGTCCCATCGCACCATCGTGTTTTCATCATCGTACAATCGCTTGTTCACCATCGTGCCATCGCGTTCTCACAATCGCACCATCGCGTTTTCACCATCGTACCATCGCGTTTTCACCATCGTACCATCGCGCTTTCACCATCGTACCATCGCGTTTTCACCATCGTACTATCGTGCATCGCGGGTAAGGACGAAATAAAAAATCTAGATTGTCCAAACGAAACACCATAGTTACATCATTAAATTTATAGACAGCAATGGTAAGTCTGGAGTGCACATTATTTACATCGTGTATCGCTGAAGTTCTGCACGTGAATGTTTTTTGTTATATCAACATTAGCTCTTCTCCGTATAATTTGTTCTCCATAATTTTTCTACTGCCTGTCCTGAATACATGCTCAATCTGAGACCTTCGGTGTTCCAGTAATCTTTTTTGTTCCAATGATATAATACGAAGAAATATGATCGATAACATAGATCTTCCAAATGTAAAATTTATAACGACATGGACAGAAAATAATGATATCATTATGAAAGAGCAAAATGGTCACTGAAAAATTGGTATACTGATAAGCGCTGTAAAGTCAACAGCGCCTTACGCAAGAGTAGCTATCTTTCAATATTTTTTTAAAATGATTTTGCTAATGTCGAAACCCATATAAAGTCTTGTTGAAAGATCTGTACATTAAAAAAAGGTCTTTGTAGATGTATAGCAAGTAAAACGAGAAATTTCTGGATATTAAGTCAAACGAAAACAAAATAGTAAGTTTCACGCATGGTTTCTAATGTTTACATATGCATTGAAAGGAAATAAATGTGTATTTGTAAAGACTTAAAATAAGCCCTGTAGTTCATGATCAAATATTTTGCTTTTGTTTCGAAATAACGAATGCTAAATCAGTTGTTTTCATAGCATATATAATTATCGGTACATAATTTAGGACGAAATTGTATGGAAACCAAGTGTATAATTGAGCCGCGTCACGGCAAAACCAACATAGTGGGTTTGCGACCAGCATGGATCCAGACCAGCCTGCGCATCCGCGCAGTCTGATCAGGATCCATGCTGTTCGCTTACCAACCCTATTACAAGTAGAGAAACTGTATCCATGCTGGTCGCAAACCCATTATGTTGGTTTTGTCGTGACGCGGCTCATATTAGCAGTTGAGTATGATATGCATCAATTAGTATATGTGTCTAAAGTATGCTGCTTGAAGAAATGATGAAAGAAATTTAAACTTGCACTTTGCAAAGCGTAATAAAAGATGACAAAATTAGTTCTGCAATAAAAAAAGTCTCTAGGTTTATTTAGATATACAACTGCCTTTTTCTTGATGGAATTAATATAATATATTATTATATGATATGATATGATATGATACCGGTATATGTGATTTGTCAGATTTAATATTCCGTGTACATGTTTACTTTTGATAGAACAATAATCTCAGAACAAAATACCAATACATAAACTGTCGATTGTTACTGTTTTTAAAATGATTTTGGTGTTTGTTCCTAGTTGTATTGTTGTCATTATTAAAATATACTGTGCGTCTATATTTTTTTTTCTTTTTTAAAAAATTCAAAACTGACTTTTTCTTTCTCATCTAAATAAAAAAAATTATGATAATTTACAAAATACATTTTAATAACAAGAACGTATCTTTAAAAACAGATACTCGGCCAAAGTAAAACTGGTTAACTTGCATATGTTAGTTCTTAGTTTTCCATGCAAAGTCATATAGAAATGTTAGCATAGCTTGCATGACAATGGCATAATAATATCTTGTAGGGTGAGATGTACGTCTTTCTAAACGAACCTGTCGTGTTCACGAGTCACCGCCTTCGACTTTTTAGGGCGCCAACATGAAGACACCAAACAATTTAGGCGAAATACGCAAACACGCGAGATCTGCTTCTGTAGAATTACCGTGTCGGCGGGTAAAAATTTTCGTATCGGCGCATCATATATGTCGTGTCTTCGCCATAAAAGGCGGAAGACAAAGACATGATAATTGGCCAATTTATCGAGTCTTAGACTTTCGGGTCAGCAGGTGAAACAACTTTCAAATATGTATTCCACTGACAGAATTCTCGGCTGTTCAAGTTTTTTTTTCTTGCAGCCCATCACATTACCTTTTTACTACAAATAGAATATAAGTCGAACATAGAAATTAAATACTTCGGCAAAATGCCCCAGTTTAACCGTTCATATTCTTAAAAAAGGTGTGAAATATAGCATCTAATTTTTAATGCATATAAAACGTTTTTGAAACGTTCATGTTTTGCAAAATTAAGATAATTCTGGCATATACATATAATGAAAAGTAGAAAAGTCTTTAAACCATTTTTTTCCAGAAATTATATATGAACTTTTTAAAAATCTCAAATAAAATGACAACGTTTTCATTACGGAACCGTCTTGTTAATCTTAATGTTAAAAAAACACTGTTGAGATCGTTATACTCAATTTTTGTTACCTTTTTAAAATAAGTTTTAAAATGTTTAATTTAAATTAAAAAATAACCAAATTAAGACCTTCATTCTTCTAAATAGAGGAAAAATACTTAATACAATTTGTAAACTAAATCAGAAATTTTACTAAATAATGATAAAAACCTAATAACAACTTTGTAAATATTTATAGGAAGTTTCAATAGCTTAATTAGAGGAAATTATTAGGAGTTGAGAAATATAATCTTATTATTAGTAGAAACCTTAAAACACTAAATATAGAATTGAAAACTTATTTAAGCTTTAAACTTTCTAATAAGGTTTTTATACCAAAAACAAATAATTGTCCAAATAATAAGTGTACTTACATGTATGTTTACAAGTATTTTTAAATTCAAAGGCCGGATACATTCGATCGGTATCCCAAGCACTTTGGGTGAAAACGATATCCAATTTCGTAATCTAGGGGCTCAGCCGTACATTTTGGGATATGAAACCCCTTAATTATTTCATGACCGGGGTTCAGTTTATTAAATTTGCAGCACTTAATTAATATGACTAATAGGCAGTTCCATGGAGCTAAATATATATCTGTGGCAGTTCCTATAATTATAATTGGATTTTGGAAAAAACGGAGAATTTTCAGCACTTCAATATATCTACATATTACATCTGCATTGGGTCCCAAATTAGGAATTTGATGATTTTCCAGAGAATATAATTTGGTGGTGTGAAATCTAAAACGAAATTATTTGGTAGTGTTTAACCTGATTAGAAGTCATGTGACAGTTTATTGAGACAAAATGGCGGACGAACCACCACCGCCTCCTCCAGAGGTAACCGAAACTGGCTCGTCTTCTCAGACGCAGGTAAATTTAACCGGAGTCTATATGTTTGGGAATTAATAATACAAGTTACTTGTTGTAAATCATCAACGAGAAGTTTATAGGTATTCTTGACCACATTGGTGTTGAAGATGGAACTGTTGAAGAACAGTTATACTGGTGCCTCATATTTCCGTGGTACATAACAGTCTAGTTTAACACTTATGCTCTAATTCGTTACACTCAAACGAGCATAAATCATTTACATTCTTTAATAATACCAGAGACGTTATCTATGTCTCTGATAATACACCTTTCAAATAATAAACAACACAACACAGAGTTAAAAGAGGCTAGAGGGAGTAGGCTATTTATAAGCCGCATATACAAACAGAATAATAATTCACAGTGAATCAAAACAGAATTAAATGAATATGCCTCATCGATTTTAAAAGTCCGTGGATATTATTTATTTTGCATATTAAGGCACATTTTTACTTTGCTCAGAGCTGTACATAATCCTGAAAAAGAAAACAATTGTTAGAAACATTTACAAAACTTTCTGTATAATAAAGTCGAAAAAATTTCAATATTTTCGGAAATTTCACATCTAAACGGCTTGACAAATAAACCTTGAATGCCCACTTTACTAATTACAAGAAACTTGTGCACTATTGCCGCCAAAAACATGACTTCCGATTACTTCCTTATAAGGAAATACTAAGTTACGATGTATGATTCCGAAAATAAATACATAGATAACAAAAGTTAGAAGGATAAAATTCTGGAAAATATGTTAAATAATGTAGGAAAGACATGTCAATTACATCATAGTTTATACGTTTTAATGTTTGCATGTAAGCAATTATATTCACAACATGGCAATTAACACCCATCTGCTGCCTTGTAAGTAACGTTGTGTTCTCATATTTCCAAGGCAATTGAATAACATTTTAACAGTTTCAAAAGCACATCTATACCTAGCCTTGTCTGAAAGTGGGGATTTTCTCTATGGCATTTATCAAATATCTCAATGGTTGTTTAAATTAACAGACAATTGTCTTAAAAGGCATAAAAACTAAAAGTAAAATAGTGAAATAATTTACTTTGCTCTTAATCTGAATTCTCAGTTGTATACATGTTACATTTTAATAAAAATACAATAAGAAAGTGAAAGTAAAACTCCTGGCAGGTGCATGAAGTCTATGAGGCACTTGAGACTGTTTATGCCTATTACCTTGGACATATGGGTAACACGGAATTATGAGGCACCAGTATACTCAAGTCTCAGCGGCAATCTCCTGGATTATACCCCTCTGTATATTTCAGAAGTAAAACTTGTATATTGATACACTAAAGAAAACAGAATAAACCTTATATATACTCCTGGTTTAGACCCCGGGGTCTATTCCAGGATATAGGATAAAGCTGTCTCAGCTTACAGCTGACTTCATTAGGTGATTTGTCTTTAATTCTTTTTATTTTGGAGCAGGAATGCAGGATGACCACTTCAAGGAATAAAAACTTTATATTGAATTCAGTAAAAATAATAATAAAAAATTGTTTAACTTGTGTACCTTATCTTAATTTCATGGTTAGTGTAATACTTGCCAAGGAACAAGCTTACAATTTTAAGGAAAGTTTGTATGAATTTATGTTAAGGATCTAGTAGTCATTTGAATGTTAATACTGACATTCGTAAGAATTTCTTTGTTGATAGGGTTGTTTATGACTGGAATAAACTGCCTGATCAAACAATATCTTGCCAATGTAGTGTTTTGTGTAAGAAAAAACTGAAAGGCACTTATTTGCAATCCTCATGCACTCTATAGTCAAAATAACTTGACATCTCTTGACGTCTTGTCTTGAGTTAGACATGTCTACGTCCCCGCGAGGGGTTTGACATTAGTAAACGAAAGATAGATAGTGAGAGTCTATGATACATTTTACTTACGGTCAGAATAAGAGATGGAGTTTCGGCCCATTGATACAATATCTCAATTGGCGAATACAGTCTTGCTGTAAACCTACCTTATTTGTGTAGAAATCTTGGATGTGACAAGCAATTGGAGAACAGTGACATATTATCTTTTCATCCAATCAGATGCACATGTTGTCATTTGTTTAATTAATTGTTTTGAAAGGGAATCTTTTGTTAGTAAAGAGTCAAAATGATAATTGTTTCTATATATAAACCATCTGGCATAATATTTATAACCATCCTGGCATATTTATAGAGTCCAACCAAACCCAACAAACAAATAGAAAAAGTCATTAAATCATTATAGTAATGGTAAATATTTTGAAACTTTCAGTCTGACAGATCATGGGAGAGAGCATGGAGTCTTGATGAAATGAGAAAAGGGGCCAGTAATTGGTCCCTGGCTGGTGATTCAGGGGTAAGTGCACAACTTAATCAATTATCTAGGTTAACTAGTTTCTCATATTTTAATAGAATTTTTTTATTTGGACTGCTGTAAGAAACATGATTTTGAAATAATTTACAAAAGACTTTCAGTTAAATTTAACAATTATAAAAGTATGATAAACAGGATACATGTATATGACTGTAAATATTATAAATGTTATTCTAGTTTTCTTTAAAGATGTTTTTATAAATTATATACTTGTACATTCAAGTACTTTAACTTGAAAGAAAATTTAGTTGAAATACACTTTTACAATTTCTCAAACTCAACGATAGTGTTTACAATGCATATCTCTGTGATTTTGGGTGGATTAGGGAGATTGCTTAAAGGGTGATGATGGTGGAAGCACAAAAAGTGTACATTCCATGGGAGCTGTATTATAGATAGAGATTGACCAAGGGATTCTTGGATTTGTTCTCAGACTTTGTTACCATAGTTACCACTTTATATCATTAGAGATACAAGAGCTTGGTAATTGACAAGTTGTTTGTTTTTTCTCACCCATTTTAACAGTTGCTGCTATACCTGCAAGAGTTTTCACAGAAGTTGATCTCGAGAACTCATGAAATTGAGAAAGAAGTTGAAAATCTAGTACATGATTCCAAGGTAACTGAATCTAGTATGTCAGAATACAGGTTTTTTGCCCATTTTGATGACTGTTTAGCTAGCTTCTAAAAGGTCATATTTAAAATGTTTACTTTTTAGAATAGTTTACAGTTGTGCACCACAGTCAGTCATGGAAAGTCATCATATTTTATGGTATTGTTAAAGAATTCAAGAATTGAAAACAATATATTTTATGCCTGTAGTTTACAAAATTTTTGTTTGAATTTAGAAATAGAATACATTGTAATATGAAATATCTGTATGAAACTTTCAAAGAAAAATATGATTGTATACTTCCTTAAGAGCGAATGGCTCATGCAAAATAGTTTAAACTTTACCTAAGACAAACATGAACAATTGTGATCATGAAAAACTGAAGCATATATTTGGGTTTTATAAAATAAATTACTTTGATATGTATTTCAGATGGCTGGGGTCCGTGTGAATAATGTTTTCAACGACTTCATGATGTTAGCAAACACACAATTTGTAGAAAATGTGAGTTACCAATCAAAAGCAGATTTTGTTTTTTTTGTTTGTTTTTCCAGATATATAATAATCTACATGAAAGAAATTATCGTAACTAATCAAATGTAATTTACATGTATCTGTGAAATAATTTGCTCATAAATAGAGGTTTTTTGGTTTTAACATTATGTAGTTTCAAAACTAATCTCACTGTGTAGGACAAGAGTTGTTGCCATTATGTGATTAAAACTTTCTTATATATATGAGAAAGTTTTAATCACATAATGGCAACAATATATAAAATAGTAACTCCATATAAAAAAACAACTTTGAATTTCAGGTAAATGATTACTTCAAAGTAAATTTTGACACAAATTACTGCCAGTGGCTATTCTTTTGAAGATGCAATGTTTGTTGACAGTTAATTCACAGCCCGATGATGGCAGCTGGTGCTAATCATGTGATCAGTGCAGACCAATATCAGTTGACACATCTATGCCATTTAATCATAGTCTGCACTGTTCAGTTGTCACGTTTCTTTTGAAATTTTTCGAAAAATGATGACTGGTATTGTCCAGAATGAAAGATTCAGATATTTTAGTGGGGTAATCCATGGTTTAATCATTTGATCAATGATCAGAAATAAGCTGTGTAATACCATACTGTTCTGTGTTATATGAGAAACTTGTAGTTATATGAACTGAACCTTGGTCCTTTAATTACATTAAACTTTCTAATGGTACATGTACATGTATACTATTACATCTTTTATCCCTCAACCTTATCATGCAAGGAGTTCTAAATATTCAGCAGATGTTGATAGTTACGTAGAAATATGTATATTGTCAATTGACCCTTTCATGTTTCAGTAAGGTGTATTTTACTTAAGAGATGAAGTTAAAGATGATCATTGTTTGTAAAAAGTCATCATTTGATGATTTATTTTTACCATTGTAGCGTGTCTATGATGAAGATGTGAGCCAGGAAGAGACCCCCCAGGAGGAAAAGAAACAAGAAAACCAGGTGAAAGTTTTGTTTTGTTTTGTTCCATGTATTCTTTTTCAAAAATCATTCTTATTTCTTCAAATTTACTTTTTTATATGTCTAAAGTATTGGTATGGTATTGTCCCTAAATCTGCTCTATCAAAGAACAGGTAGGAGGCCAACAATAAACTTCTATAACAATAGAATAAAGGGCCTTTGGGCCTCTATTGAACAAAAGAAAATAAGAAACTTTGAGAATATTGAACATGTCAGTTATTAATTGACAGCCTGGACTTAAGGTCTAACCATGGACATGCCAGTTATGCTTTTACCATTTTAAGCTATATAAGTAATATTGGTATTGTGTTTTGCCTATGTGTTGTTTTTGTACAGTAATATATGTTTAACATTTTATGTGTGTATTTTGAAAATTACATTGTTATAACCATGTGAAAAGAAGGAAAAAGTCACTGTTATTTTGTGTAATATTTTATTCAGGAAAAGACTCGAGAACAAAGAGAAGCTGAGTTGATACCAAAAGTCAGTGAGGCAATAAGACTAGGTGTTGAGGTTATTGAAAAAGCTTTTGAAAAGCTGGATACTAACATTGACAACTCGGATTCTGAAGAAGATGAGTCCTATCATGTTGATCCAATACTTGAAGCCAAGGTGACCTTTATTTTTTCATGTATCAAGTCAAAATAGTTTTTCAATTTGTCATGATTGTTTTCAATTTTATATCCTATTTCACATGTTTAATGCTTATGGAAATTATATAAATAGAATGTGTCCCAAAAGTTCAATTGATAAAATGAGTTGTACAGGTATTTTTAGGCAGATTTTGTATTTTATCCTAAACATTTGTCATTACCAATTTTTGGCCATTACACAAAAGAAAAGTATAGCTTTATTTAGTGAAAAAAATGAGGATAATGTCATTTTAAGTTTTATAATTTTAAAGTTTATATATTTGTATTTTAGAATTTGTTTACAGAAAGATATGTGTTGTATAAATATTTAGATTTGAATTGTTTCTAGGATCCGTATTTTGATAGAACATTACCATATCTGATAGGAACACCAAACTTTATGCAAGATGACAATGTTGGACTGAAGGAAGACACCGGTAAGTGTATCTTTGAATTAATGTTGTTCACCAGCAGGTTAAAGTGGCTAAAATTAAAGTTAACTGGGAAGAAAGCTTGAAGCTTGCTTAAAACACTCTTGAGTTTGCTCCAGTACTGATGTCATTTGAGGCAACATGGTTGTGACCCCAGAAGGTCCTGAACCAATGTTCCCTGGGTTAAAAGCAAGTACACTTAACCAAACCCTCTTGATCATAGCTACCTTTTTAGGTTTGGGGACATATTGTTGAAAATTAGAAACTGTTATTTGTTTTGTCAATTAGGTAAACCCATACAATCCTGGCATTAATGTCATACATTCCATGCTTGTTGAATATAAAACAAAAAGAATATTTTGCATTTTTTAAATTTTAGATGAGGAATCTGATGCTGGAAGTATTTCTGAAAGTGAGTCTGAGGATGAAAGTGTGAAAGGTGACAAGAACAGGAATGAGGTAAGTTTTTTATTAGCTTCGACTATAGTATATGGAGAGTGTCTGCCCCGGGCGTCCCGGTCCGGTCAGATTTTAGAAAGTTTTGGTGCAAAAAATTTTTTCACTAAATTTGTCATTTCTTAAGGTTATTAACTTCAAATTTCAAATATATGTGTTCTTATCATCAACACATCTTATGTGACAAGGTTCATAACTCTAGAGATTTTATCTCCCCTTGTTGAATTTCTTAAAAGAATACTATTTTTTACTGTTACTTCTTTTATTTCTTAAGGGATAACCTCATATACTTTGATTTTTTTTACTAGCAAAAAGGGGTTAAAATTAATTTTAACTAAGAACTTTTTTATTTTTTAAAAGGTTGTACTACCGGCCCAACTTTCAAAACGTTATTCCTAATCGATCATACTACTTTTAGTGAAAATTTTGTTATTAAAAGTTTTGTTGCAATAGGTTACAGATTATCTCCTGGAAATTAAGGATTCCTCTTTTAAGAAAAATCAAAGAATTTTTACTTTTTAATATTTTCAAAACTATCTATATATTTCTGAATGACAGGAGAATGTTGTGTGACAAGGTCAGATAAACTCTTAGATGACTATTTCTAAATTTTTCCACTTGTTCCTAAGTTTTTCTTTCTTCTGCTCTCGTATTTATTATCGAGCTTGTGCCTGAGAAAAGCTCTTGTTTTTCCTTTAAAATTATAAACTTGTGCCTGAAAGAAATGTTTCTTTTTCTTCTACTCTCCTAAATTATCAACTTGTGCCTGAGAGAAATGTTTCTTTTTCTTCCACTCTCCAAAAATATTAGGTTAGAACCTAAGAATAGGTGTGGTATTGGTGGTGGTAGTTTACCCTCACAGTAGTGAGCAACATAGATTAACCAAAGTTCATTTACCACATTGTTCCTGGACAGGCTGTTTGGCAGTTTTCTAGTACTAGTTGCCTTTACTTCCGCAAGGAAGTTAGGGACTGATAACTTCTGTACATACCAGAGCAGTGGTATAGTGCAAATGACCATAGAAAGGATTTCATGAACAATCACAATAGTTACTTAAAATATCTTTAATGTTACAATTGGTTATAAAAGATTTTAGTCAAGCGGTGGAAAGAAAAGTTCATATTTCTTTTAATAGACAAATATGATTTGAACGGTGTTATCAATTTTGTTGTTAACACTGGTTGGACAGTTAATACATGTATCTTTATAATTACAGTACTCATACAGTGATTCCGAGTCTGATTCGGACGGTGAGAAACCTGTGAAGAGAGAAAAGAAAGACCTATTTCCACAGGTATTTATCATAATATACAAAAGTCTCATCTTTTCATAAAAGACTCTTCTTGTTTTAAATTAGGAACAGTCCATGATATTTATAGTAAATTTATATACATTAATTGAAAAACCTATAGTATGAAGTTTGATCAGACTGCAAGATGAAAAACTGACATGGGTGAAATTCTACTCATAAAAATTTTACAAACCAAAATTTGGTCAATCAGCAAATAGTGTAGAGTCTAACCTACTAGCATTAAATTGCGGATGTTGAGCTTAAATAGTGTACAGTCCTGGTCTGATTGTAAAGAATTACAGACTGGTCTCATATTGTATTGGTAGCATACACATCTTATGTTTGCTTGTGGTGTTTAAGGGCTCAGGTTCTGCACTAGATAGATCATTTGAGATGTTTAATCATGCATCAGTACCCACAAGTTGTTTAAACAACATTTCCTCCTTGACAACTTGGTAGTTTTGGGCCAAACTGAATAGAAATAATCCTTAGATGGCCTTCTACAAACTTTATATAAATGGTTACTGTCTGATGCATAGATTTATTTATGATTTCCATTTAGGACTCAGAGGAGTCAGACAGTGACGGTGACTTATTTGGTACAAGTGAGAAAAAGAAGGCCAAAGATAGAAGTGAATCAGAAGATTCTGACGAGAGTGACGAGGAGGAAGATGAAGAAGAGAAGCCAAAGGTAAAACACAAAAATAATGACACTTATTGATTCATCATATACTCAAATAGCCTGGCCCTTAGGGGAAACCCTTTAGGTTAGTATCCCAAAAATTACTGGTTTAAAATCCTTTTGGGAAGGGGGAATTTCTCTAGATATTTAATCTTGGACATACAGTGGTAATGTGATCTGTTCTGTATGCATGTCTGTATAATTGAACAGGAAAAATTGATCTACAGACTTCATTCTTGGGCCAGTAGCGTAATGCAACAAAGAAAACAGAAAAAAAACATGACTCATTATTTTGTTGAAGTTACATATCTGTCTGTCCATCTGCACACATTCAAAACATTTTGTCATATCCATGTATTTGATAGTCAATCAAATTTAAAGTGGTTTTGTTATTTTGTGATTTATGCCCCCCGGTAGGCAGGCAGATACCATGTTAAGATTCTCTATACAAATTAAGTTATTTGGCTACAGTCCAGTGTAATGTTCATGCTAAATAAATGTGTTATGATGATTTGATATTTTTCTTAATAACAAATGTATTTCATATCTTGGAGGGAATCAATATTTTCATGCTGTTCATAGTACATGCATCTTATAAATGACCTAAGATTTTCTATTGAAAGAGTATGTTTTTTGACAATCAACATGAGCGTTACAATTTTTACCTACGAGTCAGTTACTAGTTGATGTGTTATTTGATTTCCTCAGCCAGCGAAAACATATAACACTTTTTTGTTCTTATCTTGGAATAAAATGAAATTAAGCGTGAAGAAAAGATTTTGTATTGGCACTTTCAATGACTCTTAAATATTCTTGAGATATGATTTTTATTATAATTAGCCTACAGCTGCCCCTCTAGACTTTGCCTCAGAGCTTGCCAGGAAATTGGGAGGTCCTGCACCAAAAGCCCCATCACCTGAACCAGCTGGTTCTGGGGATGACTCAGAAGAGGAAAAACCCAAGAAAAAAGGTAACTATGAGATACTGTTATTATTATGTGTGAAAATACTGTGTATGATATGACTGTCACAAGGTCTGACAGAGAGACTCAAACCCAAGACTTCCAGAATACTGTTGTGAAACTGCTGACAAAGCTACCTGACAGCTCAGATGTATTCTCCCCTATGAGGGATCCTTAACTGTATCCTTTACATTATCTCCCCCACCTTCACACAAACACAATCAAAATTTATTCATAAATTTCTATAGTGAGCAAATACAGACTTTTTTAAAATTTTGTTCTATTTCAAAGTTATTAAGAAATATTTTTACTTTGTATTTTCTACCAGGAAAAGTAAGGAAATCATATTTTTGTATGAATTTTACCTATAATGTAAATTAAGATACAGAGTAATGATTTAATTTTGTGTTTTAGAGAAGAAAAAAGGAAAGAAAGAAAAGAAAGGAAAGAAGAAAGAAAAGCCAAAGGAAGATGATGGTAAGTTGGTGAACCCTTACTCCCCAAATGAACTTGATATTCAGGGTCAACTTAATCCATCTAGAATAAATATGACTCATTTGTTATGTTATAATTGGTTCCACATTTTGTTTAGGACTAACAGGGCTAAAATGAAATATTTGCAACAGTTTGTATTTTTTACATTTTACCACACCAAATATCTTAAATGAATTTGTTCATCTGTCAATTTGGACTAATCTAGTCATCATTTTTATAAAAAATTTAAAATATGAACTAAGTTAATAATTAACATTGCAGACAATGATCAGACACTGTGAGGAGCTGATCTTGAGCTGTACTGATTCAGCTCATCACCAAGCTCACAACACTAAAACTCTAGTGAAATTCTATTCCTTTATACCATAAAAAATCATCATAGTTTTTATATCTTTTATACGAGTAGAACAACACTTATTATTTACATGTATATAATGTCATCAAACTATTAACAGATCTGCCTATTCTTTCTCTACTGAACAGATCTATTTACTGCTCAAGACAATGATGAGGATGATGACTTGTTTGGTGGCGGGACTTTTGCGGGAAAAAAGTCAGGCTGAACCTGTTTGGTGGATAGTGATGAGGTAAATTGCTTTTATATTTTAGTATAATCAGATTATTTCATTTACTGCTTGGTGTTTCATACTGCATATTATATTATGGACAGAAAGTCAGTTTGATTTGTTGTTTTTACTGGTGCATGTTAATATTAAATAAACAGATTCCCATGGGCCCTTTTTATTTCTGAAAATATATCAAGGAAAACCTTTTTTCAGGTTTTGGTTTGCCTAATAAACAAAAATTTTTTATTCTGGAAAAATGTATTGATTTGAATTGAAATGAAGTTTAAAAAAGTTTTTCAATTATATTAAATTTTTTGATCACTTCCCCAAAGGTATTGGGTTTAATAAAAACATGCTGTTTCCCGATATCTCCCCCACCCGAACCACCGGTTTAAACAGAAAACCCAAAACCACTGACCCAAAACCCTTTTTTGGCTTGACTATAAAAATGAAAAACAAAAAAATAAAAATTCAAAGGGTTTTAAAATTGAAGGAAGAATTTTTTTTTGCTTCCAGTTTTTATTGTTACAGTAGACTTTAGAATATATATTAAATCCTGCTATATAGTTTATTGTTTACAAGTGAAGATGCTTGACTTTTGTATGTTACAGGGTGACCTGTTTGGTGAGGGTACAAAACAAGCTAAAAAAGTGAAAGATGAATCAGAAGAAGAAGGTATTACACAATTATATGTAAACAATTTTAAAATTTTATTCTGAAACCTCTAAATTTATCTCAAACCATCAGTTTGGCCTGAACTGCTTAGTCTGGTATATACATTATATATCTAATTTAGGAAGCTATAAGCTTTTGACACATTTTCAAAACTGTTCCTGGAATCAACCAGTACTGAGCAATGAGTGTAAAATTTCTTCCTCTAGGAAACACGGGCTTCTCCTTGAGGGTGTTAGAACCAAGCGGCCACCAATCCTTAGATTACTGGTCTGATGTATTAACCACTCAGCTAATCGCCCATGGTTTTGTTACATTGGTTGCCTCTGATTATGTACTTAATTTATTATTTTGGAAAGAAATGTCTGTTATAAACAAATAAAAACATCTTTAACAACTTTTAGACGTAGCTGAGTGGTTAAGGACACTGTCTTTTGGCCATTTGCCCATAACTGGTATGGGTTTGATGCCCATGAGAGACTTTATTATGTTTCAAGTGTGGTGAACATCTATTCCATCCATTTTGTTAGTGGAAAAAGAGTTGGTTCAAATATGAACTTATACCTGAAATGATTTATGTGACAGTTTCTGCCCCGGAAAAGTTACTGTATGACCTTTTAGGTGTAGGTCTGAACTATAATGAAAAATAGGTGTGAACAAGCTAGATTATGATATAGTCATATTTTATTATGCCCCCATTTCGAAGAAAAGGGGGTATATTGCTTTGCACTTGTCGGTCCGTCGGTCCGTAGACCAAATGGTTTCCGAGTGATAACTAAAGAACCCTTAGGCCTAGGAACTTCAAACTTGGTATGGTGATTGGTCATGACCAGTAGATGACCCCTATTGATTTTGGGGTCAAGGGGTCAAAGGTCAAGGTCACATTGACCTTGTAAGCAAAAACGGTTTCCGATCAATAACTAAAGAACCTTAAGGCCTAGGAACTTCAAACTTGGTATGGTGATTGGTCATGATCAGTAGATGACCCCTATTGATTTTGGGGTCAAGGGGTCAAAGGTCAAGGTCACATTGACCTTGTAAGCAAAAACGGTTTCCGATCAATAACTAAAGAACCTTAAGGCCTAGGAACTTCAAACTTGTATGGTGATTGGTCATGATCAGTAGATGACCCCTATTGATTTTGGGGTCAAGGGGTCAAAGGTCAAGGTCACATTGACCTTGTAAGCAAAAACGGTTTCCGATCATTAACTAAAGAACCTTAAGGCCTAGGAACTTCAAACTTGGTATGGTGATTGGTCATGATCAGTAGATGACCCCTATTGATTTTGGGGTCAAGGGGTCAAAGGTCAAGGTCACATTGACCTTGTAAGCAAAAACGGTTTCCGATCAATAACTAAAGAATCTTAAGGCCTAGGAACTTCAAACTTGGTATGGTGATTGGTCATGATCAGTAGATGACCCCTATTGATTTTGGGGTCAAGGGGTCAAAGGTCAAGGTCACATTGACCTTGTAAGCAAAAACGGTTTCCGATCAATAACTAAAGAACCTTAAGGCCTAGGAACTTCAAACTTGGTATGGTGATTGGTCATGATCAGTAGATGACCCCTATTGATTTTGGGGTCAAGGGGTCAAAGGTCAAGGTCACATTGACCTTGTAAGCAAAAACGGTTACCGATCAATAACTAAAGAACCTTAAGGCCTAGGAACTTCAAACTTGGTATGGTGATTGGTCATGATCAGTAGATGACCCCTATTGATTTTGGGGTCAAGGGGTCAAAGGTCAAGGTCACATTGACCTTGTAAGCAAAAACGGTTTCCGATCAATAACTAAAGAACCTTAAGGCCTAGGAACTTCAAACTTGGTATGGTGATTGGTCATGATCAGTAGATGACCCCTATTGATTTTGGGGTCAAGGGGTCAAAGGTCAAGGTCACATTGACCTCTTGGGTAAAAACGGTTTCGGATCAATAACAAAAGAACCCTTAGGCCTAGGAACTTCAAACTTGGTATGGTGATTGGTTATGACCAGCAGATGACCCCTATTGATTTTGGGGTTAAGGGGTCAAAGGTCAAGGTCACATTGACCTTGTAGGTAAAAACGGTTTCCGATCAATAACTAAAGAACCCTTAGGCCTAGGAACTTCAAACTTGGTATGGTGATTGGTCATGACCAGCTGATGACCTATTGATTTTGGGGTCAAGGGGTCAAAGGTCAAGGTCACATTGACTTTGTAGGTAAAAACGGTTTCCGATCAATAACTAAAGAACCCTTAGGCCTAGGAACTTCAAACTTGGTATGGTGATTTGTCATGACCAGCAGATGACCCCTATAGATATGATATTGGGGTTAAGGGGTCAAAGGGCAAGGTCACATTGACCTTGTAGGTAAAAATGCTTTCCAATCAATAACTTAAGAACCCTTAGGCCTAGGAACTTCAAACTTGGTATGGTGATTGGTCATGACATGCAGATGACCTATTGATTTTGGAGTCAAGGGGTCAAAGGTCAAGGTCACATTGACCTTGTAGGTAAAAACGGTTTCCGATCAATTAACTAAAAACGCTTAGGCCTAGGAACTTCAAACTTTGTATGATGATTGGTCGTGACCAGCAGATGACCCCTATGGAGTTTTGGGTCAAGGGGTCAAAGGTTAAGGTCATGACCAGTAGATACTTGATAACCCTTATTAATTGTTTGATCACTGGGTCAGAAGTCATGCATAATAACCTTATCACATGACTAATTGGCTGCTGATAGGGGGCATACATGTTTTACAAACATATCTTATTTATTAAAGAATCTGAAGATGAGAAACCAGTTGAGCAGAAATCTCGAACAAGAACGTTAAGTGGAAAGAAAAAACCAGTTGGCGGTATATCAGTGTTTGGTGCTCCAGGTATACTGAAATGTGTAATATAATCCTATATTCAATATTCTATCAAATATTTACAACAATTTTCTTTTTTTATGATTTTTTTGATGACCCAGTTGTCAAGAAGTGGTAGTTTTACTCAATAATTCACTCTCCTACAAGGACAAGACACCTATAAGGCGAGGGTCCATTATTTAGTTAAGAAAGTTACTGTAAACTGGTTTAAAGCATTGGTATATCATATGTGAGAAAGGATTATTTTAATATATTATACCTCATTTGCATATGCCCGTCATATATTTAATATGACCTCATCCGGTCCATAAACTGCATACAGACCGTGGCAGGTCCATAATTCTTATATGGACTGGATGACGTCATATTAAATGTTAAAGTTCGGATTTTTTGCCTGTTTAATTTAATAAGCAAAATTTGAATAATGATTTTTTTTGCTGTATCACTTGAAAATAAAAATAATAATTCAGACTAGGGTTTGAAATATTTCACACACTGAACAAATAAATTATTATTAATTTTGAAAGTAAATTATAGTAAAAATGTCAGCAACAAAAGAGATGAAAGGATTTAGATTCGGTATAATATAACAAATAAAACATGGCCTTTCAGGCAAAATGCAAGTTTACGGACTGGTTGGTCAGACTTTGGAAGGTATATGTCCCTCAGCTGCTCTTCCTCAGTCTGACAAATCAGTCTGTAAACTTGCATATTGCCCTCAAGGCCATGTATCATTTGTTAAATAATTTTGTCTTGTTGGAATGAGGCATGGCAGGAGTCCTTGTTGGTGTCCTACAGCCTAAATGCTGTTTTGCTTCAAGCTTCATAGTTTCATATAAATACAGTACAACTTAAAAAAACACCAAAAATACATAAATGTACAGAGTTGTTTTAATCTTTGTTGCTCGATTTGTCATCAGATCTTGGCTCAGTGCCCCAACACAGTAACTTGTACATACCCCCAGTTTTTTGTTCATCATCGTAAAAATTTAGCACTACAAAAACAAATGACAGGTTTAAAACCTGTCTCATTTCTTCAGTTATCCTTGAAGGCGGAGGGGTGTTGCCGAGAGTGGGAGTTATCCTTGAAGGGGAGGGGTGTTGCAGAGAGTGGGAGTTATCCTTGAAGGAGGAGGGGTGTTGCAGAGAGTGGGAGTTATCCTTGAAGGGGGAGGGGTGATGCTGAGGGTGGGAGTTATCCTTGTAGGGGGTGTTGCAGAGAGTGGGAGTTATCCTTGAAGGGGGAGGGGTGTTGCCGAGAGTGGGAGTTATCCTTGAAGGGGAGGGGTGTTGCCGAGAGTGGGAGTTATCCTTGAAGGGGAGGGGTGTTGCAGAGAGTGGGAGTTATCCTTGAAGGGGGAGGGGTGTTGCAGAGAGTGGGAGTTATCCTTGAAGGCGGAGGGGTGTTGCCGAGAGTGGGAGTTATCCTTGAAGGGGAGGGGTGTTGCAGAGAGTGGGAGTTATCCTTGAAGGGGGAGGGGTGTTGCAGAGAGTGGGAGTTATCCTTGAAGGGGGAGGGGTGATGCTGAGGGTGGGAGTTATCCTTGTAGGGTGTGTTGTAGAGAGTGGGAGTTATCCTTGAAGGGGGAGGGGTGTTGCAGAGAGTGGGAGTTATCCTTGAAGGGGGGGGGGGTTGCAGAGAGTGGGAGTTATCCTTGAAGGGGGAGGGGTGTTGCAGAGAGTGGGAGTCACCTTGAAGGGGGGGGGTGTTGCAGAGAGTGGGAGTTATCCTTGAAGGGGGGGGGGTGCAGAGAGTGGGAGTAGGTTTTCTAATGCAATATTGGGTGTTGCAAAAGTATAAAATTATTGGTAGAGTTACAGTAATCCATGGAAATAGTAGAAATCACCATAATGACCTTTACAATGTTGGCACAAAGTAACTGTTTAATTCACTTGAAAAAAAACATAAAACATTTATTATGTATAACTTTATATAAAGATTCAACTAAAAGTATTGGTGGAGGAAGTGGAGGATTGTTTGATGATGAAGAAGAAGATGATGACATATTTGGTGGTGGTCAACCTAAACATAAAGAAACAAAAGGTCAGAAATTTTAATTGAAAAACAAAAGGTCTGAAATTTTGATTGAGAGACAAAAGGTCAGACATTTTAATTGCTGATAATTTATATTAGAAATAGTGTGGAAAATATGACATAAAATGTATAAAACATAAAAAGTAAGGAAATTTATTGCAAAGGGCTGTATTTTATTGTAGGCTAAAAAATGTACACTGGACTGATAACTTGAATGAAATGAAATGTTCATTTACAGATATAATTAAGTTCTTAACAAGATATGTTTGTAAAACATGTATGCCCCCTATCAGCAGCCAATTAGTCATGTGATAAGGTTATTATGCATGACTTCTGACCCAGTGATCAAACAATTAATAAGGGTTATCAAGTATCTACTGGTCATGACCTTAACCTTTGACCCCTTGACCCAAAACTCAATAGGGGTCATCTGCTGGTCACGACCAATCATCATACAAAGTTTGAAGTTCCTAGGCCTAAGCGTTTTCAGTTAATTGATCAGAAACCGTTTTTACCTACAAGGTCAATGTGACCTTGACCTTTGACCACTTGACCCAAATCAATAGGTCATCTACTGGTCATGACCAATCACTATAACCAAGTTTGAAGTTCCTAGGCCTAAGGGTTCTTAAGTTATTGATCGGAAACCGTTTTAACATACATGGTCAATGTGACCTTGACCTTTGACCCTAAAATCAATAGGGGTCATCTGCTGCTCATGACCAATCACCATACCAAGTTTGAAGTTCCTAGGCCGAAGCGTTCTTTAATTATTGATCAGAAACCGTTTTTACTTACAATGTCAATGTGACCTTGACCTTTGACCCCTTGATCCCAAAATCAATAGGGGTAATCTGCTGGTCATGACAAATCACCATGCCAAGTTTGAAGTTCCTAGGCCTAAGCGTTCTTAAGTTATTGATCAGAACCCGTTTTTACTTACAAGGTCAATGTGACCTTGACCTTTGACCCTTGACCCAAAACTCAATAGGGGTCATTCTGCTGCTCACGAACAATCATCATACAAAGTTTGAAGTTCCTAGGCCTAAGCGTTTTTAGTTAATTGATCGGAAACCGTTTTACCTACAAGGTCAATGTGACCTTGACCTTTGACCCCTTGACCCAAAATCAAAAGGTCATCTGCTGGTCATGACCAATCACCATACCAAGTTTGAAGTTCCTAGGCCTAAGGGTTCTTAAGTTATTGATTGGAAAGCATTTTTACCTACAAGGTCAATGTGACCTTGCCCTCTGACCCTTAACCCCAATATCAATAGGGGTCATCTGCTGGTCATGACCAATCACCATACCAAGTTTGAAGTTCCTAGGCCTAAGGGTTCTTAAGTTATTGATTGGAAACATTTTTACCTACAAGGTCAATGTGACCTTGACCTTTTGACCCTTAACCCCAAAATCAATAGGGGTCATCTGCTGGTCATGAACCAATCACCATACCAACTTTGAAGTTCCATTGCCTAAAAGTTCTTTAGTTATTTGATCGGAAAACCGTTTTTGCTTACAAGGTTAATTGTGACCTTGACCTTTGACCCCTTGACCCCAAAATCAATAGGGGTCATCTACTGATCATGACCAATCACCATACCAAGTTTGAAGTTCCTAGGCCTAAAGTTCTTTAGTTATTGATCGGAAACCGTTTTTCCTTACAAGGTCAATGTGACCTTGACCTTTGACCCCTTGACCCCAAAATCAATAGGGGTCATCTACTGATCATGACCAATCACCATACCAAGTTTGAAGTTCCTAGGCCTAAAGGTTCTTTAGTTATTGATCGGAAACCGTTTTTGCCTTACAAGGTCAATGTGACCTTGACCTTTGACCCCTTGACCCCAAAAATCAATAGGGGTCATCTACTGATCATGACCAATCACCATACCAAGTTTGAAGTTCCTAGGCCTAAAGGTTCTTTAGTTATTGATCGGAAACCGTTTTTCCTTACAAGGTCAATGTGACCTTGACCTTTGACCCCTTGACCCCCCAAAATCAATAGGGGTCATCTAACTAATCATGACCAATCACCATACCAAGTTTGAAGTTCCTAGGCCTTAAGGTTCTTTAGTTAATTGATCGGAAACCGTTTTTCCTTACAAGGTCAATGTGACCTTGACCTTTGACCCCTTTGACCCCAAAATCAATAGGGGTCATCTACTGATCATGACCAATCACCATACCAAGTTTGAAGTTCCTAGGCCTTAAGGTTCTTTAGTTATTGATCGGAAACCGTTTTTACCTTACAAGGTCAATGTGACCTTGACCTTTGACCCCTTGACCCCAAAATCAATAGGGGTCATCTACTGATCATGACCAATCACCATACCAAGTTTGAAGTTCCTAGGCCTAAAGGTTCTTTAGTTTATTGATCGGAAACCGTTTTTGCCTTACAAGGTCAATGTGACCTTGACCTTTGACCCTTGACCCCAAAAATCAATAGGGGTCATCTACTGATCATGACCAATCACCATACCAAGTTTGAAGTTCCTAGGCCTAAAGGGTTCTTTAGTTATTGATTGGAAACCGTTTTTTCCTTACAAGGTCAATGTGACCTTGACCCTTTGACCCCTTGACCCCAAAATCAATAGGGGTCATCTACTAATCATGACCAATCACCATACCAAGTTTGAAGTTCCTAGGGCCTAAAGGTTCTTTAGTTAATGATCGGAAACCGTTTTTCCTTACAAGGTCAATGTGACCTTGACCTTTGACCCCTTGACCCCAAAATCAATAGGGGTCATCTACTGATCATGACCAATCACCATACCAAGTTTGAAGTTCCTAGGCCTTAAGGTTCTTTAGTTATTGATGGGAAAAACCGTTTTTTTGCTTACAAGGTCAATGTGACCTTGACCTTTGACCCCTTGACCCCCAAAATCAATAGGGGTCATCTACTTGTCATGACCAATCACCATACCAAGTTTGAAGTTCCTAGGCCTAAGGGTTCTTTTAGTTATCACTCGGAAACCATTTGGTCTGCGGACCGACGGACCGACGGACCGACAAGTGCAAAGCAATATACCCCCTTTTCTTCGAAATGGGGGCATAATTACATTTATAAATATTTATAAATAGCTTTTGTTGCATGGTCTACTTGTAGATCAGTGAATTTGTTAGTTTAATTAAATTTTATTGCAACTGCATATGTATTTAATACTTGAATTATATGTATTAAATCATTACAAAAGTTAATTTCAAATAAGGGGGCAACATGGTGTAACATTAGCAGAAACCTTTCAACCAAAGTTTTTTATCTTATTTATTCCGGTACTTGTCATGCAATAATTAATATCTATTTTTGGAAATGATGTAATGTCTTTAATAATATAGAAAAGAAATCTGATAAGAAAGCAACAGAGAAATCTGGAGGTGGTTTATTTGAGGATGATGATGACTTGTTTAATGAACCTACAGAAAAACCAAAGAAGCAGGAGCCATCTGCGAAGAAAGTAAGTGGTTAATTGTATTTTGTTCAGGCTTGAGCATAAATATATTGTAATTCTGTCTTAGACATTAATATATGTTAAAATTATTCAAATTGTTCATTGTTCAAATATACACATACATTATGAATATTAAGGTTGATGTCAGTCTGCTTAGTTCAATAAGAAGAGCATTGTATTTGTAATGTAGGGGTTATAGGTGCGAATCATCAGGCAAGATGTTATTTCTCCAAGACAAATGATCCCAGACATTGTGTCTAATAATCATTTGTCTCTCACTGCTGATTCAGAAATCATGTGGAATTAGTAGTCAGTCAGTTGGTAACTTGTGTAATAAGGAGTGATTTTTTTGTAATGAAAAACAGTTTCATGTTTGTTGTTGAAATTTTACATAATATTTTTATTTCTAAAATAAACTAACAGATAATTCATATTGTTGTTTATGTTCTTAGCTTCCACCTGGAGGAGTGCCAATGTTTGGACCACCAGGGGCAGGTAATCCATTGGCAAAAGCATTGAAGAGTAAAGCACAGAGGCAAGACTCAGATGAGGTATCTAATTATCTCCCTTGTTCTTAAGTTAAATCATTAAGTTCACATTTTTTTTTTTCATCCTAGCACCCTTACTTATTGTCTCTACCCACTCTGTAGGGCTACTCCTCTCAGCTTTATTCAGAACATCAGCAGCTGATTCTCAGGTACAAGTTCTGGGTCTTTGTTTATTTACTGTATAAGTGGAAAATTTTGCTACATGGAAATATTTGTGATTTTTGCGAATTGAAATTATTCGCAAATATTTGATAACGAAAATATTATTTCTGTGGAGGCAAACTTTCGTCTATCATTTGAAAACACATTTTCATACAGCATCTTACATCAATAAGTGACTGTTTAGGTACTGAGATTAATTTTTCTCATTGTTTAAAGTTGGTCTGATCAAATCACAAATGTTTTAATGAAATAATATATGTGTTAAGAACACAATAGGTTATTCATATAACAAGAAAATGTTTCAAAATATGACAAAGAAATGTGTGATCAGGTCCTTTATCAAACTAACAATGTGTATTTCAAACAATTATATAAATAATAAAGTATTGAACAACTGAATAGAAAGATTACAATAACAGCATATTCTTACTTAAGTGATGTATCTGTTTCATATAAGGATGAAGATGATTGGTCTGATGGAAACAAGTCTCGCAGTGAAAGTATAAAATCAAACCAATCAGGTGCATCAAAACAATCAGCTAAGATAGGATCTGCCCAATCAAAAGACAGCTTATTTGCAGGAGATGGGGATGATTCAAAACCAAAATCAAACAGGTAAGCCTTTTTTTCTTAACTGTGCTCATTGGTACTTTTATTGAAATGACTGCTTTTAGGATAGATTTTAAAATTAGTATGTATTTTTAAATTTTAAATAAAATTTATTATGTTTTGGCGGTTAATTGCTTGAGAATATTGTCTTTTATCCCATAATGTTGCTGGTTACAAATCAAGCAATGGACAATAGTTCAGTTACTCTGACAGTGTTGCTCATTATAACTTAACAGAACTTATTTCAGAAAGCCATGTCATTTGTATGTGTTATACATGTATTATACTGTGAATCAATGAATTATTGTGCACTGTATTGTTACCATTGTTATACCATTCTCATACTAGAGAGATGTAGATATTCACTTATTCCTGCTGCAAAACCTAATTTCAGTTTTTCACGGAAGGCGAAGACAACAACCAGTCTGTTTGATGAAGATGATGATGATGACTTATTTGGCTCAAGTTCTAAACCATCCCAAGTCTACCAAAAACAAAATACATCAATTAAAAGGTTTTGTAAAATTTTTAGGGATTTCCCTTTTTTAAAATAGTTGATAAAAAAGCGCATTTATTTTTAATCCATTTTTGTTCTTAAACCCTTTTCAAGTGATAAATTTTTTTTTTTTATTTAAAAAATGCATGATTTTTTCTATGTACAGTTGACTCTCCCAAAAAGGGCAAAATTTCTTTATTCAAAAAACCGCTTTAGTCAAAAATTTCTAAAAATTTTCCCCTTTAAAATTTTCCCTTCCCTTTTTCCCTTTTTATTTTTAAACCCCCGCTTAGGTTTAAATTTTTTACTTACCCAGGCCCTTTTAGTTGAAAGAAAAAATTTGGGTTTCCTGTCAATTAAAATCCAACAGTTTTTTATCTCAGTTAGGGCCCAAATTTTGGGAAAAAAGCCGACTGATTTAAAGGGCGGACATCTAGGTGAGATGTTGTCACTCGTGATTCACACGTTTCATTTTAATTTTAATTGCCGTCATCATGTGTTATTAACACGTTGTAAAGGTGGCTTTAATCGGTTTTAGGATTAAATTGTGTGACATTTGTATAATTAATGTTCCGCCATATTGCATACATTAATATGTACTTCCGGTTCACGATAGTTGCTACTTTCGTTTTCGTCTGATGATCAGTTCACTTCAAATATTAGATAAATTGTTGTTGAAATAAATGTGTTATTCTGCTTTTATTGTAATTTATTGTCATGAGTGCTTATTAAAAACACATGCTTTACTGATGAATACTGACAAACTTGCTACGAATGTTTATTTTTCACTATTAATATACATGTATTGAATTTTTAATAATATATTTTTGTTCATTTATAATTTGTAGTTGTAAGTGATTTACCGTCATTTCAACGGTTAAATATTGCAGCATTGCCGCTATCAACGATAACAAACCTACTTCTTTGCACATTTAATCAGGCACATGTATATACATGTACGAATATCAACGTAATGGCAGCAGATCCATGTTACTCGAACTCTGTTTCTCTCGAAGTAAAATGCCCAGTCCCTTGGATTCGAGTTACTGTGAGTCAACTGTATATGGTAGCTAAAGAATGTTGATGGTAACTTGTGTACTTGCCTGTTCATTAAATATTAACTTTCTCTGAATTGGTATAATGGAATTGTCCTTGTATAACTTTGGAATAGTTCATTATAAACGTGAGGGGGCTTTGATATCAAAATGTTATGAATAAGTTTTGAACAGATATAGAATCTGGTGAACACTATATAAATTGCATGAGCTAGGGTCATAAAGTAGATCATTAGATAAGAAACCAAAGAAAAGCTTTGTTATCTAATGTGAGATCACATATTTGGATGCGGTCACATATTTGGATGAGGTCACATGTTTGATTGAGGTCACATATTTGGATGACATCACATTGAGGTCACTTATTTGGTTGAGGTCACATATTTGGTTGAGATCATATATTTGGATGAGGACACATATTTGGTTGGGGTCACATATTTGTATGGACACATATTTGGTTGAGGTCGCGTAATTGGAGGGTGGCATATTTGGTTGAAATTACATATTTGTATGGACACATATTTGGTTGAGGTCGCGTAATTGGAGGGACGCATATTTGGTTGAAATTACATATTTGGATGGACACATATTTGGTTGAGGTCGCGTAATTGGAGGGTGGCATATTTGGTTGAAATTACATATTTGGATGGACACATATTTGGAAAAGGTCACATACTTGGATGAGGACATATTTTGACAATATCTAAATAAAATTTATTTTTCTCTACTTATATTTGAATCAATTCAAATGAAGCTTTGTTTAGAAAGTAATTTTAATTTTCATCCCTCCACTATTTAGAGGGGGAAGGGTGTAGCATTTTCTTGCCTGTCCATCTGTCTGTTTTGCTGTACAGTGGTAGACTGACAAAACACTGCAATAGTGTAATGTGGTCCTATCTGGTCCTGTAGACACATGTTTTCAGTCAATACAGTGTTATCATTGCCCTGCTTTATTTGAGTAAGGGGCTATAAATTGTGTTATCTCTTTGATAAATCTGTATATGGTATTATAGAAAGAAGCGACAAAGCCAAAATCCTCAGCTTTGTTCATGGATGATGATGAAGATGATCTATTTGGTGATGCTCCTCCTCCAAAACCCAAGGACCAGTAAGTATTTCATATCTTTACTATATTCTACTTCATAAGTTCTGTAGACTGAATATACTTAGTTTATTGCATAGAATAGTTTGTTAACCCATTACTTCATGAGCATTTTGTGAAAATGGCTGTTTTCATTGAAAAGTCTCCTGTTACAAGTTCAAATTGCTATAATACTATAAAAACTGCTTCAACACTAATCAAACTTGGCACAAATGTTGACTGGACCATTGCCCTTGCAACAACATGCTCAGGCTTAAATTTTCTGTTACCATGGCAACGAGGGAACATCTCAAAATTGCCAAAATTCACTATTTTGCGTTGATTTTTTCCATCAAAATTGATTTCAAAGTGCTGCAACTTCTCAATGGATTGAGATAGAGTCAAATGCTTTTCAGCGTTGGTTACACGTTACCTTATGATCAATCTGGGGTCATTTACAGCCTCTCACAAGTCAAAAATTTTCTTGGCGATGAGGGGGGACTCCGCCCCCCTTCAAACCCCCCAAACAGAAGCCGAAAAAAGAGGTCACTTTTTTTAACAACATTTCTCAAACAAAAACAAATGTGTCTGGGGCCTAAATAAGGCATTTTTAGCTCGACTATTCGATAAGAATAAGTAGAGCTATTGCAGTCACCCGAGCGTCGGCGTCGGCGTCGGCGTCGGCGTAACCACTTATGTTAAAGTTTTTGTAATAGTTCAAATATTTTCAAAGTCCATTGACATATGGCTTTGAAACTTTGCACACTTGTTCACCATCATGACCCCAACCTGTAGACAGGAGGAGGTAACTCTATCAAGCATTTTGACAGAATTATGCCCCTTTTTCGACTTAGAATTTACGTTAAAGTTTTTGTAATAGTTCAAATATTTTCAAAGTCCATTGACATATGGCTTTGAAACTTTGCACACTTGTTCACCATCATGACCCCAACCTGTAGACAGGAGGAGGTAACTCTATCAAGTATTTTGACAGAATTATGCCCCTTTTTCGACTTAGAATTTACGTTAAAGTTTTTGTAATAGTTCAAATATTTTCAAAGTCCATTGACATATGGCTTTGAAACTTTGCACACTTGTTCACCATCATGACCCCAACCTGTAGACAGGAGGAGGTAACTCTATCAAGCATTTTGACAGAATTATGCCCCTTTTTCGACTTAGAATTTACGTTAAAGTTTTTGTAATAGTTCAAATATTTTCAAAGTCCATAGACATATGGCTTTGAAACTTTGCACACTTGTTCAACATCATGACCCCAACCTGTAGACAGCAGGAGGTAACTCTATTAAGCATTTTGACAGAATTATGCCCCTTTTTCGACTTAGAATTTACGTTAAAGTTTTTGTAATAGTTCAAATATTTTCAAAGTCCATTGACATATGGCTTTGAAACTTTGCACACTTGTTCAACATCATGACCCCAACCTGTAAACAGGAGGAGGTAACTCTATCAAGCATTTTGACAGAATTATGCCCCTTTTTCGACTTAGAATTTACGTTAAAGTTTTTGTAATAGTTCAAATATTTTCAAAGTCCATTGACATATGGCTTTGAAACTTTGCACACTTGTTCACCATCATGACCCCCAACCTGTAAACAGGAGGAGGTAACTGTATCAGGCATTTTTTTTACTATCAAGCACTAAGAATAGTCGAGCATGCTGTCCTACCGACAGCTCTTGTTTCATCATTTGAGACAACAAAAAGGGGGGGGGGTGAAAAAGGCGTTAAAAGGCGTGTATATGAAGTAATGGGTTAATAGAAAATGATGAAAATACTTGAAATTACCCTAAATCGTGTTTTTTCATGTTTAAACATGGCCTGTCATATAAATTTGAAGAAAAATTGTTGTTTTGTAGATTTTTTGATTTTTTTTCATTAACCCATTACTTCATGAGCATTTTGTGAAAAATGGCTGTTTCCATTGAAAAGTCTCCCGTTACAAGTTCAAATTGCTATAATACTATAAAAACTGCTTCAACACTAATCAAACTTGGCACAAATGTTGACTGGACCATTGCCCTTGCAACAACATGCTCAGGCTTAAATTTTCTGTTACCATGGCAACGAGGGGACATCTCAAAATTGCCAAAAATCACAATTTTGCGTTGATTTTTTTCCATCAAAATTGATTTCAAAGTGCTGCAACTTCTCAATGGATTGAGATAGAGTCAAATGCTTTTCAGCGTTGGTTACACGTTACCTTATGATCAACCTGGGGTCATTTACAGCCTCTCACAAGTCAAAAATTTTCTTGGCGATGAGGGGGACATCCCCCTTCTGGCAACCCCCTGATGTATCTTTTGGTTGGGGGGCCGCGCCGAAAAAGAGGTCACTTTTTTTAACAACATTTCTCAAACAAAAACAAATGTGTTTGGGGCCTAAATAAGGCATTTTTTAGCTCGACTTTTTTTTTTTTGAAAAAAAAAGTAGAGGTATTGTTATAGTCAGGTCGGCGTTGCCGTTGCCGTTGCCGTCTCCGTTGCCGTTGCCGTTGCCGTTGCCGTCCGAAAACTTGTACCTGGATCATAACTTTTTTATTTCTTGGTGTATTGTCTTCATACTTGGCCACAACAACCCTTGGGACAAGACCTTTCAGTAGACCACACTAACCTTGACCTTCATCCATAAATGACCTTGACCTTCAAGGTTAAAAGTCAAATTTTTGCTTGTTCATGCTGTTATTGGCTGTTACTTTGTTATTTTTGAATGGATTGTCTTCAAACTTGAACATAATAATCTTCAAGGATATCCCTTAAAAATAACCAGTCAGACCTTGACATTCACTCATCAATGACCTTGACTTTGAAGGTCAAATTATTGAAATTTTCATTTTTTTGGCTATTATTGCTGTAACTTTGTTATTTTTGAATGGATTGTCTTCAAACTTGAACATAATAATCTTCAAAGATAACTGTTAAAAATATACCTAAAGACCTTGACCTTCACTCATTAATGACATTGCCTTTGAAGGTCAAATTATTGAAATTTTCATTGTTTTGGCAGTAACTGACTGTAACTTTGCTATTTTTGAAGGAATAAACTTCATATTATAACAGAACATTCTTAAGGACCAGACCTTGTTGTTTATCAAACCCAAATTTGCTTGGGCTCTTTAATGACCTTGACCTTGAAGGTTATATTACTGAATTTTCTCAGATTGTGCATTTATCGGTGTGTGTGTATGTATAGTATATGTATTATATATAAATATATATATAAATGTGTGTGTGTATATATATATATGCAGGTATATATATATATATATATATATATATATATATATATACATAAATATATATATATATATATCTGCATGTATATATATATACATATATATATATATCAAATATATATATATATATATATATATATACATATATATACATGTATATAATTGCGTCATGTTTTTCTATTTTTAGAAATTGCGTCATTTTTTCTATTTTTAGAAATTGCGTCATTGTTGCTATTTTTAGAATTTGCGTCATTTTTTTTCTATTTTTAGAAATTGCGTCATTGTTGCTATTTTTAGAAATTGCGTCATTTTTTTCTATTTTTAGAAATTTCGTCATTTTGTTCTATTTTAAGAAATTGCGTCATTGTTTCTATTTTTAGAAATTGCGTCATTGTTTCTATTTTTAGAAATTGCGTCATGTTTTTCTATTTTTAGAAATTGCGTCATTTTTTTTCTATTTTTAGAAATTGCGTCATTGTTTCTATTTTTAGAAATTGCGTCATGTTTTTCTTTTTTTAGAAATTGCGTCATTTTTTTTCTATTTTTAGAAATTGCGTCATGTTTTTCTATTTTTAGAAATTGCGTCATGTTTTTCTATTTTTAGAAATTGCGTCATGTTTTTCTATTTTTAGAAATTGCGTCATTGTTGCTATTTTTAGAAATTGCGTCATGTTTTTCTATTTTTAGAAATTGCGTCATGTTTTCTATTTTTAGAAATTGTGTCATTGTTGCTATTTTTAGAAATTGCGTCATTTTTGTTCTATTTTTAGAAATTGCGTAATTTTTTCTATTTTTAGAAATTGCGTCATTGTTGCTATTTTTAGTAATTGCGTCATTTTTTTCTATTTTTAGAAATTGCGTCATTTTTTTCTATTTTTAGAAATTGCGTCATTGTTTCTATTTTTAGAAATTGCGTCATTTTTTTTTCTATTTTTAGAAATTGCGTCATTGTTTCTATTTTTAGAAATTGCGTCATTTTTTTCTATTTTTAGAAATTGCGTCATTTTTTCTATTTTTAGAAATTGTGTCATTGTTGCTATTTTTAGAAATTGCGTCATTGTTGCTATTTTTAGAAATTGCGTACTGTTGCTATTTTTAGAAATATGCTTAATGTTTATATTCATACATATACAAAATATATAAACAAAACTAATGTGACAAGAGAGACCAACTAAATTTATAAAAAGGAAACATCAATATATGTTCAAACCTTTCTATGTTTGCGTTTAGAAAAAGTAAAAAGTCGAGCGTTGCCCCCGCCCGGCGGTGGCTCTTGTTCATCATTTGAGACAACAAAAAGGGGGGGGGGTGAAAAAGGCGTTAAAAGGCATGTATATGAAGTAATGGGTTAATGGACTACAAATATCTAAGTTAAAGGTTAATGATTAAACCTAAAAATCACCAATAATTTCATTTCAAAAGGTTTCTATTTTTGGTGTCCTTTTACGATATCCAAAATGCTTCTCATTGGTCATATAACTGAACCATATTTTGTATCTTTCACATATTGACAGTACATTAATCTATTTCTGAGGGTGACTGTGCCTTTGAAAGTTTGATTTAATTTTTAAAATGTTTTTTTAAAATGTGTTTTTATATCCTTATATTCATGTTTTCCTCAAGTAATTACCAACTCCTCTACATGAATTATTTTAGACAAAAGAGGAATAAAAAAAAAGGATTTAAAGAACAATTTTTGTCATCATTAAATTTAAAAAAGTCAGGTTCCATGTCTTGTAGTTTTGTTTTTTTCTTTTATCAACAAATTTCAGAGGACCAAAGAAACCTCCCGGTGCAGTATCCATATTTCCCTCTGGTGTTGACCCGTTTAGTAAGAAAAAGGAATCAGAGGTGAAGAAAGATGACACACCCAAGAAAGTAGAGCCAGTAGGTCGACCACCAGCCAAGTCTATATCAATGTTTGATGATGAAGAAGAAGAAAATGATCTGTTTGGGGGTGGGTCTAATAATAAAGCTCCGCCTACAAAACAGGTGAATAGAAAATTGTAATAGTTGTATTATCATTATTATAAAAAGCTTATTAAAATAATTATATGCAATAATAAAGTTATTATAGTTCATCAAAATTGGAAAAGGTAAGTTTTACCTACCCTTCTTTTGTGGTTTTAGAAAAATTAACAAATATGAATAGTTTAGATTTTTAGCTGGTCTTTTTTGAAGAAATGTTGAGCTGATATTATTACTATGTTGTCATTGTCATCATCATTAAAACTTTAATATAGCCAATTATTCTAATTTTCTAAAAGGTATTAACCTAAAATTCAAAACATTTGCTTATCATAACAAGGTGCAGTTCTAAGACAAGGGGTTAAGTCCCTATTTTATTTATGATTTTGTTAAAATTGCCTCTAAGGTAGACTGATATTGAAATAATAAAAAATATCATTATGAACCTTAAAATACTTGTTAATCATGACAAGGCATGAACTGTTGTTAGACATAGGATATTATTCTGAAAGTCGTATGTTTGGATTTCTGATTTATAATTATTATGCCCCCCATAGAAGAAGAGGGGGTATATTGTTTTGCTAATGTCGGTCTGTCTGTCGGTCCGTCGGTCTGTCCGTCGGTAGACCACATGGTTTCCGCTGATTATCTTGAAAAGCGTTTATCACAAAGTCTTCATATTTCACATAGTGATTGGTCATGACTAGTAGATGACCCCTCTTGATTTTGGGGTCACTAGGTCAAAGGTCAAGGTCACAGGGACCTTAAATATCAAAATGGTTTCCGCTGATTATCTTGAAAAGTATGTATCACAAAGTCTTCATATTTCACATAGTTATTGGTCATCACTAGTAGATGACCCCTATTGATTTTGGGGTCACTAGGTCAAAGGTCAAGGTCACAGGGGCCTTAAATGTCAAAATGGTTTCCGCTGATTATCTTGATCACAAAGTCTTCATATTTCACATAGTAATTGGTCATAACTAATAGATGACCTCTATTGATTTTGGGGTCAAAGGTCAAGGTCACAGGGGCCTTAAATGTCAAAAGGGTTTCAGCTGATTATCTTGAAAAGTTTTCATCACAAAGTCTTCATATTTCACCTAGTTATTGGTCATAAGTAGAAGATGATGACCCCTATTGATTTTGGGGTCATTAGGTCAAAGGTAATTGTCACATGGGCCTTAAATGTCAAAATGGTTTCCGTTGATTTTTCCATAATTGAACACTTCCATGTACCCATTTTTGGCAAGTTTCTGTAATAAAATTACCAATTATGTGAGTCAATGGCTAGAAAGGGGGGTATATGTGTCGTTCGACATTCTTGTTTAGAATAGTTATTGAAATTAAATATTGATAGTCATGGCCCCAAACAGAAGAATGTAAACACAGCATCAGAATACATTTCATTTTGTTTTTTACAAAGACCTCGGCACCCAGTAAGACAAGTATATTTGATGATGATGGTGATATGTTTGGTGGCGAAGAGTCAGCAGATATTTTCACTAAACCACCACAGAAAACAACTCCTCAGCAGCAGGTTTTTGTTGTTTGTTTATTTTATTGAAAATAGATTGATATGATTCCATCTTTTGAATTGATTTTTATATGCCCGAAAGAATTTCGGACATGCCCGAAAGAATTTCGGACATGCCCGAAAGAATTTCGGACATATTATGTTATACCCCCTGGCGTCCGTCCGTCTGTCCGTCCGTCCGTTAGCAATTTGGTTTCCGGAGCATAACTTAAGTTCCATTTGGCCCACAATATTCAAACTTCATAGGATGATTGTCCACATTGGGTAGAAGACCCCTATTGATTTTGGGGTCATCAGGTCAAAGGTCAAGGTCACTATGACCTTAAAACTGAAAACAGTTTCCGGAGCATAACTTTAGTCCCATTTGGCCTACAGTGTTCAAACTTCATAGGATGATTGTCCATATTGGGTAGAAGACCCCTATTGATTTTGGGGTCACAATGTCAAAGGTCAAGGTCACTATGACCTTAAAACTGAAAACAGTTTCCGGAGCATAACTTAAGTTCCATTTGGCCCACAGTGTTCAAACTTCATAGGATGATTGTCCATATTGGGTAGAAGACCCCTATTGATTTTGAGGTCAAAGGTCATGGTCACTATTACCTTACAACTGAAAACAGTTTCCGGAGCATAACTTAAGTTCAATTTGGCTCACAGTGTTCAAACTTCATAGGATGATTGTTCAAATTGGGTAGAAGACCCCTATTGATTTTGGGGTCACAAGGTCAAAGGTCAAGGCCACTATTAACTTAAAACTAAAAACAGTTTCCGGAGCATAACTTAAGTTCTATTTGGCCCACAGTGTTCAAACTTCATAGGATGATTGTCCATATTGGGTAGAAGACCCCTATTGACTTTGGGGTCACAAGGTCAAGGTCACTATTACCTTAAAACTGAAAACAGTTTTCGGAACATAACTTAAGTATCATTTGGCCTACTGTGTTTAAACTTCATAGTATGATTGTCCATATTTGGTAGAAGACCCCTTATGATTTTGGGGTCACAAGGTCAAAGGTCAAGGTCACTATTACCTTAGAATTGAAAACAGTTTCTGGGGCATAACTTAAGTTCCATTTGGACCACAATATTGAAACTTCAAAGGAGGATTGTTAATTGAAGGAGGTAATACTTTATTTAATTCCTATGTCTTAAAAATGCTTCATCTTTACTAAAAAAAAAAAATCACTTTCGGGCATATAATGCTCCGCCTAGCGGTGCTCTTGTTTAGAATTGTATTTCAAAGCCAAGGTTTGTCATAAGCTGCATTGAATAAATGCAACTAGTTTAGCCATGCTGTTAAAATTAAATAGATTTGTTTAATAAGTGTGTACTGAAGTTATAATTCTGTGTCTATGTGGTATTGCTGAAAACAATGTAACAATAGTCAATATGTTAAATTACAGTAAACAGGATCTATGTTTGCTCACTTTTGTGTGTTCAAAGCTAGCATAAATGTTTTTTATGTAGAGCAGCTTTCTAGCTTGTTTTAACATTACCACTCTAAATATCTTAAATGAACTTGTCCATCTTTAACCCTTTACCTCATATAGATGTGTTTTGACAGCTTTTCGATTTCCCCCTCCTTTTTTTTGAGGCCTCAAACAGTGAAAAATTACCCTATTTAGGCCCAAAACACTGTTTTTCGTTTGGGAAATGTTGCTAAAAAAAGTGATCACTTTTTCGGCGCCGGCCCCCATCCAAAAGGTACATCAGGGGGTGCCAGAAGGGGGATATGCCCCCTTCTGTTTGGGGGGTTTGAAGGGGGGCTGCAGTCCCCCTCATCCCCAAGAAAATTTTGGACTTGTGAGAGGCTAAAAATGACCCCAGGTTGATCATAAGGTAATGTGTAACCAACCCTGAAAATTGAGGAGTGCAGCACTTTGAAATCAATTTTGACAGCAATTTTGAGATGTCCCCTCATTGCCATGGTAACAGGAAATTTAAGACTGAGCATGTCGTTACTAGGGCAATGGTCCAGTCAACATTTGTGCAAAGTATTGGTGTATTTTTCATAGTTTTATAGCAGTCTGATCTTGTAACAGGAGGCTTTTCAATGAAAACAGCCATTTTTAGCTCGACTTTTTTTTAGTAGAGGTATTGTTACAGTCGGGTCGGCGTTGACTGAGTCGTTACAAAGACAAAGGTGCAGTCAACATTTGTGCCAAGTTTGATTAGTATTGAAGCATTTTCATAGTTTATAGCAGTTTGAACTTGTAACAGGAGGCTTTTCAATGAAAACGGCCATTTTTCACAATATGCTCATGAGGAAAAGGGTTAAGCTGGACAAAATGATTCATTCTTTTTAGGGAAAATTGCAGAATAAGTTCTGACTGAACTGTGCACTGTATGCATTGGTAGAAGCAAGGTGAAGGTACATGTACTTGTACTTGTATTACCATTCATGCTGGAAATACTTCTGATAGAGTAACCTTGATGTCTTCTTCCAATAGTAAATTAGAAAATGAATCACATTGTATATAATAATGTTAAATCCAACCAATGAAACTGAGATAAGCAGAGCTATTACATTGTTCTCAGGTAACTAAAGCTGCTCCAGCAAAAGTCAACAAAGGACCTTCATTGTTTGGTGGTGATGATGCCAGTGATGATGATGATGACCTGTTTGGTACAGGGACACCTAAGGTATTTAAAGATAATTTTAGTCTGTTCCATGAATTCAACATCATCAACAACAATGTATAAAACGAATGTATGATTTGAATTGAAGTTAATGAAATTAACAAATCTTATTGGATGATATGTAGATAATTAGAACAAAATTGTAAGTTAAACCCGGGAAAAATTTATAATGAAACAATTAATTTTTAAAATTAAATTCTTTTTTTTAAAAAGTCACAAGGGATGATCCCTTTTGAAACCCCGCATCCTCTAAGTTCTGTTTAAAAGGAGAACATTTTATCTTTGCAGCTTTTTTAAAAAAAAACGAGTCGTGTAAAAATCTCAGAATAAATTTGAAATGTATTTCTTTCGCAAAGAAGATGTCCTTACTTCAAGTTTTGATTTATTTATTCAAAATGCCTTGATACAACACTTCCCTTTCTGGTCAAGTTTAATTGATATTTTCTAGATTTCTGTTTAAGATTTTAACGCCAGGTGTATGCAGTTACCAGAATCTAAATTGCATTCAGCGTGAAATACTGACAAGACAGAGAAGCACGCAGCTTTTTTTTAAAAAAATTTCCTCATAATATCAACTTTTATTTAAATCAGAAATAGATTTTATTATTTATGAAGCAGATATGATATGCTATAAATGTCAGATTACTGTCTGGTAGAGATCACTGACACAGTTTTAATCATATAAGAAAGATGAAATTTTTACAAAAGAAACAAATGTTTATTATCGGTACAGATGTCTAAACCATCAGGAAGTGTTGGTATATCAGGGGCAACCACAACAGAATCCACAGATACTCCAGATAAAAATGAGGTAACCATATTCTATAAACAATACTAAAAGATGGCCGATGAAAATCAGTAAAAAAAGAAAAATTTGTATCTTGGTTTAAATCATTAATCACTGCTGGATTTCAAATATGTTTATTGTAATGATTTCGAAGATATTATTTTTTGTTGAATTAAGCAATCCTATAAAAGTTATGATAGTTGACACATTAGCACTGACATTATAAAAGGAATGTGTAAATTGTCATCCAGGGGTTGATGATTTGATCCTTTGGTGTAGGCAAAATTTATTGGTTATAATTGATCTTGGACATTAAGTGTAATGGTCATTTGTCTCCCATTGTAGATAGATCAGTACTGGAATACTTATCCAGGAAAGTCACTGATCAAAATTGTTATCTGAAATGGGCGTTCTAAATTTAAGGTCAAGGTTGATAACTTCACCTTACTAGTAGTCACTACTTTAATGCACACTACTTTGATACACAGACAAACTTCTGAAGTTTTCCTCCACCAAAAACTTCAATCATTGTAATTGTATCAAAGGAAAAAACAAGCTTACTTGAGAATTATTGAGCACAATGGCTTATATTTATTTATCCTCACCCCTTGAAAAATACCATATGAGAGGGCATCAGTACAATTGTGTTTATGTGTGCTTGGTTTATCTACCCACCCCACTAGAAAAATGCCAAATGACAGAATAAACAACAGTAAATCACCCCTATGGCACGCTATGTGTAAATTTATGTTTTATCATTTAATTTAAAGGAGAAAGTTTCTGAGCAGAAGACAAAGAAACCTCCAGTGGGTGGGGTATCAATGTTTGGACCAGCTTCAGGGAATTTGTTAGCAGGAAATAAGGCAGCTGTATCAAAGACTGAGACCATTGCTGAAGTGGTTGTTAAAAAACCTGAACCCAGAAAACCAGCAGGTAACTTGTTGTTGTAATTACTTTCTTGTGTCAGAGGTTTATTATATAATTCACATGAAATAAACTATTGCCTTTTGATATAACCTCATAGTCATATATCATAAATTGAAGGTTCAACTTGGGCTAGATGAAAACAAGAACATTATATAAATGGTTTGAATGATTTTTATACGCCCGTTTGAAAAAACGGGACGTATTATGGGAACGCCCCTGGCGGGCGGCGGGCGGGTGGGCGGCGTTCCAATTTTGTCCGGAGCATATCTCCTACATGTATGGAGGGATTTTAATGAAACTTCATAGAAATGTTTCACCACTATGAGGAGCAGTGTCGCGCACATGAACCAGGTCTCTAGGTCAAAGGTCAAGGTCACACTTAGAGCTCATTGAAAAAATGCTTGTCCGGAGCAAAACTTCCACATGTATAGAGGGATTTCAATATTACTTGGCACAAATGTTCACCATTGTGAGGCGGAGTGTCGCGCGCAAGATTCAGGTCCTTGCGGCCAAGGTCAAGGTCACACATAGAGGTCAAAGTTTAGATAAAAATATGAAGATGTGTATAGGGACGATTTAATCATCATTTATTGAGGGATTGTAACACAAATGGTCATTATCATGACTACGGCTGTGACACATGTACTTTAGGTTCAAAATATGCAAGGTCAAGGTCACTAAAGATGGTGAAATATCCAGATATTGTCTGGAGCATATCTCCTACATGTATGGAAGAATTTTTATAATACTTTATGGAAATGTTCACCACCATGATATGTATTGCTCCATGCATGATCCAGGTCTCCAGGTCAAAGGTCAAGGTCACACTTAGAGCTCATTGAAAAACGCTTGTCTGGAGCAAAACTTCTACATTCATAGGGGGATTTCAATATAACTTGGCACAAATGTTCACCATTGTGAGGCTGAGTGTCGCACGCAAAATTCAGATCCCTGCAACCAAAGTCAATGTTACACATAGAGGTCAAAGTTCAGATAAAAATTTGAAGATGTGTATAGGGACCATTTAGTCATCATTTATTGATGGATTGTAGCACAAATGGTAACTATCATGACTACAGGTGTGACACATTTAATTTAGGTTAATATTTGCAAGGTCAAGGTCACTGGAGATGATTAAATATCCAGATGTTGTCCGGAGCATATTTTCTACATGCATGGAGGAATTTTAATGTTACTTTATAGAATTGTTCACCACCATGAGACTTAGTGCCCTGCACATGAACCAAGTCTCTAGGTCAAAGGTGAAGGTCACAGGTAGAGCTCATAGAAAAACGCTTGTCTGGAGCAAAACTTCTACATGCATAGAGGGATTACAATATAATTTGGCACAAATGTTCATCATTGTGAGGCTGAGTGCCGTGCATAAAATTCAGGTCCCTGCGACCAAGATCAAGGTCACACATCCTGTGCATATCTTCCTACTGATTTGTTTTAAGGTTCATTTAACAACACAGTGCCAAGAATAAAAACTTGCTTGCTAGATAACACTTATCCATAATGCCCCCATCTCCATCTAAAGCTTTCGTAAACGGGCGTATTTTGTGACTATGGCACCCTTGTTTCACTATGCAATCTGCATTTCAAAGGGAATAAGATTTTTTTCTATGATAAATTGCCAACAAATAAAGTTGATTTCCAAATCATATTGTATGTTTCTGGTATTCTTAGTAGTTTTCCATGATGTGAATTAATTTGATATTTGTGTGTAATTTGGTTAAGTTTTGTCCACTAACTTTTTCTGAATGAAACAGCTGTTGATCCGTTATTTGGTGGTGGTGGTGGTGATGATGATGGAGGTGATTTATTTAATGGACCAGTCAAGAAACCAGAAGTGAAAAAAGCAGTACCAGTCAAACAGGAAGCGAAGAAAGAACCAGTCACTCAATCTCCTGGCCCTCTAGTTGATGATGATGATGACTTATTTGGTGGATCAGTCAAGAAACCTGACGTGAAAACAGAACCAGTCTCCAAAAAATCTGAAAAATCATCTGGTCCTCTTGATTTAGATGAGGATGAAAATGATTTGTTTGGAAGTGGAAATCCACCAGCTAGCAAACCAGTAAAAATTTTGTTGTTGTTTACAAGTCTTGAATATAATAATGATAGAAATGAAGGTTGGTAAAATCTATAATTGACTGAGAAAAACTCCATTGAAATATTGTTATTAAGTTTGAGGTAATTCGAGTTTGGTTTGAGTTTTTCTTCATTTGTAATTTTTGATTACAAATCATAATTTAAAAGTTTTGTTCATCATTAAATGTATGGTTTATGCAGTGTGATCGGTGATAGCAATCTGCTTTTAAATATTATGACATTTACTTTTAATCTCTGTTTCAGCCGGAGTCACCCACTGAGGTGAAACCAAGGAAGCCTGTAGGAGGGGTGTCCATGTTTGGTGGCATGGACCCATTTGGAGCTATGAAGAAGCCTGCAAGTGCAGGAATAAGGACACCAGGTAGAACAGCAGAACTTTTAAACCCTCTAAAATCCGGAAAGTTAAGCACTCTTGAATCCTATCTTTGAACCAACCATTACTAAACAAAAATTACCTGATCATTGTTTATGTGGGATTAATAGTAGGACACTTGTAGAGAAATCAGTAAGTGTCCAGGAAAGCTGGTGGATATACTGCCAAGAACAAAGAATGTAAAGTTTCTAATTTTTAGTATTTCAGTGAAATTAGATTAAAATAAATGTTAATACAACATTGTATAAAGTAAGTGGTTTATATAATAATTGAGTTGTTGTAAGATTGACATTATGAACATTGAGGTACAACCTTGCCCCCTAAAAGATTTTAATCTTTAGTTTAGTTTATTTATATCTATTTTAGCATTGATTGTTTTAAATATTCTTGCAATTTAATAAAGCCTTTGATTTCCACTTCCTGGGAACTAACGTAGTACTGGCATGTCAAGATGAAAGGGAAAATGTGTTGTTGCCTGCATGGCCAAACCCCCTTTTATTCCCCTTGGGGCAGAGATCTTAAAACCACATAGGCGCACTTTCTGCAAACTTAACCTTTATGGAAAAATTTTGGCTATAAGTGGTTATTAAATGGAACAGCTTAATAGTTCAAATTTAAGTCAAATTCACTGCTATTTTCGCGGGAACGTGCTTTCCTTGAACCTTGACCTTTATTGATTCTTTTGATTTTCAAGGTTTTGGGTTCAAAATTCTAGTAATTTGACCATAACTAATTATCTCAAATTTTGTCAACATTTTACTAGCACATATATTATAATATAAAATTGTTATAAATCTGTACATCAATATGCTGTAACCATGTTCAACGATTATTTTTAATATGTTACACATATATTTTGAATGCTTGTTTTTCTAGACTTACCAAGCCCTGATGATGATGATTTATTTTCCAGTGCTGATCAGGTAATTTCTTCATTACTAACATGACATTCCTACTGTGTCTTTATTTTGTCCCGAGTGATTGAAATGTCTATTAATAGCTGTCAAGATTGTATTTGTCTAGATCTAGGTCACTGTTACAAAAAAAAATTAGATTTTTTTTATACTTTTGCTCTTACAACCTTAATTGACTAAAGGATAACCTTGTTTGGAAAATTTGTTACAGACCAGAATCTTACCAAACATGTTCTTGTCTTTGCTCATCTTCATTTACATTGTTATAGTTTGCTTGAAGTAGTGATCATTTGATTTTTCTTTGATATCTGTTTATTTACAGTGTACTTTTGCTAAAATCTACTAAATAACAAGTGTAAAATTCACTCTCTAAAATTTTCTGATTAACATATAATAATCTGCAAATTCATTTTGATAAGACAAATGAAAGTTTTCTTAGTTATTTTTTTATCAACTTTATCAACCCTGTTAAGATAAAAAAAACAACACTTTTATACTGAAACAAAAAAATCAATAACATTGTACAAAATTATACAAACTTTTCTGCAAATAAAGTAGTTTTACACTGAAATTAATAGTGCATTTTGATGCTTACATTTGTATTTGCATAGTTATTTTCTTGTGTGTGAATAAGATTGCTAGCTTTTTTATCTTTAATTACATGGAATGCTTTGCTTTTATTCTTTGTTTTAATGTTTTTATCCTTAAACATTAATCTAATATTTTAAACTTTTAACATCAGAAAATTTAAACCTGTCCAATTTTTGTTTGTTTCATAATATTGATTTTGTGTTGTAGCTGCTCTCCTTTGTTTTAGATGTTTTTAGGCATTGCTGATTGCACTTACATGTATATTTTGTTTTTGCTCTTTGTTGCCATAGAAACCAAAAGTCTCTAAGTCAGTTCAGGAGCCGATATTACCAGCTGCCGGTTCTCCTACGAAGGGTAAAATTGGAAAACTACAGGTTACTGTCATTTTTGTATTTTAACCCTTAGTTTGCTGGAATTGAAAGTGAAAAGCCTTTGCCACCAGTATAGAGCCAGACTTGTCTGTAATTCCATGCAGTCTGATCAGACCCTATACTCTAGTTAATTAAAGTATTGAAATCACTTGTAAATTGAATGGACTGTTCCAAATTAAAAGCAGGGTAAATCCATTACAAATATTCAGCAGGTTAAGGGTTAAATCATTTTTTGATCTAACAGCTAACAAAACACTGATACATGTAAATCAGTGTTTCTTTAACTCATTTATCTACAGCATCAAAATTAATAATGCATTGCAACTGTGTATCTGCTTTGTTGGACTTAGTTCTGTTAAACAGGTATTATTTTCTCTGATTAACAGACAATTAAGTGTGAAAGTTGTTTAAATCAGACAAGGCAGTATATGGGGGCCAGACAATTAGGATCGTTTATATGACATATGACAGGTTCTCAATTGTGTGTATTTCAGTTTATTTATACTCGCCACTGGTTGCCCATATGGGCGAGTCCTCAAGAAGAGTATTAGTCATTTTAGATTTTTTTAGGAAAGTGCAAGATACAGCAAATTCCAGAATCTTCTTCTGGTTCTTTAGTGTGCCAAGTGTTTAAGCACTTGTACACAGAACCTTGAGGTAAAGTCCCATCCGAAAGACTGTTTAAGTAATTTTGGTTGATCAGCCCCGATATCGAACCCAAAATGTCGAGATTACAAGTTTTGTGCTCTAACTGAATGAGCTATGTGGACTGCTACCCACAGGTTATCATAATAATTCAGACCATTTATATAGAAAAATAAGTTGGGTAGACTGCCAGTCTGACTGAAACAAGGTCACAAGGTCTGGTAAGACAGTTGTTTAAAGGGTCAGTCAGGCAGTGTCACTCTACTTAAGTGTTTTCATAAAAGTTTCCATACATTTGTAGGGATATTTGATTGTTTTTGTGTCCTTAAAAATGATGAATGGTTTTGCCCAGATAGTCCAAGCTTTAAGTTAATTCTTCAACTTTTTGTAACTGGAAAGTCTATCTGAAAAAATAAACTTTTTGCTTGACTTGTCTTAGTTAAAAAAAAACCTTTAATGCTGATTTAAGTAACACTTTATAGTTTATTGATACTGTTCATGTTTGCATGGAATACTTGAATTTTTTGTATTTTGGTTATAACTTGATAATGGAAATATATGCTTAAATTTTAAATTATGACAGTTTATTATATTTTTTTGTATTTAGTGTTAACTTACTTTCATATATTTCATTCATCCAGTATTGTATTACCTTTTTTCAAGTGATAGTGAAGTAACTATATAAATTCTTTATTTACTATCTGCAATATAGCGCTAAATTATATAAAGTGCGGTTTGTCGGCTATAATGTTGTACCAATTTATATGCTTTTCTTACATGTTCATAACGTCATTTTATATTATATATGTACTGAAGAATACTGTATAGTTAAAACATGTCTACAATGATATTGTAGAAAATTAATTATTCTGTATTTTAGGCTACGCTGAACTTTAATCCAGCAGCCATGTTGCCCGGGGCAGCACCACCAGTAAAAGAGCCTGAACCCCTCAACATAGGCTTTGATGCCCCTGCAGAAGTTAGGACTCTTCAGAGTGCAAATAAAGTAAGTATGTTTGTCAAATCATTTTTATAAACCTGAAAAAAAAATTGCATTCCGGTGATGTTGCCATGCTAATACGGTGCTCTTGTTATGCACATATTAGAGAAATTATACATGTAATTGGTTTTTGCTTTGTATTAGTAGTTAAAGTAAGAAATGAATAATTTTTGCTTTACCAAGCTTGGTCACAAGTTATTAGAGAAAGACTACTTGACTAAATTTGTTAACCAGCTTATATATGCTTTAGAGATAGTGCCTCTCAGTTACCAAAAATGTAATAGCTGATATGCGATAAAATAAAAATTATCCACTAACGTTTTTGGTCATGAGTGCGGGAGAGGGAAGGGAATAGTTATAAGAATCTTACACTAGCTGCCTTCATAGTTCAGGGTTATTGTTTTTGTTGGTTACGAGGCTCAGCTGAGAGTTTTTCCTAGCCCTGGTGACAATAAAAAATTCTGTCAGAGAAATATGAAATACTATACTAAATAATATTCAAATTAAAACATTATTTCAGGACAGAGCCAAGATTCAAAACAAGAGGCGTCCACCTTCAAGGCAAGCTAGAAAATCTGCAGTATTGTCCTCCCCTAGTTCTTCTGATGATTTATTTAATATTCAGTCTAGTCCTATCACCAGTCCATCTTCTTCTGGATCAGGCTCCAGTCCAGTGAAAACTCAAGCAGGAACCAGTCCAGTGAAAACTCAAGCAGGAACCAGTCCAGTGAAAACACAAGCAGGAACCAGTCCAGAACTTCCTGACCTAGATTTTGACCCCTCAAGAATTCCTCCTCCTATATCAGGTTCTTATTTTATGTTTCAGATAGTAAACTGTCAATAATTTTACTGAAATGAAATTTATTCATAATTTCAATGGAGTATTCTTTACTGGCATATTTTTGACCTTTTTAAATATTTGTTATTTCAGAAATGAAATTTTTATGCCCCTCATCACTTTGGATTCCAGTCCAATCAGAAACTTTGGATTCTTTAATATTAAGAACCTATACAGCTAGCTTGCTGAAGATTTATGGTTTTACTCATGTGTTCTTTTCTCACAGAAATATAATAATGCACATAAGGTTTTGTTCCACCAGTGATGCTTGTGAAAAAAGTTGAAAACTTACTTTTAATCACTTTTTCCTGCATCCTGGAATTAACCAGACTTAAAGGTATATTATGCTCAAATTTGAGATTTGAGAAAATATTTAGAATTTCTACACTGTCTCTTTGTGAAAATAGAATAAATATGTTTTGACTAAATACAAAGCAGATACACGTATATTGTTTTAAACTTTACACACTATAAATGGGCACAGTATGAATATAATTTGTCATTAAAAATAGAAAGTAAGTTTCTTTTTAAGAAAAGACCAACATTATTTGACTTGTAAAAGGGGATGCAACTTCCCATACATTGTACATTCTTTGATTCAAATTTGACATATGCAAAAAAAAAATATAAAAAAAATTATAGATTTCAATAAATTTCTGCAAAAAAAAATTTTACTCAAAGATGAGCATAGCTTATCTTTATAATATTGATATTATTATTATTATTGATGTTTCAATGGTTTGTTTGATCTGTAGTTATTTGAGCCGCGTCACGACAAAACCAATGTAATGTTTTTGCGACCAGCATGGATCCAGACCAGCCTGTGCATCCGCGCAGTCTGATCAGGATCCATGCTGTTCGCTTACAAACACTATTACAAGTAGAGAAACTGATAGCGAACAGCATGGATTCTGATCAGACTGCGCATATGCGCAGGCTGGTCTGGATCCATGCTGGTCGCAAACACGCTATGTTGGTTTTGTCATGACGCGGCTCATTTATGTATTTTTTTTATTTTTTAGACTCTCCAGAGAGAAGTCCATCTCCTGATTTGAACAATGGAACAGACCAAAATTCAGATATATTTGGAAATGATTTGTTTGGTAGTGATTTACCTAAATCTGGTGCTAAATCCTTGATTGGTGAGCGTAAGAATACAAACCCTGATAAAAGTAGTGCAGACGATTTGTTTGCTGGTAAAAACTTAGATTTTCCAAAGACTAAAACAGAGAATTTAGATGACTTATTTACAAGTGCTAATGATAATACTACTAAAAGTGTTCCCAAATCAAACACTGCTGGTGATGATGATGATGATTTGTTCTCTTCTGTACCAAAACCATCTTCGACTAAAAATAAACAGAAAAGCTCAATATTAGAAGAAGAAGACATATTTAATGCAGTACCAAAGAAAACGGAAAAAGTAAAAGAAGAGAAAAAGCCTGTGATAACAATTGACGAAGATGATGATGACATTTTTGCCATTAAAAAAACAAAATCCAAACCAAAACCATCGCCTATACCAGATGATGATGATGATGATTTATTTACATCACCATCTTTGACCAAACCAAAGGATAAAAAGAATGAGAAGTCATCTGCTGAAAAGAAAGCAGAAGTTAGTCCAGAAAATGATGATGATATATTTGGTGCAGCGACTAAAATCGACAAAAAGAAACCTAAGAAAGTAGTGACAAAAGACGAGGATATTTTTACGGACCAGACAGACATATTTAGTGACATTCCACAAGCTAAACCAAAAGAAAAGAAGGTGAAAAAGAAAACAACAGCCACACCTAAGAAACAAATATTCAAAGATGATATAGGTATGTAGATGCTTTTAGCAAGAAGTTTAAGTCACAAATACCTTGTTTGATTGTTATATCAAAGTTTCCATGCTTTCTTACATGTACATATAGTGCCTTTTACTATGAAATTTCTTTTTATATTTAAAAATTTATCGTTCAAGGGACTCCACTGTAATTTCTTGACATGAAGGAACTGAATTTTTTTTTTTGAGACTTCTGTACCATTTGATGTAGGTGTGACCCAATAACTTGTATGCAAAATTTCAGATCATTTCCTCCCTGTTTTCAAGAACAATTATTTTATTGTGCAAATTGACAAAAAAAAAAATTGAGAGCGTTGCAAGGCTCATCACTTAAAGCGGGTATAAAAGCGCGCAAAATAATAATTTTTCGATTTAATTCTCAGTTTATTTGTTTTTCTTTTCCAGATTTTCCATTGTATGTGCATCACTTGATCTATGCAAGAATTTTAAATTTTATATTTTTATGCTTTTTGACCACAATGGAGCTAATGTATATATTTATTTACAGATGATATATTTGCTGATACGAGTGCATCAGGTTCAAGTAAAACAAAAGAAAAGAAGAAGAAAACTGGGACAAAGGAGAAATCTGAGAAAACCAAAACTAGTGAAGCAATAGATGACCCCCTTTCATAACGTTAAAGCAGAATTTAGATATTGAACAGAACAAGTCAATATGACACTGAAAGTCTAGCATGATATGTGACATAGAAATTAAAGGGACACGACAAAGGTGTTTTGAAATGACATGACTGGAAGTTTTTTTTTTGAGATTTTTTACACCATTTTATGTAGATTTATCTCATTACTTTGTGAGCAAAAAGACCGAAAAATGCGTTTAAATGATTTTAACAGAAAGTGAACAAGGAATCCTGTTTGAAATTGATTTTCAATTTACTTCTTGGTATATTTCTTTAATATCTTTTTCCTATTTTGTTCTGTTTTTAGTGTTACGTTTATTGTATTTATCATTTTGACTTTATGTTATTAGGCTTTTGGACTTCAGTGGAGCTTCTTTAAGTTATTATTATGAGATTAAGTAATTAAATTTAAAAATAGCAGCAAGCTCTGGATGATCCCCACCTATAAATGCAGTATTTAGGTAATTATAGAAATCAAGACAGAAAATATGGCTATAAATCTAACAGAATATGTGACAAAAGTTTCTTCTTTTATTTCTCTTTCTTTTCATCAATTGATTTAATAAGAACTTAAACATGACATATTACTTTATTCAATGAATTAGAGGTGATTTAGATAGTTGGTGGGTTATTTTAAGTTTTCCTATACTGAGATAAAATTTTATTAATAAAAAATCATATTTTTTTTTTTCTTTTACTTTGGATAAATTTAAAAATGTCTGTCAATGGAAAGATGATGATACAACATAATAACTGCTGGTCTATGAATTATTTGCCCTAATTTCAGTCATAGATTGATAATTTAATTGAAGGACATAATTGCTACAGTTCCCTTTAAGTTTTGTTTTAAGTACCTCCCTTATTATTAAAATATTGATTAAACCTACTAAAATGAATGCAATTTTTGATGGGATAATATATTGACTGAACATTTTTTGAACACTTATCTGGGACACTCAATTGGTTGTGAAGAATTGTTTGAAGTATGCATTTTTTATGCTAGTTTCAGAGTGAGCAAATACTTCACTTTTTATCAGATAATAAATTTATGTTTTTGTTAAGTGTCGTGTTATTGGCAAGTGAAGACACTTACGTTTAGTGAAAATTTTAAAGTTTCAACATTACTTTCATAAAGTATATTTGAATTTTATATGTTTCTCTAAAATATGTCCTATATTTGAATATCATTTTTCCATCAAAACCTTCACAAAAGGAGCTATATTACTCTATGTGTGCAATATGATAGATGGGTTTTCATTTTCTCATGTATTTGTTATGTTACATGAACAATGACTGTTATGGTATCAATGTTATATAATGCGTTTTGGAGAAGTATATTATTTGTAAGGCATACAAAATTAAACAATAAAACTATTTATATATATGTACACATGTATTATATATACTTAAAATTCATCTTTATTATTTATTCATTTTTACCTCGAGTTTTCAAAGAATATGGAGAGCTATTGTACTCATTCCGGCGTCGGTGTAGCCAAACGTGACACTGGTTAAGTTGGTATCACAAAAACTACTGAAGGGAATGGGTTGAAACTTCAAACATTCACTTGAGCATAATAGCAGGTCACTTTTTTGATACAGTGGACTGAATATATAATACCTCCTATAAACTGGTTGTATTATTTGTTTATATTTTCCGGTTTGTAAAAACATACACATTAAGTAGGAAAATAATAATGTGTTTTTAACATCATATAATTAAATTAAAATTTACTTCATGTGAACTTTTCCATGACAAGCTAGAATGAACTTACTCATGAAATCTCACCGTGCTGTCAGTGCCTGAAAGGAAGGATGTATCGTTATGAAGACTGGAATACAATCATACATACATTGAGATTGTTTCATTGTAGACCTTTTTTATATGTATAATGGTTGACGACCTTAGCACAGTGGGCTTAAAAGGCCTTTGCTGGCATAACAGCCCCTTTTCGCTACCTCTTCCTTTTCATTTTGTCTCAGGTTATTGTACATGGTCACCACACAGTAACCTAATTTGGCTTTGACTAATACTTGGAGGTACTTTGTGCTTCAAAATTAAGCCTTAAATGACCTGACGTGTCCGGGGTCCTTAATCGGCAGCGAAAGTTGCTTTTTGTGCCTAAACGGGCAGATGGACCCTCATTAAGCGATGATTGTTTCAGACACACAAAATTTTACCCATGGATGTATATACGAAAAGTGTTCAATCTATAACGTTACAATGCCAGGGCTTAAATACAGAATGACAACAATTTGTTGTAGATTATCAGATTTGTCACCATTAGATAAGAGTTGTTATTTATTTATCATTGACCAGGAATCATTTGTTCTTCATATATGCGGCAAATTTAAGCAAGGCCAAGATATAAGTTTGTTTTTAATAACATTGCTAGTGCGTGTGTTTGGCAATGACGACAAGACAGGGTCGTCCGTGGCCGAGTGTATTAAGGTCGTTGACTAACCACTATGCCCCTCACCGATGTGGATTCGAATCCCAGCAGGGATTCTTTCATGTGAGGAAGCTATCCAGCTACATGTAGCCCAAGGAACGTCGGTGCTCATTCGTGCCTGAAATAATGCACGGAAAGCCACCCGAGTTCTTCCTCCGCCAGTAAAGCTGGAAAGTCGCCTTATGACCTATACTGTGTTGGTACGTGCGACGTAAAACCCAACAAACAGACAAAAAACAGCAATATCAAGAGGAAAGTAAACGATTTTATGTCGTTTGATACCCCCAAGTATAACGGAGAGAACCGAAGTATGACGGAGAGCCGGAGAGAGCCGGAATATGACGGAGAGAACAGAAAAGCAAATATCCCATCAATAAAACGAAGAAAAAACATATATTGAAAAAAAAATGAATTAATACAAATGAAAACTATTATAAGTTTTGCAAAGCCTTAACGGAAATTGCGTTCAATATATTGCATGTTGAATTCATTGTTTATTTAAACTGATATTTATCAGTGTCATTTATCATTGTAAACAAAGTTGCGTTTAAAGCTTCTGTATTTAATTTATGATCTTTTTAAATTCTTTCTAGTCTCCTGAAAACATTATTGGCCCATCATTGATATGGGTATAGATTGATATTGATTGTACTTGATCTCGTATCTTTTGAAATGTGATCTCACTTTTAGATGTATAATAGTCTATTAACGTACGTTATGAGATGGTGTGATTGTTCATAAAAGATCATATATTAGTATTTACTACTATTAAGACCGCTTATACAAATATCTTTACTGTATGGTGCATATATTTTGGTTCGGTGTTTTAAACAAATATGCTTAAGTTGTTTTTAACCAGATTTTTATTTTTGAAAATTCTGGTTATTAGGTTTGGCGGGCGTCAAACATGTGGTTCCGGTCAATAATGAGATATTGTAACCAAACTTGGTATATAGCAATTCCTTGTGGAGACCTCGCTTGGGCCACTAGGGTCAAGGTCACTGTTCCTAAAAATATAAAAATGGTTCCGCTCGATAATTTGAGTAAGGAATAGGATGTTGTAATCAAATTTGGTATAATTATAGAAATTCTTTGTGGAGACCTCGCTTGGGATTGCTTTGAGCCCACTAGGGTCAAGGTCGCTGTTCCTAAAAAATATAAGAATGGTTCCGGTCGATAATTAGAGTAAGGAATAGGATATTGTCAACAAATTTAGTATATAACAAGCTTATGTGGAGACATCGCTTGGGATAGCTTTTGAGCCCACTAGGGTCAAGGTCACTGTTACTAAAAATGGAAAAATGGTTTCCCGTCGATAACTAGGGTAAGAAATAGGATATTGTAATCAAACTTCGTATACAGCAAGCTTATTTTGAACTCTTGATTGTAATTGCTTTTGGACTCCTTCCTTGTGCTAAAAGTCTGAAACATGATTTTCGGTAGATGATTAATTAGTTTCAAATGTTGTATATAGCAAGCTTATGGTTGTCGAGATCTCCCTTTTGTCAAAGCCAGGGTTACAAAAGAGAGTTAGGAATGAAATATTTATTAACACTTTACAAAACACTTAATAATACGCCAAAACAGACACCGAATAATTAGCATGTGACCCTGTCCTAAAAATGACCACGACAGTCAACGGCTGGTTATGTTACTGAATTATTCTTAAATTGCCATAACTTTGTTATTTAGGGATGGTCTCATGGCATTGCCAGTACTAACAATTTATTACGCCTAATATTTTCATATTGAACTATTGTCTCCGCTTTGAAACGAGCGTTATACTGAATTAAATCAGTGTCTGATGTACCGTGTGCCCAGCCCACACCCATGAAATCAGTGTCTGATGTACCGTACGTGTGCCCAGCCTACACCCATGAAATCAGTGTCTGATGCACCGTGTGCCCAGTCTATATAATGAATTAAACAGTCTGATGCACCGTGTGCCCAGTCTATAGTACCAATAAATATCTATCTATATCATTCATTGAACTGGTTATAGATCATTTAAAATCTTTTTAAAAAAAACTAATCATAAGTTCGTAACCGGAATATACCCTGTATGTAATCGGGTTACGGAACTTGTGGTACAAAATATACCATGCGTGTGTGCTTTTTATATATTTATAAAGGATAGTTCTAAATCATGGAATCAGTTTTCAGGACTTTTATTGTTCTGTCATTGATTTTTGTGTGATCATTACATAAAATGTTTTACGTGCAGGTACTTTAATAACTTTCAGAACAAATACATCTAACTAGGTTGACAAGAACAAATAGTTGTAATATAACATTGAACGATCTATGTAAACATAATTTTATTATGTGTTTTAAACATGTTTGCATTAGGAAATGTATTTTTTTATGGTTTAATTAAACTGTTTAGCTATTTGAATGATTGAAAAAAATGGTGTTAAATCTACTGATTAGATCCACTAAAGTGGCATAAAATCCTTTTCCTATGAAACGTCAGCGTAACCGGTCTAATGACAAACTTAGCTTGTTATCTTTTTAAAACACAACATCATCATCAACAGCAGCGCCATCATCACAATCATCATCATCATCATCGCAATCATCATCATTATCATCGTAATCATCATCATCGCAATCATCATCAATATCATCGCAATCATCATCATTATCAATACTGTAATTGTGTTAATGACCAGTTTATCATTATTTTCGCCCTCACTTAATTGATAAACAAAATTTTTTGTCATTTGGTGAAAAATCGCGGGTGTGATCCCCGAACACTCGGCTGTATTTGTACCTGTATCACTTTTACCACGGCCTGCCAGCGATTCATTCCAAATGATATCATTATGTCAAAGTATAATTGGCTATTAATATATTGTTTAAGTGTAATTTATAATACTAACATTATTACTTAATTTTCTCCGACCTGATTGTTTCTTTATTTCATTTTGAAAAAATATGTACCTAAGAATAACAAATTGTTTATTTTTAAACTAAGATTACTTCCCATATTAAAATACACGTTGTATTTGTTTTTGCCAAAAATTAATTACATTAGAACACGCTTACTGGCTTAATTATTTATTTTTCTCAAAGTCCATTTGTTATAAATATCTCAACCTTTTATCTACAGTACGGGATACTCTCGTAAAATTTATACCATATTTTAATATCAAATAAAAGGCGCATGCCAACTCTTTGTAACTTTGTAATTTTATATCAACATTAGCGTCTACAAATTATTTAATCAATGTGCGATCGGACTAAGGGCTTTATCACAAATACATCACGGACAAAGATAATCTATTAGGGATAGACGGGATATAAATCAGATCAGATATTTTTCCACCCCTGTAGTAATCGTGTCTAAATGAGATGACAACTATATATTTATCATTCGTCAAAAGTTTATTCATTAATTATTAAACTTATCTGACAAAGTTGGCAGAGCGGTCTTTGTTCGCTATTTACAGTTTTTAATTGAAAAACACATTTACTGTAAACAAGGATGAAGTGGTTTCTATAATTAAATTTAAATGAACTACGATTTGAACGTAAGTACAAGATACGTTTTTAGAGTGTATGTCGGAGGTTAAATAGAGTTTTGCAATAAATTTCCAGTGACATCTGCGAAAATGCAATAAAGTGAAACAAATGTACACTAAAAAGAACTTTAAAAAGTTCAATTTAAAGTGACAGGAATATTTGTACAAATGACATTATATTAGATAAAGAAGTCAGCAACGAAATAATTTCATTTTATACAAATGTAAAGGAAAGAGATGCTAAGTTGTTCTTAACAAATTGTTCTTAACAAAACTTTGAAGAAAAAGATTGAAAGGAAAAAAAACACACCAGACTTTAAGCGAAATACATAAAATATTTTTAGAAATGTTCAGGACAAATATATACTTAGGATCTAAGAGGATTAGGCGACGATGGACACACTATCATAAATGATAATTGTAATTTTGACAGGTTACCAGGACCACTAGACCATCGGTAAACGAAGGAAAGAGACATAATCAGGAATTTAATACCACTAGCAAGCTGTCTAAAAGGTATATATTGTACCATTGGTAATCTTTACTGGATTATTTTTTCATCGTCAAACTTTCAAAAATAATTATTGTACTATCGGCAGAGTACTATGTTGGATTAGTATATCACCGGCAAAATATCCAAAACAACAACAACAACAACAAATCCTTTCATACCATCGGCTAACTAGCTAGGACTGTTTACTATTTTCAAACTTTCTACAAGGATTATTATATATATATATATCATCGGGAGATTTCAGGACTACTGTTAAAATGGTTGTCGCTGTAAGGATCAGTCCACCTGTAAAAGGCAAGGTGCCCAAGTTGAACATGCTGGAGTTAGTTTCTGTTGCTAATAATAGATATAAAATCTCAAAGGTAATATAACAAAGTACTTTTATGTACTTTATTATACATTGTATATTGTTGTATTTTCAAAGAAATGCTTTCTCAAGTATTTTTTTAATTAAACATACATCCACATTTATTGTGTATAAAAAAAACTCGCAAAACAATCGCGATATATTATGTATGAATCCTCAAATTATAAACACGATCTATATTTGGTAGCGAATTTAAATTTAAAATCAGCCTGCAAAACAGGCTTTCAATTGTACTTACTAGTGGCATTTAAAGAACTGATCTAAAGTCATGATAACTTGTAACAATAAAATTATCTTTGTAATTAAACTGTATGTTCACTTGTCATGAAACATGTTTACGCCCATTCTCCTTTGCTTATACGTTAATTCACAATATTGTAGCACATTCTGAATCGTATTTCATTAAACTATTTTTATTCTCTGCTTCCACTCATGATTTATCGTTATATCGGCTTCTATCCTTTATTCTATCATATCTCACAGTTATTCTTATATTTGCTTAGCACATTCTATTGCTTAGCTTATCATATTATGTAAAAACAAACCCTACAGTCTGATTCCGTGGTATAATATAGCATTGTATATTATTTTGTCTGCTTCCATCGTTTATAGTATGTCATTGTATATCCTTATGTCTGCTTCCATCGCTTATAGTATGTCATTGTATATCCTTATGTCTGCTTCCATCGCTTATAGTATGTCATTGTATATCCTTATGTCTGCTTCCATCGCTTATAGTATGTCATTGTATATCCTTATGTCTGCTTCCATCTTTTGTAGTATGTCATTGTATATCCTTATGTCTGCTTCCATCTTTTGTAGTATGTAATTGTATATCCTTATGTCTGCTTCTATCGCTTATAGTATGTCATTGTATATAGTTATGTCTGATTCCCTCGCTTATAGTATGTCATTGTATATCCTTATGTCTGATTCCCTCGCTTCTAGAATGTCATTGCATATCCTTATGTCTGATTCCCTCGCTTCTAGAATGTCATTGTATGTCCTTATGTCTGATTCCCTCGCTTCTAGAATGTCATTGTATATCCTTATGTCTGATTCCCTCGCTTCTAGAATGTCATTGTATGTCCTTATGTCTGATTCCCTCGCTTCTAGAATGTCATTGTATATCCTAATGTCTGATACCCTCGCTTCTAGAATGTCAATGTATATCCTTATGTCTGCTTCAATCGTTTATAGTATGTCATTGTATATCCTTATGTCTGCTTCAATCGTTTATAGTATGTCATTGTATATCCTTATGTCTGCTTCCCTCGCTTATTATATATTATTATGTCTGCTTCCATCGCTTATAGATTCATCTCACTCTTTATCCTTATGTCTGCTTCCGTCGCTTATAGAATCATCACATAGTTAATCCTTATGTCTGTTTCCATCGCTTATAAAATCTTATAGTTTATCATTTTGTCTGTTTCCATCGCTTATAGAATCTCATCGTTTATCTTTTTGTCTGTTTCAATCGATTGTAGAATCTCATTGCATACTTATATCTTCTACCGTCGCTTATAATATTTCTGCATATCCTAATATCTATTACCATCGCTTATAGCATTATGGAACCTCATTGCTAATTTTAATGTCTGTTTACATTACGTATGGTATCTTAACCTTATATCGTTTTGTGTCGCTTAACTTTTCTTATCGCACATAAATATTTAAAGTGCTTTCTTTTATGATTATCTGCTTTAACCTGAAGTATCATATTATTTTAAGCTTATGTTTCCTTGTAAATCTGTTTCCTTTCTCGTAAAAGAATTAGTTATGTATCCACTGATTGTTAAACGGTTATTATCACTTGCTTACTTTCAGTTGCGAAAACGACTTGTTCCAGAAGGATATTGTTACGTGTGCAGCCGTATTGACCCGAGTGGAATTTTTTCCAAACCGAATGGTTATCTATTCAAGAAAGGCTTCTTACACACATGTGAACATTTCCCTAAAGCACCTAACTCAACATTTGTTCAAGAAGAAATTCCAATACACGACGACGACGGCGGAGATTCGCTTGTCGATTTTTCAACAGACAAGACCGAAACAATCAGCGTGACAATCAGGAGAGGGTCAAGGTCAACAGGCCACACGTCACCACCAAAAGAAGACGACAAGTTTGAACCTAATCTGGAAAATTTCGAAAATGACAAAATCAAATACAAACAGTCAGATTTTTCCGCGGGAAAATTTCGATTACCTTCCTTAGCAAACGAAGCAGATGGCGGTCTAAGTGCCAGATCAGAACCAAATAAATTTACTGGTAGAAAACTTTTTAAATCACGTAAACCCTCCGGTGCTCAAACCGGGTTTGTTAGAAAATCAATGTTTAAAACGGAATCTGTCCGCACAGAAAGTGTTCCCAGTTCAGAAACAGACCATATGAGTATCAAAGAAACCGGTTCCAACAAATTAAGTGCACAGTCAATGTTAAATGAAGATGTATTTTCTAGCAAATCGGCACGTGAAAATGGCTTCTATTCAACGTTTAATGATAAACAATTTGCTACACCAATGACCTCAGCTCGAAGATTTCCTGGTGCACATGGTCTTGTTATCAACGAATCAGATGGTCTGCAAAATGCATTTTCTTTAGAACCATTGATTAGGGAAGAAATACTGATTACGGAATCACGGGAACCAGCACGACGATTTAAAGCCAGGTACAAACCTGAGCGGAAGCTACAAGAAAAGCATGCACCAACAGAACACAGCGCTTCAACTTACCGACCAGATTCAGGTATTTGTATTCCATTTTATCGTTTAATCGCCAATACTCAAAAACCATTTACTACAGTTGAAAAAGCAAATTCATGTCTTTCCTGTATGTCACTTTTAAAAAACTTCATCTTAATAAAGGAAACAAGGCAAACTTGTGTTAAATTACTAGCCTAAATAACAGATCTTTTCGGACGGATTAAAGAAGAAAGAAGAACATACTAAAATCCTCGAGAGTAAGGAAACTTTCTTGAAATACATGTCATCGGAGGTGTATACAGCGTTTTTGGTGGTTGTTTTTATTTTTGGTTAATAAACCACAACAAACATACAACTTTTGTTCATTAAAACAACTTAAACCTTTGGTCATCATTTTAAATACTTCATATCTTTTTTATATTTTCAGCACATTTACGCTATCATCATAGGATGACAGAAGATTCAGTTCCGCATCCAGGATTTGAAATCCCACCAACTCCTGACGGCACAATTGAAATTGCTGAACAACAAACAGCAAAAGAAAATGGTGTTACTTGTATCAAAGGCGATACCAGCAATCACGATGATAATAAGCAAAAAGTCGGTGATTTGATTGAAACTAGTTCGGGAACTAATCATGTAACTCATTCAGTTACTTTATCGGGCGTATCTTCAGATAGAAAGAGCTTTTGCCGATGCGCTACTGACATGCGGGAAGTAAGTTTCACTCGAAATATATGTAGAACTTGCGGCAAAGACTGCAAGTTTCGTAATAGTTTGAGTAGGGGTTCTTCTCTTACGTATTCACAAACAGGGGATGGCTCCATTATCACAAGGAGTGGCCGTTTCCGGTCTACAAGACTTATAATGCCCGACGAAGAAATAGCCATGTATGGAAAAAATGCAAGAACTACGGTAGCTAGAAATGGCCATTACACTGACAGGAAATTCGCATTTAACGAGGAGGACGACCGATATTGGTCAAGTGACGAGGAATTTTTCGATTTAGACCAGTCACCGGTGTCTTGGTTACGTAATGACAAACCTTATCCGGTACTTAATCCGGATATTCATAAAGAAGCATATATAGCAGCGCTACAAGCGGCTAGGATGAAGGGAAAACAAAATCTTGAAGATTTTGAAATTGACGAAATGAAAATGCTACGGCGTCCAAATGTTTTCTCGTATATACCTCTTTTACCATTAAACGACAAGAATAAAATGAAATACATAGGAATACGGCCAGATAATTCTACTAAGCCAAAGAAAGGACAATTCATGAAGCACATTTTCGGGGATATCCAAGTAGACGATTTCTACCCTAGACTAAGACCTAGAAAAGGTGGTATGATTAAAGTCGATCAAGGAAATGATTCAAACTCAGAACAGACGACATCTAAAAATAGTAAAGATCCTGCAATGCAAAGTGTACCTGAACGATCGTCTGTTAGTTTAAAACTGAAAAGTCGTAATAATTAGATTTAAAAAGAAAACACGTTGTTGCAACAAAGCATTAAAAAAAGAAATCCTTAATATATGAAACAATAATAAGGCAGTAATGGAGATCGGCAGAATCAATACATGTATTTATACAAATGTGTAGGTAATTGTGTAACAGTGTTGTCCGATATATAAATATTAAAATCTACATATATAAACATGTTGATTTTTTCTATAATATATGAGTGCATGACTTATGATTATTAATCTATAGGATTCTGTTGTTGTCTGTGGGCCTTGTACAGTGAATATCCATCATAGGATATCTTTAAAATTAAAGTCGGAATTTAGTGAAAATGAAAAGTTATATACCATTTCGTTTATTTGTTTGTTGGATATTTAAGTCATACCAACATTGTCAAGGTCAGTCATATCGTGACTTTCAATCTTTACTGATGGAGGAAGATCTCAGCCGCCCCTACTTGCAGGAATTTTGGCAGAAATTAATTTTAAGGAATATGAGTGTGGGAGACATAGATAATTTAAGATTTGTGAAACATATTTTTTAATATAAAAAAAACATCTTTGAATACTGTATAAATCTGCCCCCATGGAACATTATTTTTTTTCAACATTATATATGGTATGAATATGTTTGTTTTCTTTATAGTTCTGTTGTTATGTTGAAAACACTATTATCATATGATCTAACTTTGTATGTTCCTATATTGGGATAGATGTATGATATTGTAAGTGGAAGTGGTGGATGGTTCCCCGACCCCACTTTCCACATGGACGGTCCCACTTCCACAAGGACGGGAAAAATAAATGAGCAACTATGTTGCTGAAATTAAATAACAAGAGGGCCATGATGGCCCTGAAGTCGCTCACCTGTACATAGGCCACCGGAGCGGGGCCAGTTTAAAGCCTGGGCTTTTATTTGAACAAACTTGGTAGACAACCATTAGAAGATGTTTCATGCTAAACATCTAAGGTCTAGCTCGTTGGGATTTTTAAAAGAAGATCTTTTTAAGTTTTTTCTTTACACATATAGTTAAAAACAATGACACACCTGGGGCAGGGCCAGTTTTGACCCCAGGGCTTTTATTTGAACAATCTTTGTAGACACTTACTAGAAAAAGTTTCATGCTTAATATCTAAACTCTAGCTATTCGGGTTTTTTCAAAGAAGATTTTTAAGTTTTTGCTATACTCGTATAAGGAAAATCAATGTCCCCCGGGGCGGGGCCAATTTTGACTCCAGGGCTTTTATTTGAACAAACTTTGAAGACACTCACTAGAAGATGCTTCGTGCTTAATATCTAAACTCTAGCTATTTGAGTTTTTTCAAAGAAGATTTTTCAATTTTTGCTATAGTTTTACACATATAGGGAAAATGAATGACCTCCGGGGTGGGGCCAATTTTGACCCCAGGGCTTTTATTTGAACAAACTTTGTAGACAATCACTAGAAGATGTTTCATGCTTAATATCTAAACTCTAGCTATTTGTTTTTTTCCAAAGAAGATTTTTTAAGTTTTTCCTATACACATATAAGGAAATTTGGAAAATCAATGACCCCCAGGGCCGGGCCAATTTTGACCCCAGGGCTCTTATTTGAACAAACTTGGTAGACATCCATTAGAAGATGTTTCATGCTTAATATCTTAGCTCTAGCTCTTTTGGCTCTTTATAAGAAGATTTTTAAGTTTTTACTATATGCATATGCGGAAAATCAATGACCCCCTGGGGCGGGGCAAATTTTGACCCCAGGGTTTTTATTTTAACAAATTTGGTAGACACCCATTAGAAGATGTTTCATGCTAAATATCTTGGCTCTAGCTCTTTGGGTTCTTTAAAAGAAGATTTTTTAAGTTTTTACTATATGTATATATATGGAAAATCAATGACCCCCTGGGGTGGGGCCAACTTTGACCCCAGGGCTTTAATTTGAACAAACTTGGTAGACATCCATTAGAAGATGTTTCATGCCAAATATCTTAGCTCTAGCTCTTTTGGTTCTTTAAAAGAAGATTATTTTAAGTTTTTACTATATGCATATAGGGAAAATCAATGACCCCCTGGGGCGGGGCCAATTTTGACCCCAGGGCTTTTATTTGAACAAACTTGGTAGACACCCATTAGAAGATGTTTTATGCTAAATATCTTAGCTCTAGCTCTTTGGATTCTTTAAAAGAAGATTTTTTAAGTTTTTACTATATGCATATAGGGAAAATCAAAGACCCCCTGGGGCGGGGCCAATTTTGACCAAAGGGCTTTTATTTGAACAAACTTGGTAGACATTCACCAGAAGATGTTTGTGCCAAAAATCTAAGCTCTAGCTCTTTAGGTTTTTTAGAAGAAGATATTTTAAGTTTTTTTCTTTTGGTTGCCATGGCAACCAGAGTTCTGCATGGAATTAAATTCTTTGAACAATTTTCAAAGGTGACAACCAAAGGAACATTCCTGTGAAGTTTGGAAGAAATTGGCTTAGTGGTTTATGAGGAGATGTCATTTAAAGTAAAAGTTTACGGACGACGGACGGACGCCGGACGAAAAGCGATCACAAAAGCTCACCCTGTCACTCTGTGACAGGTGAGCTAAAAATAAATAGATAAGTTTCCGTGATTTAATAACCCTTAATTACAACGTTTTACTATTTCTGGGACAGGGTTGCTAATAATAATTTACAAACGAAGTTACTTCCCTAAGTTTGTAAGAAGATATTTGCAACATAAACTTGTCATTTTATATTTCTTAAATCTGGCAGCGCAAAAAGAAAGACAAATCAAGACAAAATAATGACAAAACAATATTTTAATTTCTTCCCTTTAATATCTAATTTTAATACTTTTTACCTACAACATATCATTATCCATGTAACGACAAAATCAAGTATTTATCATATCCCATAACGAATACTGTAAATAAATCAATCACATGTATTATCTTAATAATCATCACAATTTACACAAGAAAAGCATTGATGCAAAGCATCAAAGGGCGACGCCAAAAGAATTTGATCCAGGTTTGCACCTAAATACTTAACAAAAGATGTGTACTTTATAGCAGTACCATTACATGTGACCTGGAGGCTAGGCCCAGTTTAAGTTGAAACTTAAGCCAAAAAGAATAGACTCTGTCTTGCCAAGATGCAAAGACAATTTTTAGTCAATTAACCAATCTTAATACTCATACTTAGAATAAGAAAGAATTTCTTCAGATAAATATTTTACCAGACACAAGGATTCCTGAGTCATCAGAATATAATCACAGACACCAGTATTGGACCTGGGAAGAAAAAATATCACCAGATTGATAAAAAAACTGTGTTCATAAAAAACAAAACAAAAAAAAATGTAAAGAATGACCCCCTTTAAAAATATACTTAGAATAATTAACTTAAAGTATATTTTTAAAGGGGGTCATTATTTACATTTTATTTTGGTTTTTGACACTTTTAAGATGAACACAGGTTTTTTTTATCAATCTGGTCATATTTTTTCTTCCCAGGTCTGATACTCATGCCTGTGCATATAATGAAAGTTTATTGCTTAGGGTTGCATACATGTCATTGACATTATTAGACATAAAAGAGGACCTAAAATGAACATCAGGGGAACACCACAGGTACTCAGAGCAGTAGTAGAATGAGTATTAGCCACACCCACCAGCTGCTGTCTATCAGAGATAAGACTTAAACCATGTAAGAAAAATGTCATTACATATGGCAGATGCTTGAAGTTTCATGAAGAAGAAGAAGACAAAGAACGTCTTCATGTGATCAACTGTATCAAATGCCCTTTGTAGATGCAATACTGCCTTTGTCCATTTCAGATTTAATGCAATCTGTTAAATGAATCAAACATGTGTCAGTTGAAAGACCACTTCTAAACCCTGACTGAAACTGCCTGACCATGACTCGAACCCATGACTTTCAGAAGACCAACTGAGCTATTCGGCCGGCTACACATTTTCTCTTTAATAATGAAACAGTTCTATACTAAACCACAATATATTTCCCCACTATATTGATTTGTGTCCTTGAATTTCTTATGTTTACAGAGAATTGAACTTATGCTTATATACAGTCACAGGATGAGAAGAACTTTCAACTTGACCAGAACTCGAACCTGTGACCCACAGAATAATGTACCGCAGCTGTAGCGATTAAACTATCTGGCCGCTTACAATTTTCTCCCCTAAATAGTGAACAGTTCTAAACCGTGATCATTAACAGATAATTAATTCTTAATTAATAAATAAGAAAAAGAAACATTACATACTCGTAGTCTGAATTAAAATATAACAATTTATATATTATTGTATAATTATTTTTACTAAAAAGGGCTTAGACAGTTATTGGTTGTGCCATTATTTATGACAGGTCAATTTGAAAGTGAAAATAACTGTGCTAATACATGTACAACATTTTATTTCTTTGTACAGATAAAAAACTAACCTTTTTTCTATGATAAGAAATTTTATGAAGGCTAATTTGTATTTTGCATCAAGGGCACCGGGCGAAAACATGACAATGCAACAAACGAACCACTTTGTGGTAGATTGTATTTTCATGTTTTCATCTGGCGCCCGGTTACTTTTTGTACTATGTTGGTTTTCATGTTGCACAAATCACCCACTATAAATTTAGTGCACAAATTTATTCAATGGCAAGTAACAATCTACTCTATGTAAAGTCTGTTGTCGGGTTGACTCAGGAGACCTGGAGGTTGAGACCCGTGTCCCTCCATTACAAATAGATAAGACAGAAGCTGTCCTTTTCAAACTATGCACATTTTAGAAAAAAAAATAGAATAACTATTCAGAGTATGATTTTCTGAGACTTTATTAATTATATTGCTTGATCCAAGTTAAAGGACATTTTTAATCAATACATGTATTATCATTTATAACTTTAAATGAAAGTCTCATCCCTTTAATAATAATGACATAACTGTAACTCTTTAAATATAAGTCTCATCATATTAATATACTAAGATATACATGTATGCACATAACATTAATAATTCCCAGTTTCTATTAAATAGATATGAAATACTAACATTAACATTAACATGCTTTTGATGACCTTACAACTGGTAAATTTTATACAACAAAAATAGTATTATAAGTAATACTTAAGATAGACAGAAAAGAACAAATAATTAAGTAAAACATGAGTTACTTCCCCTTAAAATAGAGAAAACCTGAAACCCAAAAGAACACCCTAAACAGCAAAATTATGAAATGTTGCAGGCTCAGTTTTATTAAGCAATGCAAATTAATGGTAAAGTGTTCTGTTCATAAAAGAATAGATGGCCATGTGACCGCAGTAATTGCAGAAAATCGGATAGGTTTCAACATCCGGATACTGGTACACTTTGTAAAAACAACCATTCTGCGCAACAGATAAACGTAATAAGGATAAAATCAATAGGATAATCGTTTACAACAGTTCAATTACCTATCCTTATACTCATTTGCAGGTAAACTTTCTTCTTGTAGGAAAATTTTGAAAATATATAAATGATACGGCATCAATGTAGACCACAACGATATTCGAAATCTGGGTTTTAGTATATTGTCAATAAAACTAAGGGACAAGCTGTTAAACTTAACCTGCAATTTTGTGAAAATAGTATCACAATGCACATGCTTTTTACATGAAGTTATAAAATACAAATATAACAACACATTTGTTTACTTGATTTTCACGAATCAAAATAAAACTAATTAACACAACATGACATTAACTGCTAATAATAACAGCTCCTTCCATAGGCCAAAATAAAAAGCATTTCATAAGAGACGACGCCGCTCACCGGCGTCGCCAATAATGACATTGCAAATGAATGTGTCAAAATATACAAACACTAGTCACTTCAATACATCCTACAAACTGATTATTTTCACGTATTTGTTCAATTTCATTAACATTTCAATTGCATACTGATTTTACAGTTAGTTAACAAAATACACAACTCTTCTGCAAATCCTCCGCAGTGCCCGTAACGTAAACTTCTGGCAAAATTAGACAATTAAATTTTGAGGCACGTCACTATCCAGTGGACCTTTCCGGTTTTTCGTAGCGGTTATTTAGCCACACCTTTTCCATTCATTGCTAGATCAACTGCTCACAAACAGTATCACAAACATAAGCACGTGTTCTTTTGTGCAAATCGGTCAACCAGTGACTATATATTATCTTAGTGTAGCGATTGGGTAACAAGTTAGCCAATTTACATAAAACTGTAAACACCGGAAAGGTTTGTTGTAAGATTAACAAAGTTTTCTCTGTGGATTTAAATATATATTTTTATATATATAACCAACCCCATTCGAAATATCTTCATAGTCACGTACTTTTGTAATTATTTCTTCTATTTAATGACTACTATATCAAAACCTGACAAAACAAATTTAACCTCGATATTTTTGTTTGTTTGTTTGTAAACAGTATTATTAGATGGTCACATAAGGATCATTTCTGTGAAATAATGTCAAATTCAAACAAACATTTCTTTTGAAAAGTTTAACGGGAAAAATATCATGCCGCTAGCGTCTATTTTTTATCAAGTTTTTAAATCGATTAAAATAATATGGATAATAATATTGGAATACGAAGTGGCCACCTGGTGATCAGTTCTGCGCGTTTGACAAACTAAATCTGACAAAAAGATTTTGACAAACCAAATACTGACTAAAACTCATGATACTTCATATCGTAAAAAGTTTTGGTTATATTGACCCTGCAGTTTTGAACACTTGTACGTTATTTAAAGGAGTGTGTCGGGACATACAGACGGACGCATGTACGACGGACAGTGCGTGATCACAATAGCTCACTTAGAGCATTTTATGTTTAAAACAATTATAAACAGAATTGTTTATCAATTGGTGGACTTGAACTTGCAACTCTGCAATACAAGGCAATCGCCTTATCAAGTTATTACATCTTGTTGCAATGAGATCACATATAAGTTTTCACATGCATGATTTGTTAACCTTAAAGCTTCAATCCCACACATTGCAGTTCCGACGGTTTTGAAATAAAAATGTCCTCAAAAAACAAGATTTCAACAGAGGCTCCTATATTCACATGGAAGTACATGATTAATATATGTCGTGTCTAAAATTATCTAAGTAAAGTATAGGCAATGTTTATCCTGCTGTAATTTTAAAAGTTGCGACATTTTATTTTGTAAATACTTAAATTATAAACACACCTGTTAACTGAATACAAGTACATCAGTTGGCTGCGAGTAGAACAATTGTGCACTTGGTAAGTCTTTTACCTTGCAATCGATTGTTGCACAATATATCATAGAAAATTATGTCTATAAAAAGAAACAAAAAGAAAAACATATCTTGGTAATCCTGCAGTTTAAAACATACTCGCTTCATGTTAACAGGTGTGATAAGAGGGATGCTTATATTTGTGTCAAGTGAAAAATAACAACCTTTAGGTCTTATTTTGTGGAAACTGCAAATTTTACATTGATGCACATTTAATTACTGTAAACAAATATGTTGATGGTTTTCAGAGCGGTTTTGTGTGGGAAAGTAGTTTTAAAAGTTGAATATAAATATTGATCACAGATTTTCAGAAATGCTTGAAGACAAAGTTGTTTAATTTCATGTTTAATTTTCATATTTTTAAATATCTCTGACAACTACAAATCTATTAAATATTCCAAATATTATATACGCACTTGAACCAAAATATCATTAAACTAATTAGAAATAAAAAAACCAAAGCTATTATCGTTAATTTTAACAACAAATATTCTGGAAACAACTTTTCAGAAAATAGTTAAACTATTCAGAAATTAATACAGTGCCACCTCTGTAGAGCAACCACCCTTTGGTAGAGAAAGATTTTGGTTGCTGAAAAGAGAAGCTGTTCTAGCATATTTAAATTTATTGTGAAGTCTATCTCTGGGAAGATATGGAACGGTTCTTGTTAAGAGGTAATTGTTGTATAGAGGGTCACTCAGTACAGGTTGCACTGTTATATTATTTTCTACCACTCATCTCATTGTTTAACATAAAATTAACTGAATAAATAAAAAGGTCTGGTTAACAAATTTTATAAAATAACTTTGAGCAACTAATCATTTACTGACCCACAAAACAAGGAAGGTTAAAAGAGCTAACATAATACATTTACTAGTTAAAGAGATATTCAGGCAAAATAATAACAAAAATATTAAAATGATCTCATGTTATCAAATCACACTAAAATGACATTTCTTAAAGTCCCAACATGAATTTCTGTTTAAATTTTATATATTTGGGGTTTGAAACGTAAATATATCTATATATGTTGAACAAAATGTAGACGCCTAAAGAATCACCGAATAGTTTAAAAACAAATCATTTGACTTGAACAAACCCTTGAAATTACAATAACAGATATTGTGAATATTGTATGATTGAAACAAGTCAAAGTCATTCATTTGACATGTTCTTTAACATTTCCAGAGTTCACTGTGACAATTATTGTGAAATCTTAGCGCTCTAACCTGACCCACGCGGGTCAAGTTAGGAAACCACCATTTTATTCTTTATATGGAGAAAAGTTTGTTTCTTTGATTGACTAATGTATTCATTTTGAGGGCATTTACAGAATAATGAATGAAAAATTCAAAACTAAGAAATTAAAATTTTGCCAGTGTCTCCCTTTAACACAAAAAAATCATTCAAAAACAAAACAAAACTATGTTATACAAACATAGACACTACAATTTAAACCAAACAAAAATATAATTCATTAACATGTAATAGAGTATTTGAATACTTGATATAAAAATTAGATTTTTTAAAACAAAAGATAAAAGCTTGGTAAATTTTTTTTTATCAATTAACATTCTAAGATTATATGGTTAACATTTTATCATTGTGAAGAAAAAACAGTTTCTCAACATAACTTTTCTGCTTAATATGTCTGTCTACAAAAATAAATTCCCATAGTCTCAATATGTGATAGTCAACAGATCATGTGACCTCTATGTCATTTAAGGAAAAGTAATTCCTTAAAATTCCAATATCAATGTATGAAAAAAATATGTTTAAATATATCATTGAGAACAAATTTCATTGAGAACAAATTGTGCATGCACAAAATCATTGCTAAACAGTTAAAATAATACTTAAAATAGCAACATAATTATTTCATTCCAGAACATATTATTCTGTTAACATACAACATTTATGTGTGTTGATAACAGAAATATTCTTTGTTACAACACTTTCGAGAATGAACAAAAATAAAAGAATTTGCCAAGTTATATAGCTCTATTCCATTGTATTCCTAATCCACAGATGACCTAAACTTTACAATTATTTTAAAATGGTTAGTAAGTCTTTCAATATCAGTTGATAAGTGTACTGAAGTATAAATTTAATTCTTGAATATATATACATATTTATTTAGCACTTAAAATTAATATACAGGGTATATCTGTTTAATTTTATCACATAACGAAACATTTTTCATTAAACAAGAAGGCCATGGTGGTAATTGAAAGCTCACCTGAGATCCACCGTAGACAATATTACAATTCTTTAATGCAGAAGTAATTAACAAGTTCACACTGGGTGTGTCATTTTTCACCCAGACACGAAAATAGCACAATATCTTGTCGTGCAGTACTACCTAACAACATTACTTATAAAATATATAGAGGCCTCCTTGGATATAATTCAATGTACAATGTATTTGCCTAATATTTGTACCTTAACTTTGAGTTATATGGTATTTTCCAACAAGAAGATTTATATGTGCTTTCCTTCACAAGTCTATATCAACTAAGTTAAATGCTGGGCAACGATCTGAGGGGAATGCTTTATATAACTTTTGTAGAAGACCATAAGGTGATGTTACAGGGATACGGACAAAAGCCCCCCCCCACCCCCGGGACGAAAGCCCCCCATCTAAAAATGACAAGGTGGACAAAAGCCCCCCCATGAAATTTACACGTAGGACAAAAGCCCCCCCCCATCAAAAATACAGGTAGGACAAAAGCCCCCCCCCCCCCAGTTCATCAAACAATTGTTATTGAGAATCTTGTCAGTTTAAATCTGGAACTTGATGTAATGAGACAAGTCAAAATCGGTATGTTTAACTTAACAAATAAATACATTTATTTTAAAAGATAATTTACATTGAGATTTAAATTTAAAGGTACAAAAGTTCTAATTTGATTTATTGTGTAATTCGTATATATAATTTATTGATGATATGAATGTTTTTATGTTTGCATTATTATATATTGTGCAGTACCTTAAGGGGGGCTTTTGTCCTACACTCGATGTTACATGCCAGAAGTGTCTAAAGAGAGGACTTTAAACAATTTCATTTTTGAAGTCTATTTAAAGCTCTGGTGACCTATTCATGCACTGACTCGAACTGTTCAGATAAGTTTCGTAGAAGGTCACCTAAAGATCATTTGAGTGTAGCCTAGTCAACATTGTTTAAAATATTGTGATGAATGACAGACACATTGCCATGACAAAAGCACACCTCTGAGCACTGTTCTGTGAGCTAAAAAAGAATTTGCATGAATTTCATTATTTGCATACATTGTTAATTAACTAAAATAACTATATAATTACTCTAAAATATCAATATACACTGTTTTCTTTCAACAGGCCAACAAACAAATGTAAATTTCTGATATAATCCATAATAAACTAAGGCCAGAGGGAAAGAAAAATGTAAATTCATAAAATTTCATTTTTGTTATTCAACAGAAGTTACTCTTATACCAAAATAGTCCTTTATTTTTAACAAAAGAGTAAACTGAAGAATTTACAAATAAAACTACTTTGTGCCTTTTGAAAATAAACAACAATTCTGTTTAACTTTTTCTAAACTGAATCATAATCAGTAAACACAGTTTACATTCACATCGTATTTTTTACACATACAACAAGTCAGTGATTTTTTTTTCATGTAAAAACAAGGTAAAATATATGGAAGGCATTTTCCCAATTCACAATACAGCATTAATTAAATGGCTATGAAAATAGCAGGATCAGCAAAATGCACACAACAAATTATAACAAACATTATATGGACATCTTACTAGCTAAACAAAGTGATGGGTCTACAAAAAAATGACAAACTGTTGAAAAGATGATTTGACCCAGTGACCTATTTTCAAGTAATAGATCAAGTAGCTCACATACATGTATATAATCAACCACAGCATGTTTCCTCACAACCTGGGGTTCGTACTTTCAGTGCCTGAAAGGGCGGATGGACCCTTTTTAAACTTAGAACAAACACATACATTGTATATATATTATATATAATATCTATCTAAGCAAATCTTGGCAGTACAGTTAAAATGTCTTAACATTAAAGGCCCAGTATGCCCTAAACATACTTTTATTTTTCTTTCTCAAAAGCATTTTATTTTTTGTGACCTGTTATAGCTTCTAACAAGCTACTTGTTGGTCAGAATTGCCTGAACCAGCTTTTGCTTCTGTTGCATTTTATCAATAAGTAGAAATATAGTATTTAGTATTTTAAATGGAAGCCAAAATACGTCTTTGTTGATATTTTTCTACTTTTATCACATATAATTTCATGTTCAGCAAAACTTTCTTCAGGTAACCAGCATCTAAAATGCTCTTAAACCAATATTGAAACTTTTTAAACTCATGTTTACCTTTTCAAAATGCATGAAAAATTTCTGGGGCATAATGTGCCTTTAAGGCTTAAATTAAATCAAGTATAAGATTTCAGATGAATACCTTACAATAACAATCATTCAATTATGATTTCACAACAAACACTAACAGATACTACTATGAAGGTTGTTGACATGAAGAGACTGGAAACATGGGAAAACAAATTTTCTAAATTTAGCATTCTATGTAGCATTTGATGACCAATAACTTATGTGCAAAATTTCAGATTTATATAAGCTTACACTAATTTTCCAGAATAATTCTTCTGTTGTGAAAAGTGATCAAAAAATAAAATGCATTTAAATGATGCTTCAACTAGAACCTGCCTAAGAATTACAAAAAAAAAATTATCTTTATAAATTATTTCTTAAACACAAGGACTGGTATTATGGGAAGATAAATGAGGAAAAGATGGATACTGCTTAGTTATGTAACTTTCGAGGTAGGATAATGGACTCTGCTTTGATTAATATATATGTTAATATGAAGCCATTTATATTAATTACTATTTGACTTAAGATATTTTTAAGTGACTTGGGCTGTATAACTTTTTTATGGAAAGTCTTCAGTGCATCTAAAGTCCTAGGTAATGGCACTAAATTTAGGACTAGTTAAGACCTTTGAATGAACATTTCTATTGTTTGTCAAAGTCAACATGCCTCCAAAAGACCACCCTATTTATATTTACAAATCTCTCTTTCGAAAATATTATATGATTGAAAGATTTGGTATACCAAGGTCATAGACAAATACCCTGTTATAAGAGGTGGGGGACATCTTTATAAGCTAGCACAACACACACACAGAGTCAAAGTAACTTCATAACAATTTCTCAAAACCTGTAGTTGTTACCCTAAAAATGAGGTAGTTTTAAGGTAGCACAATTTTTTTTAAATTGACTAAAAAATCTCATAATGTGACTTATTAAAAGTGAACAAAAGAAGATATAAGTGTACATGTAGCTATCAGTGTTTTTCCACCTTTTGATGATCCTGCGGATATTCAAGATAAAGACAATAAATTATTTGGTCAAACTTAGCTGAAAATCATAAGAAACATCTGGTAAAATAATTCAAATATACCAGTATTACAAACAGAACATACATGTACAATGCACATTTTCAAGAGGGCATGAAATGTCATATTTACATGTACAATAGATACTCACAATAAATAACAATGAATATCTTTTTCAATGCAAACTTTTAACAAGTTTTACTAAGATCCTTAAATATTGTGAACTAAATACTGGTTAAAATTCACAAGTTATAAACGTTACAAGACACCGGTAACTCTTTAGACACATTTGAAGAGTTTAAACTACAGTTTACAGAAAATGGAGGAAAATGATAAAAAATACATAAATAATTACCTGAACATACAGAATGATATTGTAAGATAAGTTGATTAAACTTATATACTAGTAAATTTAGAGTAAATTTTTGACCAAGCACTTACATCTGATTATTACAGGTTGGGTATGTAAATGTGCATTCTGCTTCAAATGATATACCCTTTATATGTACATGTAAAATGCACTAGAAATCATCATTTAACATGCAGATCTCATTTTTTTCCTGGGGGTCGCCCTCCTGACCCCCATAAGTATGACAGGACATTGGTTATTTCAAACTCCAGCACACCCAGTTTAAAAAAATCTGAATCTGTGGTAAAAATATTTCATTTTAACAATATTCATGTATATGGAAAAATTGCATTAAATAAAGTTATAATTCAATATCTTAAGGGGAGGGGCTGGGAGGGATAATCTGATACTTTAAAACAGAAAAATATGACATTGTTAAATAAATAATTATAAACTTAATATGGAATAATCAGCAAGTTGCATCTAGGTTTGAGGACAATTTCACCTTTTTGGCAACCTGAATACTTCTATACCCTTCGTCATTTGATAAAATGTCTCAAGGTTTACTCTCCAATGCTACGTGTCAACTTTCATCCATTTCCTTCCATTTGTTAAAATGTTTCATCAGATATTCATAGGTAGCATTCACAATACCCCATGAAATGAAGGCCCGTGTGTAGTTTACATGTAAACCCCTGAATATTTTTTTCATGCTGTAATCTCTTTCTTTTAAAATTTCTTTAAATGTTGGCACGAGTCTATCAAACTCACCGCCCACTTTTGATTGCATCCGTACTTTGACCACATTCAATGGGTAAAAAAGGCTACTCAAGAAAGCACCGAGACATGCGCCACTTACAAAATCTAGGAAAAGTTTCTGGCCAGCAGTACCATCTTCCGGGTAAACCATATGTAAATAATCTCTCCCGAGAAAGAAGAGAACATTGCTTGGACCGTTACGTAATAGAATAGCAGATTGTCCACGATAAAACTCACGTAAACCATAGTTTTGTCTTAATTCCCTGAAAGCATGAACTGTGTTTCCGTAATGTTTATGATATGATCTATCCTGCATCAGCATTTGTACCCGTTCAAATGGAGTGAGAATCGACTCAACAGTTCCAGCGAACATTGCTGCCACTGATTTGTTTATGGGCGCCCATAATGATGGAAAGGACGTGTTTAGTTGCCTCTGAAACTCGTAGTACAATCCAAACATTAGAGACATTGAAGTTGTCTTCTGTAAGAGGGGCGGCATCAAACCTCTGTAGATATGAGTCAGTCCTTCTTTTTGAAGCTGTTGAATTGCTTTCCATGCCCTGACCCCGTATAGCTGCTGTCGGAACATGACCTTGTTTATCGGGAAGGTCACACTTATGTTTACAAATGCAGCACCCCATCCACAGACATACTCCGGTCTTTGCCAATGTTGTAGCAGACCCTCAGATGAATTTTGTCCGAAATTATTTATCAGGTGATGGGAGGGCAATCCCGATTTCCTTTCACCTTGTGTCATTGTTCTCTTAATTAATACCAACTGTTGCGAGCATCCATTTCAATGTAATGTTTTGTTCACACTTACTCTGTCACATATTGCCCTGAAAAACATCCAAAAAAATTTATAATTAGTAAACATTGTAAATGATTTAAATTATGAACTATTTCTTTTAGAAATATGCTTTAATATCATCAAGAATTAACATTCTTAAAGGCCCATTTAGCCAAAAAGATGAATTTATTTAATCTACTTAACCCATTACTTCATATACACGCCTTTTAACGCCTTTTTCACACCCCCCCTTTTTGTTGTCTCAAATGGTGAAAAAATGCCTTATTTAGGCCCCCAACACTTGTTTTTGTTTGAGAAATGTTGTTAAAAAAAGTGACCACTTTTTCGGCGCGGCCCCCCAACCAAAAGATACATCAGGGGGTTGCCAGAAGGGTGATGTGCCCCCTTCTGTTTGGGGGGTTTGAAGGGGGCGTAGTCCCCCTCATCGCCAAGAAAATTTTTGGACTTGTGAGAGGCTATAAATGACCTCAGATTGATCATAAGGTAACGTGTAACCAACGCTGAAAAGCATTTGACTCTATCTCAATCCATTTAGAAGTTGCAGCACTTTGAAATCAATTATGATGGAAAAAATCAACGCAAAATAGTGATTTTTGGCAATTTTGAGATGTCCCCTCGTTGCCATGGTAACAGAAAATTTAAGCCTGAGCATGTTGTTGCAAGGGCAATGGTCCAGTCAACATTTGTGCCAAGTTTGATTAGTGTTGAAGCAGTTTTTATAGTATTATAGCAATTTGAACTTGTAACGGGAGACTTTTCAATGAAAACAGCCATTTTTCGCAAAATGCTCATGAAGTAATGGGTTAATGAAAAAAATAAAAAAATCTACAAAACAACAATTTTTCTTCAAATTTATATGACAGACCATGTTTAAACATGGAAAAACGCGATTTAGGGTAATTTCAAGTATTTTCATCATTTTCTGTTAACCCATTACTTCATATACACGCCTTTTAACGCCTTTTTGCACACCCCCCCTTTTTGTTGTCTCAAATGGTGAAAAAATGCCTTATTTAGGCCCCCAACACTTGTTTTTGTTTGAGAAATGTTGTTAAAAAAAGTGACCACTTTTTCGGCGCGGCCCCGCAACCAAAAGATACATCAGGGGGTTGCCAGAAGGGGGATGTGCCCCCTTCTGTTTGGGGGGTTTGAAGGGGGCGGAGTCCCCCTCATCGCCAAGAAAATTTTTGGACTTGTGAGAGGCTATAAATGACCTCAGATTGATCATAAGGTAACGTGTAACCAACGCTGAAAAGCATTTGACTCTATCTCAATCCATTTAGAAGTTGCAGCACTTTAAATCAATTATGATGGAAAAAATCAACGCAAAATAGTGATTTTTGGCAATTTTGAGATGTCCACTCGTTGCCATGGTAACAGAAAATTTAAGCCTGAGCATGTTGTTGCAAGGGCAATGGTCCAGTCAACATTTGTGCCAAGTTTGATTAGTGTTGAAGCAGTTTTTATAGTATTATAGCAATTTGAACTTGTAACGGGAGACTTTTCAATGAAAACAGCCATTTTTCGCAAAATGCTCATGAAGTAATGGGTTAATGAAAAAAATAAAAAAATCTACAAAACAACAATTTTTCTTCAAATTTATATGACAGACCATGTTTAAACATGGAAAAAACGCGATTTAGGGTAATTTCAAGTATTTTCATCATTTTCTGTTAACCCATTACTTCATATACACGCCTTTTTAACGCCTTTTTCACCCTCCCCCCCCTTTTTGTTGTCTCAAATGGTGAAAAAATGCCTTATTTAGGCCCCCAACACTTGTTTTTGTTTGAGAAATGTTGTTAAAAAAAGTGACCACTTTTTCGGCGTGGCCCCCCAACCAAAAGATACATCAGGGGTTGCCAGAAGGGGATGTGCCCCCTTCTGTTTGGGGGTTTGAAGGGGGGCGGAGTCCCCTCATCGCCAAGAAAATATTTGGACTTGTGAGAGGCTATAAATGACCTCAGATTGATCATAAGGTAACGTGTAACCAACGCTGAAAAGCATTTGACTCTATCTCAATCCATTTAGAAGTTGCAGCACTTTGAAATCAATTATGATGGAAAAAATCAACGCAAAATAGTGATTTTTGGCAATTTTGAGATGTCCCCTCGTTGCCATGGTAACAGAAAATTTAAGCCTGAGCATGTTGTTGCAAGGGCAATGGTCCAGTCAACATTTGTGCCAAGTTTGATTAGTGTTGAAGCAGTTTTTATAGTATTATAGCAATTTGAACTTGTAACAGGAGACTTTTCAATGAAAACAGCCATTTTTCGCAAAATGCTCATGAAGTAATGGGTTAATAAGATGTAACAACATATGAGGTTTTAAGTTCAAAACGGAAATAGTTAAAGTTTGATACTTTAAATTAAGTATCTTGGAATATTTAAAAATGTTCAAATTGTAAAACGTTATATTCACAATGATACACTTTGTTATGTTGTCCGATCAGTGAAATAACAAATGGCCAAAACATTCCACATCAAACCAGTCATTCCACATAAAACTGTTTTAATTGCAACCAGGTGGAAAAATGATATATTTGTATAAGCTTGCATGTCATAATGTTATCAGCTACAAATCAGCTGAATTCATAATCACTTGCTAACTATCTGCACATGTATACAGCATTACAGTATATGTACATGTATATCTATCTGTTGATCATAAACATGATGATGCAGACTTCACTCACAGATCTATGTTCAATGTCTTTTAGCAACAGTTGACTTTCCCCTGGTGGGAAAGTCAAGGAAATGAAACAATTTATACCTTCTGTCTGCCCAAACAAAACTCACATTTACAATAATTCAGATTTTCTTTGTATTATAGTTGCATATTTAAAAAAGAGTTTGACAGAGCTCAAGGCTTACATTAATTTAGCATCTGAAAATATATCTACATATCTGTCAATATTCAGAATAAAATGTGACGAAAGAGTCTTTGAAAATATCAGTAAATCCAGAAAAGAAATCATACATTTTTATCATTTTTTTTTCATCAACCAAATAAACCCAACAATTATAATGTTGCAGAACCATGAAGCTGATCAATGTTGCTAGACCCTACAAATTGACTCTGGCCATACACAACTGTTCTTATACTACAGTTCAAAATATCTGAGGGGTTGTTCTGGCCAAGATTTTTACTTAGAGAACTTTTCCCATTTCACCAATTTTGACAAGAGAAACTAGATTTTCAATTCAATTTTTATAATTTTTGAGTTGAAAATATAGAATTTTCACACTTTTGAAGAAGAAGAAAAGCTTGAACATTGTTTTTATATCTGAAAATCCAAAAATAAATTTTAGGAACATATTATAACAGGTGATCCTCTTACAATAAATGTCAATCAACAATTTGAGACTCTAGTACTTAAATATTTTGCATTACTCACTGATGTTTTTATATGGGTAAAATAATTGTTGAAATAACTGTTGAAATAATTAAGTAAATTAATGGCAGGGATTTGTACAGCTCAGTGTTAACAGCATTTAAAATCTGGTAGCATTAATTAGTCTATGCAGGAAAGTACCTATAATAAATGTGATTTGATTTACTGTATTCCTAGAAAAGATTTCGCGCGTTTTAAGTTAGCGCTTTTCGCGGTAGGCATGATTCCGCGAATCTTTATACCCGCGAATATGTCACTTATAACAAATCCGCGAACATTTCTAGCTTCAACCAAATAAAAACATAAACGTGCAGAATATTTATTATAATCTACTTACACAAGAAACATATAAACACAGGTGCTAAACTTAAAGAAATGTGTAAAAAATATATATGCATGTTATAGATACCTGTTTGTCAATTATTAGTAATTATCATGCTTATTGACGTTATTCGCTGGTCACAGCATATACATAAACATTTACAATTTGCGTACATAGAATGATGTTATTTGCTTGGAGTAGGTGTAATCCTTTGTTAATAGTACAATAGTGATCAAGTGTTACATTGATAAACAGCAATTATGTTGTTATAATGAAAGCGATGTACTGTCCGATACTGTGTAATAAATTACTTATCGACATTTTGAAGATAAAGACAGTTATAATTCTAATGAGAATATAAGCTAATGGGTGTGACTAAATATTACTTAATGACATAGTGAAAAAGGTAAGGAATTAAGTAAAAAGTGTTCACGGAACAACCGACCGTGTTCAACAGGGCAACAAATGAAAAGGTATCGAGTAACGTAGCGCTTTCGGCGCGACTTGTTAAACAAATACAATAATTAAAAGTACCCAACAGGCAAGGTCACGCCTCCAAAATCTGTAATCCAGGCCGTAGCGACTTAATATTCGCGAAATTCGCGGTTACTACAAATCCGCGAAAGTTTGTCTCCGCGAAAATGCTGACGTTGTGAAAAACGCGAACTATTGTATCCGCGAACATTTCTAGGAATACAGTACCTAAATCTGCTTTTATGACACAAAATCAACATCTAAATAAACACTGATTTAATATGTTGTGTTTGTGCCATATTGTACATGTATATGCTGTTTACACAAAACTCAACAGGTAACCTTTGCTGCAAAACTAGATTATTGGATTAAAAAACTCGAACTCTGATTGTTTAAAGATACATAAGGTTGACAAGCATGAAGCATCAACTTTACATACAACACTCTAATAGATGATACTGTTTATTTCCAGGACCTAATATACACACAGCACCACTTTCAAGCACAAAATTTTCATTCATTTCACAAATTTCTTTGGGATATCAAATGGCAGTTTTTATAGGAGAAAACACAGAAATTGACCCTAAGAGAGATTCTTCTATCTGTTCCCTTTCCAAACATCATTGTAAAAGACATATATTTAAACCCAATCAAAAATATATTTGATCCCAATCAAAAAGTTATCATGAAGGGTTCTTATTCACATTGTTGTAAAATATGCCATAGCAAATTCTTTTGCATTCACTGCAAAATTTATTCATTTGCCTTTAGAAATAAAGAACATTACCGGTAGTTTTTGTTCATGTTTCATGTCTGAATTGTTCCATACTCATGACCTTTTTTCATGTGAACAGTTTAATTAAAATTAAGATGTCTTATTTAATTTTGATCATACTTTAATTTCTACACATGTTTTATCAATCATAAACCCCATTCCCCCAAATTCTTGGCAGTAGGCCACTTTGAATTCATCAGAACATATATAGTTCAGCCACCACACTGATCCTCAGGGCTGGCTGTGTATGTACTTCACTTTTGCAAGGAAAATGATAACTTCTGTACATGCAAGAGTATAGGTACTGTATATATGACTGTAGAAAGGATTTCATTACCAATCACAATGAAAGTGTCCAGCACCATTTGGGAATTGAACCTGGGTCGCTGATTCACAGTCCAACACTCTGCTCTACCTATTGAGCTAACTGGCCAGTTATACATGTGATTTATAATATATTTAAACTGATTTGTAGCTATAACAACAGCGATCAGTGATCACATGTGTTTCCTCATGATAACAAATTACATGTTGCAGCTACTGGGTAGCAGGAAACACAAAAATCTTTAACAGGACAAAATGCCTTTTTTATTCAAGGGCAATAACTCAGCCAAAATCACTCAAATGGAACTCATGATGTACGTGTTACTTGCAGTAAATGAATTTAAGATTTTGAATTTACTAGCATGAATTCCAGTTGTGAATTTATTCTACTATATATTTAACTAAATTTTCTTAAAATTTTCACTGGCCCGAACTAATTTTCACTGGCCATGGGCCAGTGCTAAATTCGATGACTGACTGTTAGTACTTGAGCTACGAAACAATCCTGTAAAGTTTTATTGAAATTGCATCAGTGCCCAGTGGTATAAGAGTAGTCTAGACAAACTTTAAAAATCAAAATCAATACAATATAAAAGGGTCATAACTGTAACAAAAATCATTGAACCGGAATTTTTTTCATTTTGAAAACCAGTTTGATGTCCAAGTCATGTTTAGATATTAAAATATTTTTGATAGAGTTGCTACAGGGGTGTATTATGTTTGGGACAGGATCTGACCCCCAAGACTGTCCAACAAAAATATAGTCCTTCATTGAAAGACATCGCATTTTCCTTTTTTTACACTTTTACGTTTATAGGAAAATGCGAAGTCTTTCCCTAATTGGCTAATTTCTATAGCACAAATCGACACACTTTTCGAGTTGATTTGAAGTTACCTGTTACACATTTCTGGTAGGATTATGATTATTAAATATTTGTAACACTTTACATGGGGTGTTTGAAATTGATGGTGTATGTTTTTTGTTTTTCATTTTGCTATGGACTTTTAAACAGATATATTTTAATTAAGATGTTAAAGCAGATTTGACCAATGTAAAAAATCGCTTCAAATCCGCGGTTACGTCTAAATATTTTGACTAACAAGAATAATGAGAAAACAGAATATATTATAATAAAATAGTAAAAATGTATCGTTAAAAATAATTTATGTAGATAGTAATAAATTTTGAAATAGGTTTCCATTATGAAAAAGTTATAATTAGACTTTAAAATTACCTATATGAATCTGAAAACAAGGGTTAAATAATGTGCATATTGCAATAATCTAAAATTTATGGGTGGGGTAGCCAGATGTCATTGAAAAAATTATCAAATATTTCTTCAGCTATGCGTCGACAACAAAAAAATAGAATTGCAAAGCTTACCATAAACTATTCATCAAAAGTTCTGATCAATTTTGCAAATCAAATTGCTAGGGATTATAAATAAACTTTAAAAAGACTTTCTTCGTCTTTGCAAAGCTGGAAGCTGACATTTTGGTTGTGTGTAAAGTACTAACGATTTGGAAAGTCGTTATCGTCCATCCAGCCATTGGACATTTTAGTGGATTTCATGTCAGACTCAATGATGTCACAGACCGAGAGTGCGCAGTCATTTAATGGTATGTACTTAAAATTAACCTGTCTTTGTTAAATAAATATTGAAGACGATGTACAGATTGACGCTAATTCATTGTCAAACCATACAAGTTCTTTCAAATCTAAAATATTTGGGACTACAGTTAAGTAAGACTCTGTCCTAGAATCTGCATGTTGATGCTACAACCAAAACAGCAAGCAACAATATGCCCTTCCTGCGGCGCAGAAATCTTGCCAGCTGCCCCATCAATATCCGGAACCACTACTACAAGACACTTGTAAGACCTCTAGAGCTGCACGTGTAGGTCCCACATACGCCATGCAGGCCAATGTCGAATCAGTCTAGTGCCATGTGTGGTTACTACAGAACTTCCAGCACTTTGATTGCCATTCTTCAAAGGGTCTTCACTAGCTGTATCAGAGATGAAATAATGTAAGACTCATGATGGTTTAGATAGGATTCACCACACCCCTGTAGATATGTTATGAACATTAATTCTTCGTGGTATTGCAATACCGACTAGAGGTCATCCATGAAAGATTTTGGTACGATGGGACAACTACAAAGCAAGCTTTTTTCATCCGAGATTCGCTTGTGTAACCAGCTGTCAGCATCGGCTGTCAAAGCTTCTGCCACCTTGGTACGAAGACTTCTATAGTAGGTGCCAAGAGTTTGTTTCCTCTAATTCAAAGCAGTCAATAAAGTATGATGTTTATTGGTGTGTTCCTTAATACAAATAATGTGTCAATGTCATTATTTCGTAATTTTGTAACTTTTACTTTGCTGTGATATATTTATTCATGTTTAACTTTTATTTATAAATCGATTCAAAGGAAATTTCTACCATGTGTATATGTACACATGTATAAATGCTGATTGTTGGGTTGTTGGTAAATATACATTATATATGAACATGTTCAAACAATATTTATTCTAACATACTTTAAATACTACTATAAAAAGATGTCATAATATATTTTATTTGGATGAGAGGTGAACGAAATTCAGGAGAAACTTGATATTAAACATTTAATTTTCATAGGTCTTTTCACGGATTTATATTACATATATAAATCCGTGGTCTTTTTTAAATATTAAACGATGTACATAATTTACTCATAGAAAAATAATAATAATAAATATCGCACAAAATAAATTGAAACTTGTGATCTAAATAGGTGTGATCGGGTTTTCAGTGGTCTCAATATAATATTTTGTTCAAATAAAGAATAAAACAATGACATTCGTGGTCTAAATAGTGGATTAGTGGGTTAGTCTTAACCGTGGATAATATTTCCATTGACATAACAACTCAACAAAATACGTTCTTTTAAAAGTTGGTCTAAATAGTGGTGTGATCTTAATTCGTATAAGTAGGATTTCTACTATACTCAGTTTTGCCAGTCTTTCGTGCGATAATTATTGCACTTAAAACACGATAACTGTCTTCTTTTTACATGTTGAGATATTGCCTGTACTCTAGCTTGCAAGGGCGATTACGATCGTTTTGAAAGACGATACTGGTGGACGGTTGTGATGGTGGTGTTGGTAGTTTTTACTCCGGATCACGGCAGTAAGCATGAATTTCCATAGACATTTCACCACCATCGTTCTGACAACAGTTCAAGACATTTGTATCATTTGCAAGGACTGAAACATCTGAAGCCACAGAGACATGTCACCAACGAAATGACTGACGTTCGGATCGAACACGGATCGCGCGATCCGTCAACACTACCTATTGACTTCAGACGTAATCTGAGATACTACCAAGATTACTGAATTCAGAATACTGAATTGGTCGAGATACGAAATGTTTTTATCATAAATACTTGTGCATACCTTTTACAAAATTAATGTTCAACGTATAAACTAACAAAGCATGACTACCTTGATGAAATATTTTACAACTATTGTTTTGCCTTTACACATCAAAGCGGTAGTAATTTATTTTATTGCTAATTTATAACTGTCGTGATTTTAATCAAATTTATACGCCTAAGGTGTTCAAAATACTGATCGAATGAACTGGAGTGTTTTAGCTCCAGTAAGATTTACCATGATTTTGTAGTTGAGAATTTTTAAATTTTGCCCATTTTCTATTCGTGGTTTAATGCAAATTATAAGCAGTTTGTGAATCATTAACCTGCGGCCAGTAAACATAGTGAAACCTAACAGTTTATTCTGAATCAGATTTGACAAGTTGTCTTCCAATGACAACCATTCTGTGTCTGATGTTAAGTTGCTTGATGATGAAGGTGATGATGATGATGATGATGATGATTAAGATAATTATAAATTGATGATAATGATGAAGAAGACATTGTTGTTAGTGGCAATGATGTTGTTGAACATTGATAATGTTGTTGTTGATGTTGTTGATGACGTTAATGATGAGGATGATAAATATTTAATAGACTTATAAAAAAGTTGAAATATTGTAATATGCTTTATTTTGTAATAACCATGAAATGTTTTACGAAAGCATTTGAAAAAATGTGATATCTTCCATATGCTTGACATTGTCATACATATCTTACCATATATATATGTTCAACATCATCTTGACCAAGCTTTTCCCTGACCGTAAGTAGATTTGGTTAAATATATAACTGTAAATTAGTAATAGCAGAGACATACATACATCTACATCTCTGGTAATAGTGAGGTCATATTTGTCTCGTGCTGCACATATAACTTCAGTGGAAATAGGCGTCAACCATCCGCTCTATAGAAGAAATTAATATCAAATATGAAAAAATGCAAACAAACAACAACACGCCCCCTCCCCTCCCCCAATAACAACAACAACAACAACAACAACAACAACAACAACAACAAAAATCCCGACATTTTCGACGTAAAATTGATTGATAGTCAAAGCAAACCCAATCACTCCCTCGAAACTGCGCTGACGCAGGCATTGCCCGCAAAAATTCTTACCCTTACCGAGAAATATGCATATTTGATTGGAAATAACCATACATTTTATAAGAAAGAGTCATTTTAACACATGTTCCCCCACATTTAAAAGGTTGTACATACTTTCGTCTGATTCGTATCAATATGATGATTCCCTAAGGGAAATAACAATGACTTTGATTTGACTTTAAACAATGATCACATATTTTATATTATAACATTAATAGTTAGTGTGCAGGAAAATTCATTTGGATGTGCAAATTGTAACGTTTGTATGATAAATAATCTTTGAAGTTTTCAATATTTCGAAAGGATGAGGGAGTCAGTTGCCGGGTTGTTATATAACTAGTGTTCATATGAAGAAGTTGAGAGAAAACTGATTAATTGATCAACCTAAATGAGTGTCTGAATTTCAAGTTTTTCAAATGAAAGTTACCTGAATAAGACACATCTGTGAATTCATTTAATACGGAATTATCTGTGACGTTATCGACAACATCACACACAAAAGATTTTCGACGTTTAATATGTTACGTCATTGATAACGGCATACGTCGATAACAAAATCAGTTTTATAAATGGATATAACAACCGATTACGGATAAACTTGCGAGACTTTCAAAAGCTTTTTAAGCGATGTATAGTTTGAAACCTACTTGAAAAAGGACTATCATGTTATTTTACTTACATTATTTGTACAGAATATTTCTTATAACTTGTTTGGTGTGGTTAAGTTGTGTCTCTTTCTCAGCGGTGTTAGCATTCCCGAGACCAGTAAGCAAACATTTTCCGGAGCAAAACTTGGTTGGTATTTTATGTCTATGAAAGCCGTGACTAATCAGCATTAAATTTTGTTGGTTCTTAAATGACAATCAATCAATCAATCAATCAATCAATCAATCAATCAATCAATCAATCAATCAAACAAACAAACAAACAAACAAACAAACAAACAAACAATCAATAATTATTGACCGATAAGGTGCCTTTTCCATATTATGTCAATACATTATTTTCTTACACTACTTTTTTCAAAATATCCGTTGAATAAAACTATTTACCCCAGCACATTTGCTAAAATTTGTGATTAAAGCAAACAAATCTTATATTTAAGATTTAATGGATACACCATTTTCGGACTATATTCTGGTCTCATGTATTCAAATATTGCGGTCTGTCTTATATAGAGCATGAAAGGCAACCTTTTGCTTGGGTTGTTGTCTGAAAAGATTTTGGAGTCGTTTTAACGACGGTCCCTTTGCTTGACGGTATTTCTTCCTTTTTGTTAAGTACTAGAGTATATCATAGTGTCTTTATTTCAGCCGGAACCTTCACGTTTGAGAGATGGCCAATCTTTCTGGGAAAAGCTTTTCGTCATGAGACTACTGAATTTAATTGAAAGGCAATCCATGGCAAATGAAGGGATTTCTACCGTGAGTATAACTAAGATGATTTTGATAGTTAAAGCAGGAACAGAAATTTGTATCTCGACCATATTTTCTGGACGGATACATACATGTACACAAGTACGGTAATCTGTTTTTTAATCAACTTTTAATTTGTCGGCGAGTATTGTAAAACAGTTTTTACATAATTTAGCACCAAGCAGTTGCCAAACATTACAAGATTTATCTTTGCTCGTAATTTTCATAGATAATAAAATTAATGCGTCTGATATTTTCTCATGCCAAACATAATCAATCTAAAAGTGTGCTGTGTTTTTCTTTCAAGTTTACGACAGAAATAAACTATAAAGGCATGCAGGCAAAAATAAAAAAGTCCGTATTAGAACTAACTGTTTTTTAGCATGCTCTGGGTAAATATAAAACATTGGTTTTGTTTCTGACATCAATAAGAAACTATGTACACAAAGTTCGTTGTTTCCAGTATTTAAGTAATGCTATAATAAAATATTTATATATGTACATGTATAATTTAAAGGGACTTGAAGCAGCACGCCTTCAGAGCTAATTTTCATTAAAGACATGTATTTAAAACTAAGATATTACGATGAAAACAAAGAAAGTAGTTTACACATTGCAAACGGCACTTACAATCCACACATATTACCAAAAAGGAGGTCAAAATATGCAAAAAAGCCCTTTAGCGTTAGTCACGAAATAGATATACAGGATGTATGGTGATAAATACTACAAAAATCAGTCACGAATCGCACATAACATGTAAATGGTTACTTGAATCTTGACTCATTTTACTTTTCAAAATATCTTTATGTACATTTTTTTCAAGTTTGATTTTCTTGAAATCTTGGCTCATCTAGAGACTTGCAACTTTAATTATCCAATATCTATAGAAAGTAAATACGATACGAAATCAAGAATCGTTCGTTATTAAAAGAAGCAAGGTGACCAGAAAATAACCTTATTTTAATAGGCGTGATAACATCAATGTCTTGTCAAGATGAAATGCAAATAATTTGAAACAGAAATACTATTTTGTAAAATTAGTCATTTGTTTGCCGTTAGCGTGGGCATTTTACTAGTAGAATTTTGTTAACTCCAAAAAACGAATTCATATTTTAAATAGTGCTAGAAATATATAAGTACATTTTAAAGAAAGTTACCATTAATGTATTTTGAAGTTTATAAATTGTCGTCGCGTGGCAGTACTAGATTTACAGCTTTACCCCGGCCTCTATATTATAAAAACTTTATTTCTGTGTTTTTATCGAATCTCATAGTTTCATTTGTCAGACACTAGTTAAATTATTCTGTTTTACAAATAAACTGCGAAGGTCCTTTAAATTGAATTTATGAATGTTAAATGTTAAGCCTCCAAAATGATAATATTTTGAATTTGCAAAATATTTACATTTTTGGTGTTCAGATTCAGTTTCCAAAAAGTAACTCTTTAGCTTATGACCCGAACCATCTTTTTCTTCTGTTACTTTTTGAAACATTTTGCCTTTTTCAATAACAAATAATTTTACATTCAGAGCTACTTTTATTTCTTGCGGTAACAAGCATCTAACATACTCTAAAACCAATATTTTATTGCCATATAAAGTTCATGTTTGCCCTCTCCAAAGATGTTAAACTTTATTCGTATCTGAGGCATAATGTGCCTTTAAATAAGAATAAGTGATCCAACAGGATAACAAAATATTAACAAAACTGAAATTTGTGGCGAAAATCATGTTTATAAAATTATTAAAAGGCACACCTCTAAGTTTTTTTTCTCACATGATGGATAGGATCCCCCCCGGGATTTTATATAATTTGGTGTGGGTCTATAACAAAAACTGATGATCATTCGTGTCAATCTTTTTTTTTTCTTCAGAATTTTGCAAAAAGACTTCAAAATGAAAAGCATTAAGCTTTTGGTTAAGAATTGTACTAGATATCGATTTTTCATTTTCAATTCAAAATATATTTATTACTTATCTGTTACAATTTTGTTTTGCTTTATGTGCCCTTGTTGCTTATGTAAGGATTCAAATTTTATCTCTTGAAGTATTTGGACCACATTGGTGTTCCTTTAACAAATACTTGTTTTTATATTTCAGAGCGCTCATTGGGTCAGGGACTACGTATTTGAGGGAGATATCATTCTAAAAAAAGATCAAGCAGAACAAATTTTATACTTTAATAAACAGCGGAAGAAAAGAAAACTTGACGCTCAAGTAATGTCGACACCGTCAATAAAAAAGTGGCCACTACCAATTAATTATATATTTGACGGAAAACACAGTAAGAATTTTACCTCTTTTATAAATACTATTATATTAAAGTCTTAAATTATTCTTTTTTTCCAATTGATATATGTTTTAAAACCATTTATTTTATATGCAACAAGTTCAATCAAATCAACATGTGTTTCACTGAATCTAATTAGGATTTCTTTACATACGAATTGACCAGTCGCACGAATTTGACAAGTCGCACAATTCATAACTATTCCATGAATAAGACCAATCAAAATCGTTTCTATATGTTACAATCTATTTTTTAGAATAAATGTTAGTTTAAATGCACCAATCAAATGATTTTTTATGTGATGACATTCTATGTTCAGCAGTTACGTTGTTTTTGTTTCAGCACAGGAACAGAGAAAAAAGATTCGTATTGGAATAAAACATTGGGAAGAAAACACATGCATTACATTCACTAATATTGTTAACTCGACTGTAAAAAGTATTAAATTCATCAATGATTCTGGGTAAGTTTTTATTTCTATATTTAACTAAAATCCTTATTTTTGTCCTTCATTGCATGCATTTTCCTCTAAATTAGACAGTTTATTTTGTTTTACAATGATAACTGATGTATTGTTGTACATTTCTGAAACAAGAAATATATGAGGCATTGAAATAAAAATTGTAAGTTAATATTCTAAGTTAATGCCATTGTTGTAGTGTCTTTATATGTAGATTTTTACTGTAGTTTTTAGCCCATTTTAAATATAGAAATACTGAAATAACCAACTTCATTTGTTGTGATAGATAAACATAATTATATCTTTTAAAGAACTGTCAATATCTCATGTCACATATGTTTGGATTTTAGATGCTACTCCTTTGTGGGCAATAGCCATGGGATACACGAGCAGACTATCTCCATAAGTCAACAGTGCACGAGAGTAAGTTGATATCATTGAAATAAAAATAGATAATATATAATAAGATAGAATATAAGAAATATAAATATATAAATTTACATAGATTTAGTCTTTCATTTTCAAATAAAATTACAGACTCATCATCACTAAATTTAAATAAAGTTTTGTAATTTACAGAGCAATTAGAACTAGTATCTTACATTTTTGAAGTAGATTATTTAAAGGGTTTATCAAACTTATTTTCTATTCTTTTTACCTATTTGCCAGACTTGTCCTTGATATAGGCAAGTTAAGAGGCAGGACAGAACGTGCAGTTCGTTCAAGCGAACGGAATGGTGGCAAGCTTGGTTTTTGTATGTGCTCAAGGAAAGGAATGTGTTGAGTTAAAAAGAAGACTTAACAAAACATTATTCTTGTTTCTCATTTTATAGAAAGGCATCGTTGCTCACGAAATCGGACATGCTCTGGGATTCTGGCACGAGCATGCACGTGCTGATCGTGATGATTTTCTGTCAGTTATTAGAGAAAATATCACAGACGGTAGACATACTTACTCATTCTTTAATATCGTGATTGATACTTTACTATTTCATTTACTTTCTTTGATAAAACAGTTAACTTTGTTCTGAAAAAATAATTAAAAAAGATTAACAGACCACAGATTGGCGTGTTCGGTCCTGATCACAGTAGATATTTATTCATTAATATCAAGGTGTTAACATTAACTTAACAACTTATTGTAGCTGGTTGAGCTTTAAGAATAAACAAATGATTGATTATGCATGCATTGCTATAGCAGCCATGTTTTATAATAACCTATATTCTATGTTTTATTTTGCCAGGGCAGTATCATAATTTTGAGAAAGTGTCATGGGAAATAATCAACAATTTAGAAGTGCCATATGATTTAGGTTCTGTCATGCATTATAATGGAATGGTATGTGTAATTTATATAAAAACATATTAGATTTTAGTAGTAATAATACAGTTACCTGCTTAGGGTGTGCGGACTAATCTTATTCTGTAAAAGTCGCATATATAATGTAGAATCAGTTGTCAACAGCAGGGTAAAGAGTATACTGTAGAGTGATAAATGATAACCAGTCTACGCTGCAAAGCTATATTGGGCTGTAATAGACTGGTATATATTTAATAGTTAGTCAGGTATTGCTTTACAACCGTAACACTGAGTTCCAGGTCTCATGTTTCATTTCATACTGTATGTGTAATATGCTGATAAAGTCTTTGATAAAATCCTCGCCATACTATAGAATTTTGTGACATTCCAGCTTCTATATGCTAAATGAACTCCACAAATGATTTTATATTTCAACTGCTTTTTTGTGTCCTTTTTATAGCTTCCAAAGAGTTAATCATTGGCTTTAAACATCTTTTGCTTCTGTTGCCTTTTGGCAATGCGTACAATTATAGTGATTAAGTATTATGTATGGAAGTCAAAACTACGTACGCTGTTTACATATAAATACTTTTACGAGATAAAATGTCACATACAGCAATTCTTTCTTCCAGTGATATGCTTCTGAAACGTAATATAAATTTCCTTTTTCTATTGACATGAAGTTTTATTCGCTTCTGAAGCATAGATTATATAAATTACTTTTTTTATATATTTATAGATTCTTTGTATTCCTTTTTTTTAAATTTTACAGCAATTTAGTAAGGGACGTAAAATCACAATGCGAACTCACAATCGACTTCATCAAAATACAATAGGTCAGCGAGAGGAGTTGTCTTTCTTTGATATTAAACTGGCCAACAAGGCGTATTGCAATGGTAAGATTTAGCATTTGACATCAACGCTTATTGCACTTTCGTGTATGATTTCTTTTTCAAAACACATTTGTTTTGATAAAATTGAAAAACATAATTAATATGCAATTATATACTCGTGGATGGTTTTCACATAATATGTATTACCCCCTCTGACTGAAATTCCTTGATAAGCTAGATCATATTTACCTTATGTATATTAACAGAAATTGATAACCTACGAGTAAATCAGTTTTTTTTCCTTTTCAATCCTTACTGTTTTTGTCAGTTATAATAAATAGAATATTGGTTCCCAAAATGACTGCCATTGAGGCATGTGATGTAAATATTGTGTAATTCGAGAACTAGTGATAATTATATATGATCTCAAGAAGATACCATAGAGATAATGAATAAAATATTTAAAATCATATATCTTTATCAGATGTTTGTGATCCAAATGAATTAAAAGGAAGATGTTTACACGACGGGTACCAGGACCCTAAAAACTGCAGCAGATGCCGGTGTCCAGACGGTCTAGGTGGCGACTTCTGTGACCAAGCGGCACCTTCAAGTCGTAAGTAGGCCATACTGTTTCCATAGTAACACAATTTTCAGCGCAAATATTATAAAAAATAATATGTATTTAGCTGCTACGTTAAATCCTAACTTATTAGTAAGGATTTGTAGCTATATAGGAAGGTGTTCCAGATGTAAAACTGACATTACAGAGAAACTGAGTGGATCAACACTAGTCAAGCAACAATGACAGCGTTATTCTATGAAAACAATTAAATAAGGACCAAATAAAACTATTTAAAAAAAAACTCGTTTGTTTTTGTTTACACTCTGAACTTATTGCTCTAGATCCTTATAATAGTATACAAGTCAATTAGGTCACATAATTAGGAAAACATCATGCGCAGTTGTCAATTTCTTTTCTTTTCAACTACCTGCAATTTACACCTAGCTTTATTAAAATAAAACAATTTTGAGAAGGGACAACATTTATTTTACTGGGTAAATCTTATTTCAGATGAATGTGGAGGACATATACACCTCACTGCATCTTCATTACACACTATTACCTCCCCGGGATACCCTGACTTTTACCAAGGAGGATTACAGTGTTCTTGGTTAATTCAGGTATGTAACTTCAATTTACGGTGTTTCCTTAAGGCATCGGCGGCCCTTCACTTAAGGCCATCGTTTCTTTGTATCGGCGGCCCCTACATGAACCTAAAGAGCGACTAGACGATATGTCGAAGTGACCATCGATGATGTCGCTGATATTTCTTATCACATTTGATGTTGAAGAGTCAATGAAAGTTAAGTCGATAGACACAGACATTGGCACCATGAAATATTTAAACATATTTAACATAAAATGTTTTTGCTTACTATGTTATTATTTATTCATCAAAGATCTTTGTTTCTGTTATATATTATCAAGTAGATATTTTATCACTTCAAATTCAAACTAAAGTATTCAATTTTATTATTCATTAGTTTTTTTTTGTTTCTCAGTCACCAAATGGAACTGCTGTTAACATACAGTTTGAAAGACCGTTCATGCAGAGTCAGTTCTGTGATAATTTACAGCCATACTTGCCGTGTGAAGATTTTGTAGAGGTTCGCTTTACAGATAGCCTCGGTATAACAGGTATGTTCGATAAAACAAATTTGTTTGATATAACATGTATGTTCAGGATAACAGGTGTATTTGGTATGACAAGTACATGTATGTTAGATTTTACATGCATTTTCGGTATAAGTATGTTCTGTATAACAATTAAAGTATGTACATGTATGTCCATTATATAAGAGATCATATAGGTTCGGTATAACAGGTATAACAGGTATGTTCAGTATAACAGGTATGGTCAATTTAAACGGTATTTTCAGAGCAACTATGTTGATATAACAAGTACGTTTAGTTCAGTATATAAGATATGTTCAGTATAACATGTATGTAAGTAAACCGGTTCAGTAACAAACCATCAGTTATATCAGTACAATTAGTTTATTCACTTTAATTTACCTACCGGCTCCTTTGTTAAAAGCGGTCTAGTAAATCACTTACCGACCGGTTAACAGGTCTGCAAATAGATGCCGACCGGTTATTGTTCTATTGTTCTATATACAATAGAAAATATGTGAAGTCGAGAAACTCGTGCATTACAGTACACAATATTCACCGTAAAATAACGCTGAATTGTGGGGGAGGGGGGATAATGACCACTTTGAATAGAAAAAAGGGTCAATATATATTTTAAAGATTAATCGAAATAAATTAGCGCATACGGCTGTAAGTACCCTCATAACTTATATTCCAGATTATTTGTGAGAAAAACGAACTGGCTACTGTTCTGGCGTTGAAGTTTTGGGTTTCGCCGGTATTAATGAGTATAACAACGCACATTAAGCCTTTCTTTAAAGTTTGCTTTTCGGTATACATCACACATTTGCCGAACTATATAGCTTCATAAGATACTAGTTTTCGGTATTTATTTCCACAACTATGTCTGAATTTGCACAATCCTGCATTATTTTAACAATTCTGCTTTATGGGATATATACGACGATTATATTATTGGTGTATATCGAATCAAATACAACTTCTGCATCTTTCTTTGCAGAAATATTACTTTCAGTGAGAGTATAGTTCATCTTAAGTATAAGACCGTTTTTCTCATTTTCCCAGTTATTTTTACATTACAATTTGGATTTTGTATACCAGTACCAAGAATACGACTTGCCTTTCCATTCTAGACCGCGTGCTTACATGGGGTCTTATAACGGATAATGCTAATTAAGAATACACGGAAAGAAAATTCTTCCAAACATGCATGGATGAAATTCTAAGAACATTTAAAATCAGCCATCATAAAAAACAACAACAACAAAACCCAACTTACATAACGGTGTAACTACATGTATTACTAATATTTATTCATAGAACCCCGTCTTTTACTTTCCTTTGAAAAAATCGTATATTTTAATTATATAAGAAATAGCCTGATCATCTATTTACCATGAAATTCATTATATATAAAGATAAAGTGTTCCGTTTTTGTTTTTGTATTTTCTGATCGCAAAATCAGTAAATACATAGCTAACATCCACGGTCTAACACAAAATTTCCTCACAGACCTAACAACGCAAAGTAGTTCTCACTCAAAACTGCTTAAAAACCAGCAATTTAAAGAAATAATAATTTTTAATGTAGGCATTGAACGAATTACAGTGCATTAAAAGTTTACATTAGTCAATTGAAATATGAGGTTACAATCACAAATTTCGCGGATAAATTTCTTTTTTACCCAATGAAAAATGTTCCACTATTTCCGTAAAGCTTAATCAATGAAAATGCTATTTTTAGCTATGTCGATTACCGAATACTCCAGAGCGTAGAACACAAATAAATCTGACTGTCGAGTAATGGAATATATACATGTCGGACTGTTTTGGCGAGAAGATTTTCGCTAAATTATTTTCATCAGTGTTTAACAACAGGTTTATCGTGAACAAAATACCTCGAAATAAATAAGGATTACAAATACGAAATGAAAATTCTCAATTTTAGAATTACAATATATTTGTTTTTATTCACGCTACATACGTATTACTTCACTGTGGTGCAGAGGTAGCGCGCTCGTTTAAGGTGTGAGAGGCCTGAGGTTAAAATCCTTGTCGAGGCAACATTTTTTTGAAGTGGCTTTTTAAGGAAGTTGCCACGATATGCAAGGATAAAGTGTGGCTGTAATAAAAAAATGAAAAATGATTTTTGATGCAACTCTAAGCATGCAAAATTCCATATGTATCAATCACAAACTGCATGTTAAACGCAGTCCCTGCGTAAGATGAATAATAGTATATAAAAATAAACTTATACAGGAAAGATCAGAAAATACCACAGAGCATACAGCCCTTTGATTATGATTAGAAAACATTTTTTATCTTCCTCAGTATTTGTTTATATTATTAATATGTTATGTATTCATATATCAAAATAATGATCTTACCTTTCCCTACTCGACAAGTTCTGTTTTCATTTTCTGTGACTCAACTCAACAAGTACATTACCTAATGAAACCCCACGAAAATCACGAGAATATTCAAATAACACCTGATTTGTGAACGAATGAATTACAAGAGCGTAGCGGATGGTATCTTGGCTCTTAAACATGATAAAGTACATAAGTAATATGTTTCTTGTGAGTAATATGAATAAATACTGAGCTAAAAACTGATGTATGGATAGAAAAACAAAAGAGCATGTAGGTAAGATAGTTACCGCACTCGGAATAGGTCTGCATAGTATTTACAGACCCGGTGGCCTTTTAAAAACCTCGATCGCTACGCTCTCTCGGTCTTCAAATCGCCACCCGGGTCTGTAAATACTATGCAGACCTATTCCTCGTACGGTAACTATTACTTATGACCTTTTTTCAATATGATAATAAAATAAGTTCTTAGAAAATCAAGTACCATTTGAGCATGTAAATTCTAGTGGTAAACCAAATCTTTCTATTTCGACTTCATCGGCAAATCAAGTAAAATACCATTTTTACTGTTTGCATTGTTTAAATACTGTAGCTGATAAATTCACTGGAAGTTAAGTTGTAAATAGACAGCACAACTGGCTCTAAACGATCTGTTTACTCTTAGAGCCTCTTGTGAAAATTTCAGAAATTTCTTAAACAATGCCAGTGAAAATAATTACATGTACTTGTATTCTTTCTTTATTTCAGGCGGCCGATTTTGTTGTAATGATGGTATTCAAAGTGCAACTCTGGACAGACCAATAGTAACACATACAAATCATGCTTTGATTCTTTTCAAAACCTACGCACACGGAAGTGCTGGGTTTAAAGCGCACATATCAATTGGTACTTTGTTTACTCTTCACTTGAAAAATATTTTTCAAAATAAGTTAAAAATATGTTAATAGGTTTGCGTTTGTCTATAAACTCTTGTCTTGAATTATTTAAGAAAAGATTATGCTTTTCTTTACTGATATCTATAAAGAATAGAACAGAGCATGTTTTATTTATTTAAAAATTAAACCAAAACATTACATGTTCAATGAATACAATCACCATGTCAATGTTAAGTAACAAATATTCAGTGTTCACATATTAGCCACTAAATCATAAATAACATACATGAAAGAATATGAAGTTACTGCAAAGTGTACTTACACATATAATACATATATACATATAGTTAATAGTGCATATTGGCTTGCATAAACGAAACAAGTACATACATAGAATATTTGATATTTTTTCTACGGTATTCTAATAGTATTTTAAAGGGCGTGCGTAGCCAAGTATTTAAGGTTGTTGGACTTTCGTTTTATTTGTTTGGGTCGTCATTTTATGCACTCATTTTTTTCAAATTGTTTAAGTCAAATAAACATTGAATTGAATATCAGTGTTGCTATTAATCTTATAGCCAATTTACTACAATTAAAACGCTGGAAAGCATTGGTGGCACTATACAAAAACAAATTGGTTTATAATCTCACCTTTCTGACATTCTGAGAACCAAACAAATTCAGCGCCTTCTGTGCTTTGATTATTTTAATGCGAGGAAGCTATCTAGCTTACTACGGGAACGTCGGTGTTTCTACTCAGGTGCCCGTCTATGCCTGAAATAATAAACGGAGGGGCTCCAACAGTAAAGCAGGAAGTTCGTTATGACCCGTACAGTTTGGTGCGAAGTTAGACCAACTAATTCTACTATTATAAGCATTAAGAAAGTGTGCTCTTTAGTGTATTGGAAATTTATCCCTCTGACATAGAACAAAAAAATTATCTCAGCATCTAGCTTTAGAGCTTTGGTACGTAAATATATTTTGACTCGTGCGACGTAACCCCCCTTATCCCCTTCTCCCCCATAAAAATAATAAAAAATAAAGGTGTTCAAACAGTATTCTTCGATGGTGAAATTGTTATGACAGAAACAAAAAGTTAAAGCTCCACCCAAATTCCCATTATCCATTTGTGAACATACATGTATTGAAAAAAAAATATTTAAAAAAAAATTGAACAACAAATCTTTATTGTTTCCAATTAAGTGTGGACATTCAAACTTTTTAACATTTTCATTCATAACTTAATGCTTAACATTAACACACTTGGAAATGTTGTATGTATTTATAAAATATGTACATTTTTTTCAGAAAGTTGTGGTGGTTGCCTGAACAATGTGACAGATGGGCAGGTCCCGTGTAAACGGAAGGAAACAAAAGACTGTTATCAAACTTGGTATAAACGAACAAAATTAAATGGTTGCGGCATCCAGTTCTGGGGTTGTTACACTCCGTACATGTAAGTTACTCTATGCAGATTTATAAAACAAAAACAATATATGTTACGTTAATACATATATATGTACTTACATTCCTGCAAGTATTATTTGTTTGAATTTTATGTTTCAAATATGTCCTAAAATAGACTACACAGAGAATTTTAATATGAAGGGACTGAAATTATTTTTTCGTAATTTTGTACCATTTGATATATAGCTAGACCAATAACAAAATTGAAAAAAATCATTCCGTTTGTCTTATATAACCATTGTGCAAAATGAGCCCAAAAGGAAAAGCGTCTAACACTTTTAACGAAAATTGGACACAAAAAAGTCAAATTAATTCTGAATACATGTATGTTTCTTTATCATCTTTATTATCTTTTCCGGTTTAAATGCCTCAGTTGATTTGTGCTAGAATTTCAAATTGTATATTATTTGAGGTCTTTGGTGCTATTTTTAACCTAAGTGATGAAAAGAAAAACTAATAATCATGTTTGATTTTTGTTTTATATTTTAGAATAAGACCAGTTCGAAGGTTGAGTAAATGTTATTCGGAGGTAGCTTACTGTTGTAAAGGTTATATTCTGTCTCCGGACAAAAACAACTGTACAAGTAAGTGATGTAAAGCATTGTATTTCATCTTTAAACATTTCGTGTAACATCGGCAATTTCTATCATTTTCCGTACATGTGTCTAGATTTGATATCTGAGAATCGATGGATATTCTTAAAGCTATAATGTCAGAGTGGACGATATGTTTCCAAACGAAAAAGTAAATAGATGTATACGTGAATGTATGTGTGAATGAATGAATGAATGAATGGATGGAGAGGAACTATATGGGTTCTTTCTTTTAACCCCCCTTTTCAATTTAATAAAACAATCAAGTCATATAAAATTTGTAAAAAAACAAATACATGGGATTTTAAACTAATGAAGGAATTTTTGATATATTTGGAGTCTTTTTTTTTTAGGAAAAGATATTAAAACTGCCCCGACGTTGATGAACATGGACTGACATTTTTAACATGTACACTAGATATATGGCGTAGTTTATTCTTGTAATGCAGTCCGGATATACTTAGTAACAAATATGCTAACTACCAAGCTTTACCTGACAATGTTCTACCAAACATTGTCCTTTATATCTCAAATATATAAACTGATGTCGTAACTCTATTTGTAGAAGACCCAGAGGCAGTTACAAAGGAAGAAGTGGAGGATGAAGGAAAAAGTGATGACGGAGACACGTCAGACACTGGTATCATCGAAGAAGACCAAGGTATTCCTAATGGTTGGTCAGGATGGACAGACTGGTCTACATGTAATAAAACTTGTGGCGGATGCGGAACACAGTCCAGATCAAGACGGTGTCCGGCAGGTGAAAAGTGTGTGTAAGTGTTTCAGTGTTTGGGCATGGGCCTTATTTGTCAATTTTGTTGGAAGTGATTCATTTGATGACGTTTTCACCGAAAGCTTGGAAAACATGACGGAAAATACATCGATGACCTTTCTTATGTAGTAAATTCTTTTTGATGACTCGTCTGTATTTCATTCCAAATGTTGAACAGAAGTATATGGGAAACTGAAGAAAAGCAATCGAAACTCAACGGTCTATTCGAATAAGGACTATCGTTATATTTTAGGATAACATATATCCAGAAAGCCTACGGGACGTCGATGGTACTACTCAGGTACCCGTTTATGCCTAAAATAATGCAAAGAGTCACCACCAGTAAAGCTGGAAAATCGTCATATGACTTATATTGTGTTGGTGCAACGTAAATATACCCCCCTACACACAAAGATTATAAATGACGGTCTTGGTGTTGCGGTTGTAAAATGGATATACATGTATGTGTTAATAAAACACATACTAACGGTAACACAGTCTTTTTAAGATAAAAATAAATTATTAAACATGATTTGACATCTTGTACATTAATTTTTACCTATATTGGATTTTCAGGGGAGACAACATTGCCACTAAGTCATGTGGAAACAGCACGTGCGCATATGGAAATGTGCAGCAAGCGTGCTCGAGGACTATTACTAAGTCAAGACCTTGTGGTTTTTCGGGCTTTTTCTTTGGAGGATCATCAAAAACTTGTTATTCGTAAGACAGTTTACTTTCTATTAACATGTAATCCAATACAAATGTGTACGAATTTCATCGAAAATTGTTGTTTTCCAACAAAAGTAAAACCTTTTTTATTGGGGAGGGTGTTTTGTCCCCCATTTCCGGTAGTTTTAAATTTTTTGCAGGCACAATTTCTTGCACATTAAAAAAGTCTTCACATTTGTAATGAAATTTATAGTAAATTTGTATACATTTACCGATTTGTAAATCAAACTTTGACAATTTAATGTCAAATTGCCAATACAATGCATTTGTTTTTATATCGTGTAGCGCCCAGTCTGACTTGTTTCTTAATGTGTAGCGTTAGAGAGGAGCTGATTTTAATCAGATTGGTGCAGCACCGTGATTAAAGTACCCGTGGATCGTTTATTTTCACAAAACTTGTGACAGAAGTATATATCTGCTTTGCATGTTTATAAGATTGACCAATCGAATTTTTCGCCCCTTTTGATCAAGATTTTTTCGAGGCCGGGTTGAGACTCGGCCCCCCCTTTTCACTAAAAAAGATCTGGACAGGATCAAGTGACCTGTTTTTTTTCATTTTTTAATTTACTAAAATTGATAAATTTTTGCAGAAAAAAAAAAAAAGGGGTAAATTTTTCAAAATAAAAAAAAGTGCGATTTGCAAAAAAAACCAAACAAATTTGGGTAAAAAAAACAAACAAAAAAAAAATACAAAAAATTTGATGAAAATAAGGATCAATTTAAAGGGTCAGGATAAATTTGGATAACTGTAAAAAGCCCCGTTCTTTCAAAAAAAACAATATTTTTTTTTTTCCTAAAATTCATAAAAAAATTTCTACTGAAGTCCCGTTTTATCAAATTAATATTAGATATTTTAACCCATGAAATAAACGATGAAAAATATTAGAGTTTTTAAATTTGATCCCGATCTGATCCCCTTAAACTTTTTTAAAAAACGGGGCCCCGGGTTAACCAAACGGGGGCCCTACTAATCTATGGGGACATCATGAAAAAACCAAGACGATAAATTTTAAAACTAGATTAATTTTTTAGAGTTTTAACTATAGATGAATTTTTAAAACCCCTTTAATGAAAATTAGGGCACTAGAAAAAATTTAAAAAGTTTTAAAAGTAATTTTCAGGGAAGAGACCAAATATTTCTAAGACAAAAAATTTTTTCTGCGGGTATACAGTTCATAAAGGCAAAATTCGCCCTGACACCGGGGTGAAAATAGCCCCAAAAGGGCCATTTATTGTGAAACTTGCTTGAAAAGCATGCGCTTGCTTGAAATGTGCTATGATCATAAAGATGTTTTTTTTTTTTAAAAAAGACATTGTATGTAAAAAGTATTGACTTCTGGTATAATGACGACTTTTTCCGGCTCATCGAACTGTATAATTCCCTAAGGAAATACAAAAGTAAATAAAAACATTCGGAGCCAGTAAATAATTCAATTCAAAGTCGATTTTTATATCAATTTAATATACAGCCCAAATTTTTATGTAAGTATAGTAAATTCATGAAATGTGCTACATTGTTTAATTTGATATATTATGTACTGACTTCTCTGTTTCAATATCGTTCTAATTAATATTGTTATTTTGCTTTTGCATTGTCTTTTGCCGAGACTTCTTATGACCATTGAATAAAATGTGCTCTATTTTTAATGCAAGGATTTTGATTTTTACATAAAGTATTGATTTTATTATTGTCATTTTTAAAAATGTCTCTACAGAAAAAATTTTAATTTTTAAATTACATCCATTTGATTAAACTTTAAAAGGTTTTTAAAAAAGCACGACATTTGAATGTACATTGCAAACTTTAAACTTTAAAAATCTGGGGAAATTTTTTAAGACGTGATTGGTTTTTTTTTTAAAATGACCATTTTTTAAAACTAGGGGGAAAAAATCATATGGAGCCGTAGAGTATTTAAATGTCCATTATGCCCAAAATATGCTTTTTTCTTTATTTCACAAAATTTATTTTTGTTGGTGACCTGTTATTGCTTCAAAAAACGTACTCAAGGGTCAAATACCTGTAACATCTATAGCTTCTTTTGCTTTTTAGTAATAAGTATAGTTATAATGATGAAGAACTTGTATGACAGTCAAAATACGTACTAGTTTGTGCACATTAAATGAACGATAATGTCACATCAAGTGCTACTTTATTCAGGTTATAAACTTCTTAAATGCTCTAAACCATTTTTAAAACATTTTATAACTCATGTTTGCCCATTCTAAATGAGTATTAAAACATTCATTTTGAAATAAATCCTTTTTTCATAGTGTGATGGTAGCAATAACATTTTGTTTATCCCAGCAGTCAAGAGTCTGCCAATATATTTGTACATGTGCATGTACATTGTTTTTGTTTGTCTAAAGTTTACTAGCTTGAACATGCTTTGTTAATAAAATAAATATTTAAATCACGGAGTTTCTTGTCCTGTCATCATATGTTAGAATCTTAATAGCAAATACTGAAATTGTATTTTAACCAGGCTTTTTCAAGGAAAACAACCGAGATATTGAGGTATTCGACGGGCAGGTTTGGCTGGCGTAAACAAATTCATCCGTGCGCAACTTTCAAAGACGCTTTGTCATTAATTGCCCTGGCGGATATTTTCAGGGTTTAGTGATTTGATATGTTTTGACTGGGTGTAATATGAATTGAAAGGCAATATCCTTTTAATCACAACTACAACATTTAAGTTTTAACCAAATTTCTTATTGAACGGAAACCATCTAGCTTGATGCAGGCCTACAAGCTCACCTGCCAGTTCTTGGGACTCGTAGAGTCCATGTTTATGCCACTGTTACTAAAAAAAATAGAAAATCTGTTTCCAGTCAATAGGATATATTTCAATGAAACTTAGTGCGCGGTTGTGAAAAGGCCAGGCTTGTTTGCGATTGCTTTTGGCTTCCTGTGTAAAGGTCAAGGTCACTATTACTAAAAATAGAAAATCGGTTTCTGGTTAATATCTAGAGTTTGGAATGAGATATTTCAATGAAACTTTGTGTACATATAGAAAGCTTACGTGAAGATTTCGCTTGGGATTACTTTTGGATTCCTTAGGGTCAAGAAAATACCAGACATTGGTTTCCGATCTATAACAAGATTAAGAGTATTTGAAAGCCTCGAATTGGATATTGATTTTGAGCAACTGTTTCTGTTTCAATGCAGTTATTTTATACGGGGAATGTATTAATATTCCAATGACAACCAAACAATGGTGATAATTGAAAACCTGGTTTCGTGATATTGCCATGTTTCTTGTTTTATTTTCATAACCCAAACCAATCCCTTTAAATCGTTTTCTGCAGAACTTATTTTGTATAAAACTAAGATCTTTTCGGTATTTGACACAAAGCAAATGTTTATCAATGTCCATAATAAATGTTTAGGGTTCGACTCTTCACATCAACTCTCGTTATAATAGCATTAATAATGACAGGAGTCTACAAGATAGAGGTAACGGTCATTGAATGAACGATTAGCCCATACAACGCTCATTATCGCTGTTGGTTCGAATCCAGCCATTGACTTTTGGATTATGTTTGTGAGGAAAATGTCCAGCTACTTTGCTTTAGGACGGTGTTCCTTTACTTAGTTGCGGAGAGGTACACAGTCTTACGGTGTGACTTTTAAAAAGCCCAATATGCCCCAGAAATGCTATTACATTTTTTTAATTCTCAAAAGCTCTTAAGCCTTAGCCATTTCAATAAGCAACTTATTGGCCATCTACCATTTACCTGAACCTTCTTTTGCTAGTTATTATAATTAATGCGATGGAATTCAGTACTCTAATTAACATGTGACCTCGATGTTAGCTTCAGTTTTACACAGCACAGAAGTCGAAATAGTAACAACACAACGTCTAGTTATACAAGTTTATACAAGTTATATGCAAACCTTTTTTACAGGCTAAACTATATGATAGTTACTGCAGCGGAAGGCTCTTGGCTCTAAATAGGTTCTTTCTATTAAGTTGTTTAGTATGTTTATGCAGATTACTTAACGAAAATCGTTCTAAGTGAAATTTGCGAAAACATAAGCAGACACTAGTTACACCTCCCTATAGGTCCAGAAGACTGTGGCATGAAAGTGAAAAGAGAACAATTGTTTGTTTCAGAATTTCCCGCCAAAATCTTGGTCTAGAAGTCACGTGGGTTAAATGAAACCCAGAAAAAATATTGCCAGCCACGTTTTATTGTAGGATAACAAAAATAGGATGCTGTGGTAAGACAAATATTCCAGTGTTAGAAATACATGTACATTGTCTATACTTTAACATGCTAAACTAAATATTACGACACCATAAGTTATTAATTTTTATTATTGATAAAAATAAATTCTCAATAAATATAACATATCATATTATTGCACATATAATTTCTTGGTACAAATTAAACAATCATGTAATAATTAAATAAATATTAACAGAAATGTAAGCAATGCAGGAATTAAGAATTTTCTGTTTAGAAATAATTAATAGTCATTTACCTGCATCTAGCTGTTAAATAGTTTGAATTTAATAAAATCATGCTACGTAATTAGTAAATGGCATAAAAATTCGAATTTAAATAAAGAAGACAGAATATTTTTGAACTACATATCTTAAATTGGAATGGTCCATGGAAGGTGTGTAATACGATGAATTATTATGTTGATACTATCATACATAACAACAAACCAGGAAACAATTATACATAGATGTTGTTGCCAAATGTGAGCGTACATGTATATGATACAATATTACATATCTATAGATCTATATTGCAAATAATAAATGGTATAAAACAAAATATTATTATTCATCATATAAATGTAGATTTTAAATCTGTTAAAACTCTTTCAACATTTTTTTTCAAGAAATATTTTACAAGAATATCAACATGGTACATTTCATTTTCTCTAGTTTTTTTTTACTATTTGAATGTGCCCATTGTAGACTAATTCACTGATAAAATTCATGATTTTCTGTACCTAATTTAAATAATAAATGATTTTCTGTAAGTAATTTGAGTAATTCATGATTTTCTGTAACTAGTTTAAATAGTTCATGATATTCTGTCACTGTAACAACTAATCAAGGTGTTGTTATTGTAGAAATATGCTCTATTTTCTTTCCCATCTCCTCATATTCTGCAGCAACTTTCTTCATTTCAATATCCATTTCTTCATCAACTTTGGCACTTTTTTCAAACTGAGTCTGCATGAAGGTGTCCCACTCTTCTCTCCGTCTTTGTCTTTGAAGGTCAAGGAACCCAATCTATAAATAGAATCTTTATATTATGATATATACTTCCAAAATTATCAATATGACAATGGCTCTGAAGATCAATGAACCCAATCTATAAATTATATATATTTTTTATCACAATATTTACTTTCCAAATTATGACATTACAGATGGACATAAAGCTATGGCAAAAGAAAACTGTTTTAGATAGACTTTCTTCACATAGACACTATTATGGTCATTTGATATGTCCACTGTGCAGGTAGACTGGTTGAGGAAAGTTTTAGACCTCATCTTGCAAGTAATACCTTCTATCCAAGGAAAAGACACAAACAGGAAACACAATACCATTCCTATAATGACAATTAAGATGGAAATCCATGTCACATTAATGGGCCCTGGAAAGTGATCTTCAATTATAATCCCAAAGAAATGCATTTAGATTAAAAAAATAACTTTAGTACTTTTGAAGCAAAAATTAAATCACAATTTTGTAACCTTACAAAGGATCATAAATCAGTAAATATCCATCCTAGAGTCATGGGCCTTGGACAGTGGACACCAATTAGGAGCTTCAGGACAAATGTTAAGTTTCAATTTAATAAATACCCCCAGTAGTTTTGATGATGTTACATACAGAACTTCAGTAAGGATTTTTTTATGTTCACAAAGTACCAAAATTCAGTCAAAGTCTATCATAGAGTTCTGGGCCTTGGACAAAAACAATAAATTATCATCTAAAAACAAGTGTGATTTAACAATAAAATGTCTTTCCTGGTTAATGAGTTATGAAGTTACATAGTATACATACAATACTTTAACCTACTATGTATTGTCAACACAGGTTATATGTAATTCAAATATACTCATACCTCAACATTATTTTCTTTTTCTTCTATTTTCTTACAAACTTCAGCTGCAACTTTGACTGTAAATAAAATAACAAGAATAAAGATCAACAAGGCAAAGGCAACGTTCACAAAACATATACAAAAAACATATACATCAATTCATAAACAAACTTAGCTGAAACAATTACCTTAAATTAATCAGACATATTATCATTATTTATTTTTAAGTGCAATAATTATGAAAATGTTACCACAAAGATTGTTATGTATACACAGTATAAAAACAGTAACAACAACAAGATAGTGTTCCAGACATCTCAACGGTTGATAGTAAAACAATAGCCCTGATATTTCATTCAGAACTGTATGTTACACCTAAAGCTAACATATGAAGTTTTAAGTGAATAACTTAAGTAGTTGTGTAAATTGATCTTTCACACAAAACTTTAAATAACTTAGAAAAAAAACACTTCAATTCAGTTTGAATTACATGAACTATTCCTACACAATGAACTACAAATATGATTCCAATGATGTGTGAAGTTTGAAGTGGATTTTATATATGAAGATTGATCTTGCACACAAAAAATAAACCTAGATTTATTTAAGTTAACAAAGGACTATAATTAAGCTTTATTTATTACTTAAACACTGACCTAGAAACATGACCATAAAAATATGTGAAGTTTTAAGTGGATTTTTTTAGTACATGTGTAGATTGATCTTCCATTGAAACTAATTAACTACAGTCTTCTTAATATAACATAGTGTCATAATTCACTTGAAATCCATGCTGGATGCTAGAAATGTATTCTATCAGTCAATGAGCATTACACAGAACATATAAGTTAACCCTTTAACCTGCTGAATTTGTATAGTGGACTAGTCAAGCTTCCATTTTTGGAACTGTCCATTACCTTTTTTAGGGATACTGAGATGAAACGTAAAGTTGATACAACCTAGACAGGCTGCACAGATGGTGAGGGTTATCACATTCAGTTCCAGCAGTTTAAGGACTTAAAATTAAACTACAAGTATTAAACTACTGTCTTACTTTTAGCTTGGATATTTGCAAGGAATGTATCCAGGGCAGTTTGTGTTTCAGGTAAATACTGTTCTTTCATTTCCGACAGTTGATTTCTGATCTTGTTTAGTCTATCTTCCTCTCTATTACCTCTCTTTTCCTGTAAAATGAGTCAAAGTAGTTTTCATTCATAATGTTTTTTATATAATTATTCAGATAAATATAGACAAGGAGACTGCCACAAAAGAAACAGTGTATACCACTTTAATATGGAGTCATTCAAAATTAACTTAAAGGAATATTATTTAGAAAAAATTGTTTAAGTCCCTTAGCAATATTTTATTATTATAAGTTTTAACTTTAACATCAGAAGTATTTTTAATGACTGGGAAAAAAACAAACTATTTTCTTCCAAATTTCCTGAAATTCCCTTAGTCCCTAATTTGGTTCCTGTCTTTTTTTAATTGAAAAGTTTATCATTCTTCAAATGAGATATCATTTTATTTTACCTCAAACTCTTTCACAAAAGCCCTTATGTGACCTTGTAATATTGGTCTGTGGTCAAAAAGGCGGCTGTGTAGCTCCCATACATCTGAAAAAATAAATAAATTGGGAATTTAAAAGCAAAAATTTTATATATAAATATTGTCAAGTTCTTATATATTTGTATCCCTGGTGAGGTAGAGTGAGAATTCATCTTCCATCAGTGCTGAGTTAGAGTAACTACTGAAAATAAAACTTTATTTAGCGAGATATTACCCCGACACAAAATAGCACTATATCTCATTGCAGAGTACAATTGCAATTAGTTGGACTAAATGAACTGATACCACAGTAGAGCCACTGACATCCTGCTAGATACATTGTAGCTTCCTCACACAACGCCTCGAATGACAGACTATCTTCCCCTTCCCATACCTCCCCTAGATGGTTCTGCCCTAAACTGCTTCCTCCCATAACAATTTGAAAATTGAAAAATTCCAATAAGGAGACAGTTCTCCCCAAAAATATTTTTTTTGTCATTTTTCATTTTATTTTCAAAGGAATTTCATTGACAATTGTTACTTTTTTCTAACAAGATGTGAGTTATTATAGATAGGTCTACTAGGCAACATTTTTTTTAGATAAATGATTAAGGAAACAGTTACTCAAATGTGATAAGGTTCTATCTGCAATCAAGTTACAGATTTCTTAATGAAGAGTTATTGCAATTAATAACTGATTAACCCTTTCACTGCCATAGGGAAGGCTTATGCCGTCCCTGTTATTTTTGGCATATTTGCCATATGGACGGCTTTAGTCGTTTCTAAAATAATAATAGTTATAATAATAAATTAATAATAAAAATAATGATAAATTTTATATAAAGAAAATTATACCATCAACCATAATTATTATACTCACAGATTTGGAAACATATATGATTATTATAATACTAATAACAAATAATAATAATTATATTAATTATTAATATAGTAATTTCTTAGAAGACCCTCTGGCAAATAGGTGATCAATAAAAGAATAACCCTCTGGCAGCGAAAGGGTTAATGTGATTGATATTATTAGTGGAACAAGAATATTCCTGAAAATCCTGCTTAAAATGTTTTAAATATCAATTGATGTTTCGTCATTTTGAATATCTAGCTTCTTTACATTTTAACACCTATTTTACAGGTGACAGGTATTTTAATCCAATCAACACCTTCACTTTTAGAGATTGAGCCTGCGGTTGTGCCTTTGAGTGGGCGATCAATTGATAAACAAGTGTAAGTTACTGGTTCATCGGAGCGCTATTTGTTAATATATTCGTGTTTAATACCTCTGTTAAAAAAAAAATACTGCTAAAAAAAACAAATGACAATTTTGTCATTATCGTCCTCGCGAAAACTGGAGACAATAAGAGAGCATTTAAACTGTAGGTAATCACAGCCGCATTTCCTTAAATACAGACGACAGGTGTTATTCGTGAACATGTTCTAAGAACAATGATCTCTATTTATTTAAAATGTTGCTTTAAAATAGAAAAAACCTTTCAAAATTGGACTTTCTGTTATCATTTTGGTCCTTGCCTAAAACTCTAACGAATGCAATGAATTTGGTAATCTGTCATCTTTCCAGTGCGGTGCCCTTCGTAGTTAATATATATATTATCTATCTATCTACCCTTCTTACGAGTGTTATAGGCAGGAATTAAGTGCACGTCGGATTGTTAGTTAAAGGTGAAAAGAAAAGCTAAAAAAGAAAAGTCCAAGGAAGGTGAGACTGAAAATGTATGAATCTAGTCCTGGTTAAAATGTTAATAGTGAGAGAAGATGATAAGAGATAAAATAGTTTAAAAGCATTGGGAGCTGTGTTTCAGTGTTTGAGAAGTGTCCTGTGTATCAGTGTTTTAGCGCTGCATCTGCGTGTCAGTGTGAGTAGTGTTGTGTTTCAGTGTTTTAGTAATGTCCTGCGTGCCAGTGTTTGAGTACCCTGTGCTAGTGTTTGAGAAGTGTTCTGTGGTCAGAGTTGCAGTAGTTTCCTGTGTGTCAGTAGTGTTCTGTGTGTCAGTGTTGCAGTAGTGTTCTGTGTGTCGGTAGTGTACTGTGTATCAGTATTGCAGTAGTGTCCTATGTCAGTGTGTCCTGTGTGTCAGTAGTATTGCAGTAGTGTCCTATGTCAGTAGTGTCCTATGTGTCAGTAGTGTCCTATTTCAGTGTGTCCTGTGCGTCAGTGTGTCAGTATTGTCCTTTGTGTCAGTGTTGCAGTAGTTTTCTGTGTGTCAGTAATGTCCTGTGTGTCAGTGTGTCCTGTGTGTCAGTATTGTCCTGTGTGTCAGTGTATCATTATTGCAGTAGTGTCCTATGTCAGTGTGTCCTGCGTGTCAATATTGTCCTGTGTCTAAGTGTTGCAGTAGTGTTCTGTGTGACAGTGTTGCAGTAGTGTCCTATGTCAGTGTGTCCTGTGCGTCAGTGTGTCAGTATTGTCCTTTGTGTCAGTGTTGCAGTAGTATCCTGTGTGTCAGTGTTGCAGTAGTTATTTGTGTGTCAGTAATAGCCTGTGTGTCAGTGTATCCTGTGTGTCGGTAATGTCCTGTGTGTCAGTGTATCAGTATTGCCCTATGTCAGTGTGTTCTGTGTTGCACTAGTGTTCTGTGTGTCGGTGTGTCATTAATGTCCTGTGTATCAGTGTTGCAGCAGTGTTCTATGTGTAAGTATTGTGCTGTGTGTCTGTGTTGCAGTAGTGTCCTATGTCAGTGTGTCCTGTGTGTCAGTGTTGCAGTAGTGTCCTGTGTGTCAGTAGTGTCCTGTGTGTCAGTATTGCAGTAGTTTCCTATGTCAGTGTATCCTGTGTATCAGTATTGTGCTGGGTGGCAGTGTTGCAGTAGTGGCCTGTGTGTCAGTATGTTCTGTGTCAGTAATGTCCTGTGTGTCCTGTGTTGCAGTAGTGTCCTGTGTGTCAGTATTGTAGTAGTGTCCTGTGTGTCAGTATGTGAGTTGTGTCTTTTGAGTTCGTGTTGTGTGTATAGTGTCATGTGTGTAAACTTTTGAGTAGTGTGTGAGTAGTTTTTATTAATTAATATACGAAAGATTGTTAGTATTTTAGTGAAGTAGAAAGATTGTTAGTATTTTAGTGGAGTAGCGGGGGATCGAACTCGCAACCCCTAGATTTGTAGTCAGACAGTGTTACCACTGCACTACAGCGCCCGCTCTGATTATAACTATTTTGGAAGTCCCTTTATACAAACTTGAAATTGAGTAATGCAATTTAATTTTCACACCTAAATAGCTGTTAGCTCTAAAGTGTTTTACAATGGCTGACATTCGTATCCTTGCTCGAGGGGTTATGATAAAGGACTTTACAAAAACGAGTAGTAAAAAGAAAATAAGTAAGACTGTTGACAGGCAATAAAAAATGCCAGAAAAACATGTTTCGTTAAATAGAATCGCAGTTCTAATATTGACAGTAATTAAGTAAGCGAAATTACTAGTAATACTTGTTGTTAATGATAAATGATGGTTTGAGACAAGTCTTTTTAATCTAATTTTCACATGTTAAAGATAACACTGTTAGTGGAAATTAGGTGAAAAAAGTATGGTAAAGCAGCAAAACTCCAGCCTCTTACTAAATTTAAAAAATTTAATGTAAATTAAAGGTAAAACATTTTCGAGGTAACAAAGAAACTATTTTACATATCGCAAAGAACACTTTCAATCCACGTAAATTAGCAAATAAATTTCGAAACAGCAAAAAAACACCAAAAAAAACCCCAACAAAACCCCCCCCCAAAAAACAACAAATATATGACACGTTAGAATGGTATTTCCCATGCACTCTACGTCGACCAAGGCACACAGAACTTTGAATCCTCAGCTACCTACCAGAATGTAGTTGGTAATTCGGATATTGCATGGATATTAACGGTCAGTCAGTCAGTCAGTTTGAGTTTATTTATACTCGGCGCCGGTTAAACCATCTGTCCGAGAATATAGCATCCGTGCCGGTCCACTAGGGTAGTCACATCGGGGACGTCTTTTTCATGCTGAGTCTTTCCTGAAGTCCTATTCTTCGTTCGTTGGTGGTAGAGGAGTACGACAATACTGGCCAGGCATCATGTTCCATACTGGTCGATAACAAAAACGGCTCTCGTTAGCGCCAACCCTCCAGAGTTAGTCACGACAGGTCAACCAATCACCTCTGGTACTTAAGATGACTTGACCTTGACCTGCCGTGTGCCTTCTCCGCGACGTGCACGCCTCTCGGTTAACAAATGTTACGGTTATATAACAAGATATGTGTTTCCACGGTAACAACCCTTCACCATACATCGCCCAAGGCACACAGATGGTTATTCGCGTGAATCCACTACTACACGCCTGGCAAACTGTCGCTCCACTTCAAAATTGTGGTGTACGGTAAAACGAGCGAACGGCATTTCCGAGATAGAGCGGAAGGCCGATTTAAACGCCTAATTGTAAGTATTGTTATGTTTTTGTCTTGTTATTTATTTAAGTTGTATTTTTTTCGAAAAACGGAAAATGTGGTTCCGTGTAGGATTGATTTAGGCTTCCAATGATCTAACCTGTTACAAAAAGAAAATTATATTAAGCCCGGGAGAACTTTTCTCCCTGACGAAGCGAACGATGATTTGTAGAATATTGAACTTCCCAACCATAGAAATGCCATACCTTTCGGATTTCTTGAAAAAGTGTATTAGTAAATTATCAACTCGTAATGAGAACTTGTCCTTCGTGCAAAATAAATTACTCCTGAAGGATTTCTTAAATTTGTAAATCGATATTTTTCGAAAGTAGATGAGCGAAAGGGCGAGAGATGGAGCAAAAGGTTCGATGTTGAGCGCAAGGCGATATTAATTTGACGTATAAGGAGGAGCGTAGTCAATGATTTTTATAAATAAAAGCTTTGGAAGGTAAAATGGACATGATCAAGTGTTAAGACCGAGATATATATATATATATATATATATATAATATATATATATTATATATATATATATATATATATATATATATATATATATATATATATATACCTTTTAAAGAGAACTAATAAATTTGATATCCTTTCAACGACTATAGCGTAATAACTGTAATCGCGAAGGTGTCACCTATGGCTGCCGTGTAGATTCCATTATTTATGTTCGAAATTTGGATGAGGCCCGACCATTGAATCATACACATTAATGCATGGCATAATACAGGATGCCACTTATTCGAGGTCAATCATGATTTTTGACACGGTTATGTACATTTAAAAACGTGTGTCCTGCAAATGCGACAAAGTCAAATATTTTTAGGTCTACCGCGAACAAATGTTTCCGAGCAGGTACGTGTAACTCGATAGTTTACGCCAAAATGTTATGTTTTTCGAAAAGTTAGAAATTCAAGGTGAAGAACAGAAACAAAATTATGCAATGCATGGAACGCATTAAATTAAATGGATCACTACTACCAAGTTCAGTTCACAATAACTTTCTGTAATTAATAGCTCTAACGTACCTGTTCTGAGCAAAACACAAATAAGTCACGTTTTCATGAATTTGAACAAAGGGACCCGGCACACTGTTGGGATAGTGTAAAAAAAGTAATTCTAGAAATTTTTTATACTTTATATATAATATATAGACAAGGGGTGGAACTCGTCAAATCGGCCGAACGCCCCTAGTCCAGTGTAAGTCAAAATTGCAAAGTCATTCTTGGCGTAAATCATATAAGCCTATATATCAAATTACAGCTAAATGACATCATAGACGTTGACAATAACATTACTGTCCCAACTTAAACCGTTTTTTGAACAACAAACCGATATTTCGGATGATACACCATCGTATTTTTGCTAGTCGGACAAACTGTGGCAACCCGTCAACACTCGATTTTCTACGTGTAAAAACGCAATTCCAAACCATGACATTATATCAACCCGCAATAAATCGATAATACAAAACAAAAGAAACAACTTACGCCGGAAATTTTGATTTTTAAAATGTTTATAGCGTCTGTAAACAATTATTCCTGAATGTGAAAATGAAAGTTGTAATCAGATCCATTGGCTATCACGTGACCAATTTGAAACGGATTATTTCATTGGTTGATTAAAATACAAAGCATGGCTGGGTCACAGAATCGTCCAATCAACGATGTCTTACAACCGTTGCCGAGTATGTATCATGGCTTCAAAAAAATATTTTTGACGGAAGAGAAATAAAAAGAAATGAATGTTTGCTATAAATTGATTGGTTTTGGAACAATTTCCAGCAGTAAGTTGTTTATTTTGTTTTTTTTATCGATTTATTGTGGGTTGGTATATTGACATGGTCTGGAATTGCGTTTTTTACACGTAGAAAATCGAGTGTTGACGGGTTGCACAGTTTTGTCCGACCTAGCAAAAATACGATGTTTCATCCGAAATAATCGGTTTGTTGTTCAAAAAACGGTTTAAGTGGGGACAGTAATGTTTATTGTCAACGTCTAGTGATGTCATTTAGCTGCAATTTGATATATAGCTTTATATATTTTACGCAAGAATGACTTTGAAATTTTGACTTATACTGGACTAGGGGCATTCGGCCCGATTTTGCGAGTTCCACCCCTTGTCTATATATTATAATATACAATAAGTATATTTTTTTTTTTTTTTAATTCCTTTTTTACACTATCCCAACACTGTGCTGGGTCCCTGTGAATTTGAAAGGTGGGGAATCGCTATGAAAATGGTTGACAAGGTGTCAGTCGTTATAAGGATATAAACGTGTTCCAGTTATGTTTCAAGATACTTCCTCCCTTAGTTAGCATTGTTGTTTGGTTAGAATAAATATGACGGGTATATAGCAAGATAGATGTATTCTTCAACATTGAAAAACCCCGTCTCCCGATGTCCTCCAGGGGACTCAGTTGGTTTTTCGCTTGTATACAAAACTATATACTGGAAGATAGTTGGTAATTCGGATATTGCATATATATTTTTTTTTGAAACAAATGTTACCGTTATATAACTAAAAATGTGTTTTCTATATGTATAATATGGTAACACACCCTTCACTATAAATCGACCTGGGAACTCAGCTGGTTATTAGCTTGAATACCAAACTGCCAACCAGAAGGTTAGACTTATTAAAGGTATTAGATAACCATGATATCCCAACTTCAATATAATGATAATAATAATAGTAGTAGTAAGTATAATAATAATAATAATAATAATAATAACAAAATTAATAATAATGATGGTGATGATAATAATAATAATAATAATAGTAATAATAATAATAACAAAATTAATAATAATGATGATAATAATAATAATAATAATAATAGTAGTAAGTATAATAATAATAATAATAATAATAATAATAATAATAATAATAATAACAAAATTAATAATAATGATGGTGGTGATGATGATGATGATGATGATAATAACAATAATAATAATAATAACAAAATTAATAATAATAATAATAATAATAATAATAATAATAATAATAATAATAATAATAATAAAAGTAAGTATAATAACAATAATAATAATAATAATAATAATAACAATAATAATAACTAGGGAATTAAGCTTGTATTTGACCCTCCGACTGTCCATCAATGCGATGGGTTTGTTTTGGGGCATAACTGTCCATCTTTCAGTGCGAGTGCTTTCAGGAGTGATGCTCAACAGGACTGTCTAAGTAGAGCGTACCTTTACCAGGAGTTAAACCATCTAAGTCAAAATCACCGCCAAGGAGTGTGATCGTTTTACAATTTCTTGTGATAAGTCTTAACTGTCGAAGATTTTCTATATATCGTTCCTTGAAAATATACCAAACTCACGCTTCAATATGGGAAAAACAAAATGCCATATTTGATACCGAACTTGTAACATCCATCAGTTCCATCTTTTATTGCTTATTTATTAGTGACAAGTGGCACTGTATATCCGACGGTGGATCTGTTTCATCCATACACTGCCCCGAATCTTAGGGCGTTGAAGACATTGGCAGCAACGCAGTGTCACATGTTCGACATTACCAATAATAATAATAATCTTTCAGATGAGACAGTTCGCAAAGCTCAATCGGTTAGAGCGCGAGACTTGTAATCTCGACATTGTGGGTTCGATTCCCGGGCTGACCAACTAAAATTTCTAATCGGTCTTTCGGACGAGACTTTCAATCGAGGTCCCGTGTATGAGTGTTTAAACAATTGGCACGCTAAAGAATGACGAGAAGCTTCTGGAATTGGGGCATCTTTTTGCACTCATCCAAAATATAAAATGATTAATACTTTTCTGGAGGATTCGCCCATATGGGTAACCGGTGGCGAGTATAACTCAAAAACACACACTCAGATGAGACCTTAAAAACCGAGGTCCCATTTATCGGACATTAAATTGAACCCAATGAGTACCTCTGGAATAAGACAATTGCTGTATCCATGCACAACCACGAAAATAACAACCGCTTTAAATCAAAGGGCTGCGAGCTCTGTGGTATTTTCTGATCTTTGCAATCTAAATCGTACTGTATATCTGTATGTATTTTCCTGTATAAGTTTATTTTTTATATACTATAATTCATCTTGCAGGGCACCGAGTTGCATTGACTGCGTTTAGATTTTTTGCTATAACAGTATGAGTTTGATACATACGGAATTTTGCATGACAAGAGTTTCTACTTGCATCATGAAATCATTTACATGATGTATGTTCATTTTTTTTATGACAGCCACACTTTATCCTTGCATATTCTGGCTGATTTTATAAAATAGCTAAAAAAAAAACATCGCTAGTTTTAAGCTGTTTTGAGAACTACTTGTTGTTAGGTTTGTCGGGAAAAACTGTGCCTAAGGTTGAATATCAGCATTGTATTTCCTGATCTGCGATCAGAAAATACAAAAACCAAAAGAAAAAAAAGTGAAAAACTCAACAGCGAGCCAAATTCATTCTTCACTTAAAATATTTCTTTTATCATATTCTAAGATCATGCAATTAATTAATGTTTTAAGAAGTCCTATGCAGACATGTTTTCATTCTACCTATAATGATGTATGTATGTATGAAAAATGCATCAAATCTTATTATGCTCTATAATTCGTTACCAAACAAGAATTTATAAATCATTTACTTACATATTTATATTACACCTTTGAAATAATTAAAAACATAACATAGTGTTTCATAGGCTTCAGTTGTCTCCACTAATCTTTTATTTTCCTGAACAAGAAAAGATAAATTTAAAAGTTTATAGCTACATAATTATTTGATATGACAATAAACGCAAAATGCTTCCACGTGACCCGTATTAATAAATTTTCTAAGTAATTCCATCTTCTGTTAAACTGCAACCAAATATTACCTGCAGTTTTGTTTTTACTTATTGAGACTCTTTTATATATATATTTTTCTCCGCGCTGTACCTAATAGTGAAAAAGAAAACAATCGTAAGAAACATGTAATTCTGTAGATTAATATTCACTAAAATAAACCTCGAATGCCCGCTTTACTAATTATGGAAGTCATGCATTACTGAGTTTCGCAATTACGGTGTATGATTCTGACAATAAAATAACAACATTTAATCTAGCTGTCCAAAGTAAAACATTAAGTACCACAAACACAACAATTAGCCAGACGAATGAAGCCTCTGAGTTTTAGCAACTGTTTAACTTTAAGCCTCTGAGTTTTAGCAACTGTTTAACTTTTATAATTGCAGACAATAATGACGACGGCTAATGAACCACCACACAAATTATCAGCTAATGTAAACTAGAACAGGTTACTTTCAATTTAGTAAGACCTATATTGTCGTGTGAATAATTCAATCATTACTTATTCAGATCGAGTACTTTTGATGCATGCATATGCATACATCAGTCGTTTGATTTTAATACAGTAAGATAAACTTATCAATTTATGTTATATAAGTATGTACCTCTCGATATTAGATGACCCTTTGCTGACCTGTCTAAACTAAGCTGGTTATACAATGAGTTGAAATTTTATAAAGGTAATATCAATCACTGTCACCATGTCGTTTGATTTTAAAGGTAAGAAGTATCTTGTAACGGGTGCTGGCCAAGGCATTGGACGTGGAATTGCAAAATCGCTTGCTGAACTTGGAGGGACTGTGTATGCACTTAGTCGATCTAAAGAACCGCTAGATAGTTTAGTAACGGAAAATCCTGCTATACATCCAATTGTTGCGGACATTGGAAACTGGGACGAAATACGGGATAAATTAGCAAATATGGAAACATTAGACGGGCTAGTTAACAACGCAGCTGTTGTTCCTGTTGAAACGTGTTCTGGATTGGATTGGAGTAGAGATTATCTCGAGAAAGCATTTAGTACGAATGTTCTTGGAGCGATCAACGTAATTCAAATTGCCGGGAAGAAAATGGTTAAAGCAAAACGACCAGGATCTATTGTGAATGTGTCAAGTGTCACCTCGCTACAGGCACTTCCGGGTAAATTGCCGTACTGTGTTTCGAAAGCTGCTCTGGATATGGTCACAAAGCAGTTTGCTGTGGAGCTTGGAAGAAGCAACATTCGGGTCAATTCCGTAAATCCTACCCTGGTTACCACACAGAAAGTGCAGAAAGGAATAGAAGCGGGCTCCCCATTCTGCAAACTTTTTACATCGAAAACGCCAATGAAGCGTGTAGCGGAAGTAAATGAAGTTGTCTCCCCTGTACTATATTTACTCAGTGACATGTCGTCAATGGTATCAGGTACGTGTCAAGTCATTGATGGGGGAGCAGTTGCGGCGTTCAGTATGATTGATTGAAATATCAGCTAATCTTAATTACGAGTGCATGATTCCAAGTCCTTGCCGGTAATATTTCATAGTAATCTATTATATCAACCGCATTGTGCATGCATAAGCTATCGTATGCGATACGAAAAACAGTTGGGGCACCCACAGCCTATGGACACATTTCTTGTTAAAAGTATCATGATGTAAGCCTCTTAATTTATGTTCTGTGTGTATTTCTATTTGTAAATCATAATAAATGATGTACAGTCATTCCACTTCACAATCTCTCTTTTCTGTCTCTTTTTAAATAATAATCTGTTCTTGAAAAAAATTGACTAACTTCTCCACATGAACAAGAGGCATTCAAAACATTTGCACGTGTAAACTACTTTTTCTATGTTCATTTCATTATCATCATCCAAGTGTTCCCCTAGATAACCTGAAACAATGGAGCATATAACTGACATTCTGCAGAAACTTAAGTTATATGAAGATTTTAAGTAATGAAATAGGCGTTTTGCTTTGCAAATTATGACTAAATTTAAGAATTTATCACAATTTTTACTGTCATCCCGTTTCTAACAAAGTACTAGTAAAGCAATGGATATTTTTTGTATATTGTTATCAATTATATACATACAATGTGTATAGTTTCTGTGGTTAACAAGATAAAGGCAGTATATTTCATCCACTTTGGCAATAGCCTTTAATTTGGTATCTTGAATACTTTCCTGGTACATATAAAAATGCTACTTTAAAGATAAACTCACCTACTTACATGGAAGACAAACAGTGTGACACTACAGTCGCCATTGTCATGCAATGCACGTTCATTATTTTTAACCAGTTAAATGTAAAATAAACCCAGATCAGCGTTCTTGAATTCTTTTATTGTTTATATATATATTTTATAATTTATGAACATTAATAACTATATTCTTAAAAGACATTCTTGGTTTTAACTGTAGCAATTCCACGAAATAAAATTCATGCAAAATTCCACATATGACTTTTGTATTGGTTACACCTATGAAGTGGAACTGAATTGACACGATACTTGGTTCCCCTACTGTTGCTTTAACAATGACACGACACTTAGTTCCTCTACTATTGTTGTAACAATTACACGAGATTAGGTTCACCAACTGTTGCTGTAACAATGACACGGGACTTGGTTCCCCTTCTGTTGTTGTAACAAAGACACAAGACTTGGTTCCCCTGCTGTTGCTGTAACAATGACACGACACTTAGTTCCCCTGCTGTTGCTGTAACAATGACACGACACTTAGTTCCCCTACTATTGTTGTAACAATTACACGAGATTAGGTTCACCAACTGTTGCTGTAACAATGACACGGGACTTGGTTCCCCTGCTGTTGCTGTAACAATGACACAATACTTAGTTCCCCTGCTGTTGCTGTAACAATGACACGACACTTAGTTCCCCTGCTGTTGCTGTAGCAATGACATACGGCACTTAGTTCCCCTGCTGTTGCTGTAACAATGACACGACACTTAGTTCCACTGCTGTTGCTGTAACAATGACACGACACTTAGTTCTCTTACTGTTGCCGTAACAATGACACGAGACTTGGTTCCCCTGCTGTTGCTGTAACAATGACACGAGACTTGGTTCCCCTTCTGTTGCTTTAACAATGACTCGAGACTTGGTTACCCTGATGTTGCTGTAACAATGACACGACACTTAGTTCTCCTTCTGTTGCTGCAACAATGACTCGAGACTTGGTTACCCTGATGTTGCTGTAACAATGACACGACACTTAGTTCCCCTGCTGTTGCTGTAACAACGACACGACGGTTAGTTCCATGTTGTTGCTGTAACAATGACACGACACTTAGTTCCCCTGTTGTTGCTGTAACAATGACACGAGACTTGGTTCCCCTGATATTGCTGTAACAATGACACGACACTTAGTTCCCCTGCTGTTGCTGTAACAACGACACGACGGTTAGTTCCCTGTTGTTGCTGTAACAATGACACGACACTTAGTTCCCCTGTTGTTGCTGTTACAATGACACGAGACTTGGTTCCCCTGACTCGAGACTTGGTTACCCTGATGTTGCTGTAACAATGACACGACACTTAGTTCCCCTTCTGTTGCTATAACAATGACTCGAGACTTGGTTACCCTGATGTTGCTGTAACAATGACACGACACTTAGTTCCCCTGCTGAAGCTGTAACAATGACACGACACTTAATTTCCCTACTGTTGCTGTAACAATGACACGACACTTAGTTCCCCTGCTGTAACAATGACACGACACTTAATTCCCCTACTGTTGCTGTAACAATGACACGACACTTAATTCCCCCACTGTTGCTGTAACAATGACACGACACTTAGTTCCCCTGCTGTTGCTGTAACAATGACACGAGACTAAGTTCCCCTACTATTGCTGATGATATGCTGATGATATGCTTCTTATATCATTTTCAGTTTATGGTTTTAAACAAATGCTTGGTATTTGTTACAAAAACTCAAAACTTTGGCGGTGTAGTTACAACGCTGATAATCCTTAATGAACAGGATACTGTAGGTTGGAACAATGGGACGTTTTATCTTGATAATAGTGTTGTAAGTGAAACTACTAGTACTTCTTATGGTCATGTAGGTGTGAAATCATTTTCTAACGAATAAAGACGCCGTTGATTGTGCTTGTAACAAGTTGAGAATGACATACATCTTCACAAGGTTTAAAGCTCATTTCTTTTAGACTTATCTATAATTCAACAGTTATTCCAAAGACTTTATATCGCTGTGAGGTATGGTCCTCACTGTCTGAAACAGATATACTATGTCTTGAGCGATCTCATCGTTGTTGTGTCAAACATATGCAATCCTTAACAATTAGAACGTCAACAAAATTTACTTTGAGTGCGTTAGATATGATATCCCTAGAGTCGTCCAAGGAACTAAGAAAGCTACAATTCATAGGTCAGCGCTTTAAATTTAATGTCTATAATTACCGAATTAATCGATTACTTTTTTGGAGGTTCATTCTACACAATAAGTTTTAAAAACTGTTCCGGTCTTCCAATGTCGTTATAAAATTACAATCATAAAAGTTAAAGTAACAGCGTTTCCGTGCCGTAAATTTAAAAAAAATCTTTTCACATATACAATGTACATATAGGGCAATAAATAAATTAAACATTGATATTACATAATGAGAACAAACAACGATTTTTTCATGTTTCATTTTTTTTTTTAATTTTGATATCCCTTTTTTTCACATTTCATAACAAAATTAACAAAGCATTTACAGTATGTACCAAATAATCAATTTAAGTAAATAAATAATAAAATGAGCCGTGTCATGACAAAACCAACATAATGGGTTTGTGACCAGCATGGATCCAGACCAGCCTGCGCATCCGCGCAGTCTGATGAGGTTCCATGCTGTTCGCTTACAAACCCTATAACGAGTAGAGAAACTGATAGCGAACATCATGGATCCTGATCAGACTGCGCGGATGTGCAGGCTGGTCTGGATCCATGCTGGTCGCAAACCCATTATGTTGGTTTTGTCGTGACGCGGCTCAAATGTTATATAAACACCTTATTACCATTAACATTACCCCACTACGTTTGAGTGCTTATACAAAAATAAAGGTATAAGCAAAAGACACTTCAAAAACCAATTACGTTTATGATAAATGAGATTGAATCCAATTAATAACCTTTTTATAGAAAGTTAAGTGACTGAAAAAAACATTTACAAATGACAGCTGATAAATATGATTTCAGAGAGATAAAATTCTAGAGCTGTATTCAGCAAGGAGAGAAAAGATGGTTTTTGTAAGTAACAAAATAAGAGTAATTTTGTAAAGGTTTTTGTGAGTAACAAAATAATTTTGTAAATCATTTGTAAAATTACCTATGAAGTTCACTATTTCAGCAAAACAAATTTAAACCATTTTCATAATACACACATGTAGTACACACTAAGATATCTCAAGAAAAATTATGCAAAACCCCGATGATGTGCATGCAGGCGACGGATGCTCCGTAGAAACTGCTCTTTGGTCAGTATGCTACAATTCAAAACATGTAAGAAAATGTAAAGATCTTATTCTTAGAACAGTTGGCCTCGGCAAATGACCCCAAACTCCACCAAAACTTAGAAGACCACTTAACCCATCAAATATGAAAGACGTCAGTCAATAAACAATGACTGTATGAGCAAAACATTTTCCAACGATAAAACATGAAAACATGTTAAATACTTACCTTCCTGTTCCGTTTTCATACCAGAAATGTTCAATTCAAATATTCTATTAATTTTTATGTCAGAAATAATCTAAATACAAAAAATGACTTCAAACATATAACTCTTAAAGTACGCCTATTGCTAAAGTTAGTCAAATGAGTACGGATGACCAACAAGAGCGTATACCGTACATAGATCAAAACTAAATTCCCTCATTTGATTATTTTGTGAGCCTTTACATATGTGTTATATAAAATTAGCACCCGCGAATATTTAATAAACCCTGACATAACCGGTAATTTTACATCTATTGCATCAATAAATAATTATAGGTGTTTTGACCCGACAAAAGAATACTAATATACAAACAACAGAAACAACAACAATAATGCTAATATTAACCCTGAACTATTCTCCTGCTACATGGCGGTCCCTACAGCCATTCTTTATAAATTGCATGGAAATCACGAACATTTAGCACAACATTTGTGATTTACGAATTATGATTCCAGAACTTCGGGATATGTTGGCATATTAACTTTCTGAAAAATATCTGTTGCTTTATAGGACGGAAAATATCCAATTTCTTTAGATTTGACATGTTGTCCTATTGAGTAACCGTTCCATAAATTTCCATGAATTTCAATCTCTTCATCTTTATTTACATGTAACTCGTTCATACCCAATGTTTGCTGCTTGAACTTTTGCTGACCAAAGTCCTTTTGATTTAATCTTTTTTGGTTAATATTTTCTATGTCTGTTTGTTTCATATCGTTCTGATATCCTGGTCTCCCTAGTCCTACTTTTGTTCTTCTTCGAGGGTATTCACTTTGATCTCTTAAACCCGGTAATTGTTTTTCGGTAAGTTCACTGTTATCGACTTTATGATCTTCAGTCATTCTCAAACGATGTCCTCTTTGTCCACCAAAATAATACACATCGTCTAAAGATTTAAATCTTTGTGAAGCGTCTCCGTGTCTTGTTTGCATCAGCTCATATGCCGCTCTACAAACCTGCAAAATCAAATCTACATGATAAGGAACGCTAAATAAAATTCACCACTTGTATACAAACACTCCTACGCATAAAAAACACACACATCTTATATCGGATACGAAGTCGTTAAAGGTTGATTTATAGAGCCGTTATACCTAAAAAATCCTGTCAATTTTGTTTCTCAAAAACTTCTTATTTCTGGTACCTGTTAAGGTTTCCAAAAAGAAATACTTATTAGTAATATTCATGAAATGTCTTTTGCTGCTTTTGGTCTGTTAGCAATTTGTATAAGTATAGTAAATTGGTATTTTGTATTTTGTATTTATATATCACCGTGTTTGCATTTTGCTACTTTTACGACACATTGAATACTGCACGTTCAGTGCTACTGCTTCAGTAGTTAATCATCTAGCACGTTCTTATTTCCATTATTAAAACATTACTTAACACATTTCTAAAAACAAAAACAAAAACAAAAATGAATTTCTGAGGCATAGTGTGCCTTTAAAGAGGTTGACCTTTCCATTGACTGTTGGTGCATTGTAAAAGGAAATATGAAAAATAGAGGATATTGAATGAGTGTAAGTTCAATACTGAATTTATTGCACGAGTTGAATAAAATTATATTATGCGAGCCTCTGGCGAGCATAATATTATTCTATTCAACGAGTGCAATTAATTCAGTAATGAAATTACACGAATTTAATATTCTATTTATCACATAACCCAAAATAAAGACCGTTAAAAGTGAAATAAGAGTCATTTTTCATTGACGCGACTAGAGTATAACGCTAACATTTAGCGCGTCTTTACACTATGTTTGTATAACGCTAATGACGTCACGTCAAAATATATGCACGGCCGTGCAATACCATATTTACGGAGTCGCAAAATCGGCACGGGTGTGTGATAAACATCTAAATTAAAGGAAAAAAAATGTTCTTCCAGTGAATGCAGACATACAAGACATGATCACAAGGTGCTTGAACACTACGTGATGTGTGTAAATTAAGATACATTGTAATCCATATACATATTCGATTTTTTTCATCATCCGTCAAAACAGGCGAGCATTACAAAACACCTAAAATTCTAAAATTTCAAATTGGATGAAACATTAAAAAAGGTATGATATCAAAGACAAAATAATCCACAAAGAATATAACCATCAAATGTATCGTAAAATTAGTTTTAAGTATTTGCATAGTTATGCTCATAAAAATCGGAATAAATTGTCTCGTTCACTGACGTTCAAACTTGATATCTCTATAACAGATCTATACACCCTTCTTAAACATGCGTTAAATATGTATTATATGAACATGAAAATATCTGCTCTAAATATATATAATCATTCATCCATAACCGACCTCGCCCACCCCATCCCTCACCCCCACTATAACAACAAAAAGTTTGGCTGAGTTTTTTCGACAACGTTTTACGTTCATAACGTGCGCAAATCGAAACTTTTCGGCACCGTTCAAGTCAAAGTCACTATAACGTCATATTCCGTTAAAAAGGCTTATCAGCGAGGTTTTACTGTACATGTATGAACTTCCAGTTCCCTTTCATAGACAGATAAACATATATCACCGTGTATATGGAATGTGCAAAGTAAACGGACGTTTAGTCGAAATTAATTAATACAATAACGCAATCTGACTTAAGTTCAGATCTACTTATTTTTTACATAATAGTCATGTAGCTGAGCTGAGTAACACTTTATTTCCTCCATATTCGGTATACCTTAGACGCTTGTGCCATTTAAAACAAATGAGGTAACTAGCGTTGCTTGGGTTTGCACATCATTCACGAATTTGGCGACACCTCGTAAAAATAGCCTCAGTCACATTTTATTTGTTACTTTTTGAATTTTATGTACAATAAAAATATTTCTTCATTTTCTTTTCGTGGTCTTGCGTTACTAGACATAAACACGGTGTAAATAAGAACATCTGTTCAAATTATTAAAGTTGAATAACGTTTAAAATGCAACCGGAACATCTCGGCTATTATGTTCTTGTCCGAAGTTTGACGGACAGGGCCGAGAAGATGTGATTGGTCTTAAATTTATATTTTTGTGCTGCTAAAGAAAAAGATGATATAATTCGTTGATTAAAATTATCGAATCCGTTATTATGTTCAAATAGTTAATATTATATCATTATAAACTACTTTCATATTTACATAATTACCAGACGCTTAAATTATAAGATTTACATAACATTAGATTTACATTAAGATCATATCATGAAAATAAAGAGTAAAAATGAATAATTTTAGCGTCTATTCTTGTACTTGTATCAAACTTTGTTACGCTTGAGTATGTAAGGACCGGAAGTTTCCTCCACGTAACTCTGTATAAGGACATCTTACTGACCAGTCATCACTGTACGGTACCCGATAAATGCCAAAACGTCGTGCGAGAACGTTACTTTCTTACGTTATCAGACAGGATTTTCTCTAAGTCGCCATTAAACCTTAACAGTACAGTGTCGATGTAACTTTTGATTTTTTAAGTGAGCGAAGAAAATCCTCTTATACTTATTAGTGTATATTTTCAACGGGATCTCACTTCTGTATAATGTATAACATAATAACATTATTTATACGCGTATTATATTTGAATGTTCATCTAAAAACACTTCAAGGCAGAGCTGTTGATCATTTAGACTTAAATTTAATGATCAAAATTTTTGCCTTGTGTCTGTGAAGAGTTATTAGTGATGATAGCGTAATGACTTCTTTAAATACATCGGTTCGTTGTTTGTAATACCATACACGCACGCACGCACGTATCAACATTTAATATGTCGAAATATTATTCAGTTTTTGTATTTGTAATGTCTCAAGTGGAAATACAATTTTTTGTCTGTTTGTAAATATAACTAAATGAAAGCTTAATGCGATATTTAGTACCTTTATTGAACTAAACATAAGAACGAAATGACTTGCAAAAATCAAATGCTAAAAAAAATAATAAAGATAAAACACGCAAAAGACAACAAAAAATAAAAAAAGAGAAATATCGAATTTTGACAACAAAATAACTACTCGCATCTTATGTTTTATATAAATATTTGTATATTTCTTTAGGTGCCACATTTGATTTTATTGATACAATCATAATACATATTTACCTGAGACGAAAATGTACAAACTATAAAATCACACAAGGACAGCATATGAATGTCTAATATTACTCCACGAAGTGAACCTTCGGAATACCTTGTCTTTAACGACGCTAACGTTGATGCATTTTTATCACCTATAAATATATACTGCGGATATCTGAAAAGACAACAATATAGTTTGAAAAATACTTGATTGCTTTTAATCGTATCTTCAACGTTTAGGTTTAGCATTTACTATAAGCATATATAATTCTACTTAGCCTTCATTTTGGCACTATACGATTTTAAACGGGTTTCAAGTTTAAAATTTGAAAATTTTGTGCCTTTTCATTTTCAAAAGAAAGAATATTAGATGAAAAAGGATATAAGCTAACCTATGCTATCTGTTAGTTTTTAAGGCAACAAGTGTAAACACTAGCTAAATACAACTAATTTATTGAATTTATACTTGTTTATAGTTTTTTGTACAGTTAACTTTTTTGTTACGGAAAAAACCATAACAAACAGCAACAAGAAACAAAGAAACAAGACCCCCACACCAAACAAACAAACACAAAACAACAACAACTGTAGGCGTGTTGCTTCGGGTTACACCCACATATGAAATTATAGCGGACCTCGGAGGTCTTTAATTCATTTACACAGAAAAATAAATATGATAGGTAAATTCATACAAAAATATCTTACTTTTCAGATGCTTCTGTAAATACACTTGGATCATCGGTAGCCATGTAGACTCTCCGCCAGATTAATGGTTTTCTCTTCTCATATATTTCAAACCATTCATTCACATGTTCCATATACTCCTCTAATGTATGAAATTGTGCCTCACTATCTACTTTGTCTGTTCTACGTATCTGCACCCTTGAAGAAAAGTAATAAACACAAATGTAAAATAAAAACGTAATTGCCTCCACGCTATGTAATGTGCTACAGGGCATATATACTTATTTTGACATATCTGGAATCCCGTAATTTAGAAACGTTATAAAAATTATATTTAGTAACTTTATTTTTAATTAATAACAAAATAATGTGCCGGCGTCGAAAGAATTTATGAGTGATAATGCAATTTTCAAATAATTTTCTTTTTTTTCTCGCTTCTGTATAATGTATTTTAAAGTATTAATACACGAATTTGTTTCATTCTGCACTCCGATCAAAACGAAAATATCGAACACAAATGAGAAATACGATAAAATGACTCCCGTACCACAAGAGCATGATATTCAACCAATAAACATATATAGTACAATATGTAAATATATATGAGCCGCGTCATGACAAAACCAACATAATGGGTTTGCAACCAGCATGGATCCAGACCATCCTGCGCATCCCCGCAGTCTGATCAGGATCCATGCTGTTCGCTATCAGTTTCTCTACTTGCTATAGGGTTTGTGAACGAACAGCATGGATCCTGATCAGACTGCGCGGATGCGCAGGCTGGTCTGGATCCATGCTGGTCGCAAACCCATTATGTTGGTTTTGTCGTGACACGGCTCATATGGTGTATAAAGTTCACGTTAATTCTTATTTCTTTGACTACATTTATAATTTATTGACAAATGTATTGACAAACCGTTTAATGTATCACATGCGGTTTTCGAGAACGCACTGCGCCGACTTGACACGTTACAATGCTTGATTTCGACTATTTATGGCGGCAAACAGTCGCGTAGTTCATAAAAGATGTATTCTCATTTAAAGAATGAACAGCATTAAACAGGAAAAGCCGGGACATAAATGCAATTTAAACGAGTAAGAATTACATAAAAAAATTACCCGACTATGGGATATTTTAACTCTAACTCCTTTTTGCGCATGTTGAGATATTCCTCTAAATCCGGGTTTGGCCTTAATGCATATTTCACAATTTGTCCGATCCACCACACGGCCGGGTCACCATGGAAATGCAATATTCTCTCGACAAGGTCACTTGGTACAGCAAGAGGGGCATATCGTGGAGGTCTGGTCATAAACTCAAATCCGGGGAGGTAAACCACAGGGGCTTTCTCAACTTCTGGGTCGTCTTAAAGAAAACAAATATTGATAATACACCAGATTTATAACGATATATACAATGCATTTAAATATTGACATATACAGGGGGGGGGGGGGGCTATAAATGACACTTCTGTGATCGGAAAGATACTATTTGAAAAGTTCATGAATTTTGTGGTATATATCAATAATTTTTTGCAAAACTAAATAACTATGTCATTGTTATGTTCATGTACACGGCGGTTTTGATAATTTTATAAAGCATAGATATAATCTGCTAGAACAAGCAAACATGTTTGATGTAAAAACTATAAATACATCATCTTGAACAAAAATTGCCCATTACAGTGTTGGGTTGACTGAACAACAACAGTTCACAAGGATCTAGTCTATGTATCTGCCAAATATAACCGTAAATTACCACGCTTTATAGCACCGACATAAGCAGGAAAGACTTGACTTTGGCTACCTGACGGACTGAAAACAACAACAACAACACAACAAAACATCAGTGGAAACTTACCTTCCCAGGTTACATTGGGAGACTGCGTTATCGAGCAGTTATTTCCTATTGGTAAGAACGTGGTTGCCCAACCTTTACTTGCGTACCACCAACCTTCTGATTGTAATACAAGTGTTCTGTGTGTCGCATACGCCATGATGAGACAATAGGCAACACGGTGTAATTGACAACCAAAACCGCACTGGTTTTGCAATTTACACGAGAGCTTTTTCACATTTTCACATTCTTTGGGGTTCTGTAATCAAACCAAAAATAAAGTTTCAAATTTTCACATTCCTTAGGGTTCTGTTATCAAACAAAAAAATAATGTTTCGCATTTTAACTACAAACCACTTTGTTATATTTTCGCCTGACTCCCCGCAGAGTGAAAGTACGACAAAGTGGTCACATTGTATTTTCGTGATGTCGTTTTGCGCCCCGCGGAGCTAAACCAACCAGCCATACCTTTACAGCATCACGAACCATTATTTTTAAATAAAAAATTCAAAAGTTTACATTGTGAAATCTGATTGAAAAGAATTTTGAAGAGGAACTAAATCTAGACAGAAGAATTTCAACTCACACCTGTAAATATTCCAGTCTTCTTTGAACAAGATTTCCCAGCTTCTCTGATTCTCTCCTTCGCCATTCATCGTGGCCGTCGGCCGTGTTTGTAAGTTTATACATATTATTCTTAAATGTTCTGAAATGTTAAAAGACATTTTAAAAAGCTAGCTTGAAATAATAAGAATAATCAATTTCTCAATTTTGCGACAGCTAATTCAAATCGTTTTGATTCTAAATTTCAAATGTGTTGCAGATACAAGAGGAAAGGAATTGATGCATACACAAAAGAAAAGCAAACAAGAATAAGAGCATTAACCATGATTACCTTTGAAATCCACGACTTTCGTTCGCTAAATTTTTGATTTCTTTGCTTTGAACAATGTCAGAAGATAGTTTGAGGACACTTTGCAGTTTAGTGATAATATAACGTAAGAACTCAACCGTGCTTCTTTCAACCTCTCGCCGTGCTATCTCCTCGTCCATGCTGGGAACATTCTCTTTCGCTGAAGAAACAATACATTAAACGCACATTATTTTGCGTAACTTATTTGTTTTGTTTACCTAAACAGTCATGCCATGCGTACATATGACTGAAATGTTTATTGTTTGTGTGCAAATCTAAATAGCACAACCGCTACACTTTAAATGCAAATTCAAAGAAATTATCTATTAAATGATATTTACATAGAAAAGTTGTTATCAGGTTGAAGTTGTTATTTCTATCATTTTGAACAGGTACACTATATTGTTACTTTAATTATCACAACATTCTTGTACAAAATACAATGAACTAACATTACCTTGTCTTTCTTGTTTTCTCTCAAATACTTGCACTGTGCTTTTTCTAAAACATTTTTCCTTTCATTAATGTTATGTATTCTGATATGAATCAGACATTCTTACATTAAAACAAACAATTTACTGATATTCGTGTTACATTAAACCTTAATATAGGACTTAGTTTTCTGATATTCTTGTTACTGTTGTACTTACAATTTTCTGACATTCTTGTTACGGTAGAACTTACATTTTTCTGACATTCTTGTTATAAGAGCACTTACGTATTTCTGACATTCTTTTATAAGAGCACTTACATTTTTCTGACATTCTTGTTACGGAGGTACTTACATTTTTCTGACATTCTTGTAACGGTGGTACTTACATTTTTCTGACATTCTTGTTACTGTGGAACTTACAATTTTCTGACATTCTTGTTACGGTGGAACTTACATTTTTCTGACATTCTTGTTATGGGAGCACTTACGTTTTTCTGACATTCTTGTAATGAGAGCACTTACATATTTCTGACATTCTTTTATGAGAGCACTTACATTTTTCTGACATTCTTGTTACGGTGGTACTTACATTTTTCTGACATTCTTGAACCGGTGGTACCTACATTTTTCTGACATTCTTGTTACTGTGGTACTTACAATTTTCTGACATTCTTGTTACGGTGGAACTAACATTTTTCTGACATTCTTGTTATGAGAGCACTTACATATTTCTGACATTCTTTTATGAGAGCACTAACGTTTTTCTGAATTCTTGTTACGGTAGTACTTACATTTTTCTGACATTCTTGTTTTGAGAGCACTTACATTTTTCTGACATTCTTGTTATGAAAACACTAACGTTTTTCTGAATTCTTGTTACGGTAGTACTTACAATTTTCTGACATTCTTTTTATGAGAGCACTTACATTTTTTGACATTTTTGTTATGAGAGCACTAACGTTTTTCTGACATTCTTGTTATGAGAGCACTAACGTTAACGTTTTTCTGACATTCTTGTTACGGTAATACTTACATTTTTCTGACATTTTTGTTATGAGAGCACCTACATTTTTCTGACATTCTTGTTACGGTATAACTTACGTTTTTCTGACATTCTTGTTACGGTAGTACTAACATTTTTCTGACATTCTTGTTACGGTGGTACTTATATTTTACAGACATTCTTGTTACGATAGTACTAACATTTTAAGATTTAGATTTGCATAATGTACACACATGGTAGTATAACACATGGAGTAAGACATAACATAACACAAACATGAGCACAAAAACCATGACATGCATACTAACACCAGGGATAACACAAAAAGGGTAAACCTTTATTTCCAATGAGGTCCCTGATATTCTTGTTTCGATAATAACAGCATTGTACTGATATTATTGTTATTTTTATGAAAGAATTGATGTATAAACTTACATTTTGCCGACATTCTTTGATACGCTTCTGTAGCTTTCATCAGGTACGATTTCAATTTCTTTATTTCTGTGTCACAAGCATTTAATTTACTCCTGCATGTATAAAATGTATGATGGTCTTATCATTTTTACTTTAATACCCAGCACAAGTTGGCTTCAATGTTTTTGACATTATTTGTTCTCTGCCACTGTTAAATTAAATGAGTTATGTGTGGAAATGGCAAATAGGAATTAGCGCCTTAAACGAAAATGAATATTTGTCTTCGTATTTAAGGTGCTAGGGTGAACTTCGCATATACTCAAATATTGACCTGGACATGCACTGGTGAATCAACTTTAAATCGCTAAATATAATATAAATAATAATACAAATATCATAAATACCGAGTTAGATATCACAATGTACATGTTTCAAACATTTGACAGCGTTATACTATTCTGATTCTCTACCTTTTACCAGTTTACAAACAATATAATACGTCGTATATTTCATCTTTTATTTTCTTTAAGAATAAAGGTCTGGTCATTTTTCATTAACTTCATGAACACAAAAGGATTAAAAGATAGTATGACAGCTTATGTATAAATCGCATAGTTTACAATGTACTACATGAAGTTTTTTTAAAATATATCCTACGTATTTTTTACATCTAGACATAGTATAAATATAGTTCGCGTTTCTGATAGCAGCCGATAAGATCATGGTCGCTGGATTTTATTTTTTACTTGCACCTTACTGCTGTTGGTTCGACTGTTCATGTCCTGGCCCTGTGTTCACAAAGTAAAGATCAGGACCCTGGTTATATTTTGATCGCTTTAAGAAACTTAACTTGATTGATTATATGAGTTAAAAATAAAACGGTAGTAAATAAAATATATAAAAAATGCTGATTTGCAAAGAAACAAACACATTTTGGGATAAGATAGTATTGATTCTAAATCCACGAGAATTAGAAATTGGGATGTTTTTAGTTTTGAATTTTGATTCTGATCCTGAAATCTTAGTGAACGAGTCGGGTCAAATCCTTTATTCGCCGTCTTAAAAACAGTTAAATTACATCAAGCATACCCTGAAAAACTTGTTTTACATACGTGCCATAAAATGCTTGTTTTATTTGTATTTAAAAACACATTAAAACTCAATAAAATATAAACAGATAAATATACTGTATACAATAAAGTATAAAAGTAAACCCTGAAAAGAAATCATATAAATAAATGGGACAAATTGAAATTAGCGTATTAATGTATTTGAGTGAGATGAAACGTGGTTAACTGTCACTACCAGTCAATTATCACCAAATCACGATAAAATCTCGAATATATTTTCACATATACATCTTAATTGAGCCGATTATTTCACCAGTCGTCTTGACGACAGAGTACGAGGGTTCCATCAAGAAGAAAGTCCCCGTCAAGATTTCATTGTACGATACTGAGTATAGCTAAATGTTAATTTTAGCAAAATAAGATTATAAATGGAATAAAATCAAATCAGATCGCGCTATGCATTCGTGGCTAAGCCATTATATTTTTGTGGGTAGTGGTATATTATGATAAATTGCAATAGAAGACGAAGTTCAAACTGAGTTTTTTTGCTATTATCTAACGATTTCCCGTAGCTTATGTAGCCCCATTAGTTTATCAGATTATACACTGCATGGGTGGTTGAATATAAGAATTGGACTTGCTTAAAATGAGAATATTATCATACAGTTGTATTTGAACGATCACTTCTAAAATATTGGTTTTTCAATATTAATATTACAAATGAGGTTTACACCCCAATATACATGTATATATCAAAATGATAACAAAGTGCCGGTACAAGAAATAATAACTGACAAATAATTTACAAAACACAAACACACGTGTATACTTTTTTATTCATGCATTTATTTATTTATTACATTTGTGTTTTTTTTTTAATAATTTATCATTGGATATATTATAAGTTTTTCGCCAATTTAAACTGTAATAGTAAATAAAACCCTCTTTGAAATACTCGGTGCTCAACAATTTGACGTTATAATTTACGCTTTCAACAGTAAATTTAAAATCTTTTCACAATGAATCACGTTTGAATAAATTAAATTGAGCCCTTCAATATGCATTTTTTTATTTTAAAATGGCTGTACTTTATAAAGAAAAAAACATTTTTAAAGAAATAACTAACGAAGTGGTTGTTGTCTGAATGAGCTTCAAGGCCCATTATGCCTCAGAAATTATTTTATTTATGTTACACAAAAGCTTCTTTGTTCGGTTAGTTATTTATTTTCCAAAAAACACTAATTGTCCAATTACCTAAACCATTCTAACTTCTTTTGCTTTTCGCTGGTTAGTAAAGATATAGTGATTTAGTATTTTGTATGGATGTCAAAATACTACTTTGTTTACATTTTGCTAATTTCATGACAAATAATAAATATTCAGTGCTACTTTCCTAGTTTGATAAACATATTCCTTGCTCAAACCATGAATATTAAATTGTTATAAAACTCATGTTTCCCTTTTCTAAAACAGAAAAAATGTTTATTTGTTCCCGAAACATTTAATAAAGAATGGAAATCTATTGCAGGGTCGTGAAAATTCGAAATACAATGCATGTTTTATATAAAGTACGAGTACAACTTCAAGTAACTGTTTATTCTTTTTCTTATATAACCTTTAAAGCTATTTATGTACTCTATAAAAATGAGAAACTATTTGATATATTTATCATGAATAAAAACCCTAGCGATAAGAAAAACAAACTATAACACAACAATAATAACAATCATTGTGATATATCAAATCCCTTTAAATTATTAATAAAATGGCATGCATTCATATACCCAGGATGAGTGTTAATTTATTTGTTTCTATTGTGGTCTAGGATGTGTATGACACGTCCTGGCAAGGAAAAATACTATTGTATTGTTAAACATGGTAAATGTATCAGAAAATGGAAACAATTATCATTGATTGAATGAATTAAAGTTGTTCACATTATATTTAACGTTTCGCGATAACGAAACTTATATATTTATATGATGAAAATAGAGAGAAGAGAATAATATACGACGAGAAATATTTCTTTATATATAATTTTTCTGTTCTATTTTCTTTTTTTTTAACATCGGACTGTATTAATTTGTTGACTTTCCAGTTTTACTGATAGAGGGAGAGACCGTGTATCATTTCGTTCATTGCTGACCTGTGTAGAACCACCAACTGTTAATCATATCCCAAGATGTCCCTGGGGAGCGTTGTGTCAATAAAGACAACGTGCATACCATCTGAATTCTTACAAATTATCCGAATCAATAATGACGAAAACTATTTCATCAAAATCACAAAATTATCTTGTAGTTTTATGAAAAAATATTTTTACAAAGAGTTGAATATGTAATGAGTAATATGGAAAAAAGGCACAGGAATCCATATCTTTTAATTCTATAGAAATGTTTAACTTAACAACTGAAGACAGTGGCGTTGAACGTGCAGTTATGTGTCAGAAAGGTAAAATAGTACTTTGCTTCCTTACAAAATACATATTCATAATAATTATACTAATTGTCAAGAGAGCAAAAGATAGTTCATTTATGTGGCAAATGAGTATTTGTATAGAAACTGTAACAATATACCAAAATAAAAATGTTTTTGATTGATAATAATTAAAGCATTTCGGAGGCAAAATCGGCGTTTAAATAACATCTATAAAATACAAAGTTTCACTAGCAAGAATTAAACTTACTCTGTCTCGGCGACTAGAGAAATCAAAGCCGAATTCTGGTCCTGTAAAATCTGTAAGTTAGACATAGCACGATGTAATGCTCGTTCTGTACTTTGTCGAGAATCCTTATTATCCTCAATAAATATGTAAAACATCACTAGCAAAATTAGGAGCATGAACACTGGTAAAATATTTCTAAATTCCATAATTAGAACACTTTATTTTGTTATTTTCATATTAAAATTGTATAGTCTAATTCATAGTCATGTTTTTACAGCCAAATGTATTTAAACAGTAAAAATTTTTACATCAAGTTCGACCCAGTAGGCCGTGTATTATTATTACATATAAATGCGAACATAATGAGCTCTTTTCACTAATATTAATGGTATACATCAATACATTAAACACAGCTTATGTGCATGTAAGCTGAGTAAACGCCCAAGATAGAAGATGAGATACCAGGCCGCAGCTTTTGAAAAGGATGTTTTATGTTTCGACACTTTAACGACAACACGGGCGAGAAATAAAGACAAATTTAAATCAGCTAGCTTTTAACTTTTGAAAAGTAGGGTGATCTTAAATTATCCGTGTAGATAAGACTTACAATTATGCTTCAAATGATGAATGTGTTTTTATTTATAATAAAATATAACTACCCCATTTACTACATAACATACATTTTCGCTTCATGTCGTCTATTATAAAGACAAGCGAATCTTGTATAGGATATTCTCTTTAAAAATAAAAAACATCAAAATACGATTTTATAATGGTTTTCACTTCAATAAACAAAGTAAGCTGTAACCTAGTTTAATAAAATGAGCATCGCTTTAGCACCGCAAAGGCGGTACAATATGTGCTCGAAAGAAAAAAATGTTTGCGTCATTAAAATTAAGAAAAGACCATTCATGAAACTAACCCGAAAAACAGTTTATCTAACTATTCGTATTTAATTCTAATGAACCCCAGGGTGTTTTCGACCCTAGATGCATGATTCATAAAATTTTGTAGAGGTCTACTAGGTATTGCTACATGCCAAAAGCTCAAGAGCTAAGTTTTCACAAAAAAGTTTGTTTTTTTCCATTACAAAGCAAGTGACCCCTTTGGGCCTGGCCACTCTTGACCTCAGGGTCATGATTAATATAACTTTTATTGAAGACTCCAAATTGATGCTCCATGCCAATTTGGATTTAAAGTTTAGGAGTAAAAGGACATATTTTTTATCAGTTGTCCTGCTGATCAGCCTGCTCAGTGGACCGGAAAGGCTTCACAGTGCACCCATCAACAGCAACGTGAACGTTATCAAAAGATGTTCTAACTAAAGCGTTATTCGGGAATGGACTTTTTTTGCAGATCATAACGTGAAAAGATCGTTTAAACTGGCAAAGACATTAATAAGGAGAATTGATGATATGGACCAATGCAACTCAATTAAATATCTCACGAGTCTTAAGAATAAACCGTGTTTAGTGCATTTACTTTGCATATGCTAAACAAATAGTAATCTGAGTACATAGCAATAATTGATGAATGCATCAATAATCCCCTGTGGATTAAAAATAAAATACAATTGAATGCCGAATTTAGTTCATTGAGTTGCAATCAAGTAACATGCCCTGAGGTTTCCTTTCACCAATAAAGCATGAAAATTGCCTTATAGCTCTTGCAGTGTCAGCTTATCTTGTTTAAAAAAAGAAATCTGATTGACACGTATAGCATAGATCATGAGTACAAGTTGGCAACGAGCGAAGCGAGTTGATAAATCTCACATCCAACTGGTACGAGCGATCTATCTGACTTAGTACCACAGATAGATTTCTGTGTTTAAGGTGAAGATTAAAAATGGGTAAACGACTTTTTTCTTCGACAATTACATAGGGATAACCAAATATATCTTATTCAATCTATTTGGCCTTATTGTAGACAAACAATTGCACGAGAAAATGGCATAGTTCATGTTCTTTTATAAGTTACTGAATACACAATCTTATGAATAATATATTTCATATTCCTTAATAAATTTCTATCAGAAGAAAATTGGGAAGAATTTAAAATTTCTGAATGTGATAACATTACAATTTCGCAACTTGAGTGTATATAAACTCGGGATTTTGTTGTTATTCCTGTTGATTCCTCATTTAAACGATTTAATGACGTAACACCGTACCGACAGAAATCATGGGCGATGTCTGCTTATCAAGAAAGTGGCTCGTTGGAGAAACGGGCAGGTAATTTTCATTAAGTTTTCCTTAATGCCTAAACAACCCTAGGAAGCAGGATATTTGTTGGTTGTCCGGCTGAAGTTGAAAATATTTTACTTGACGTATAGATTCGTTTATTTACTGTATGCTTTATATACACCCTGCACTGGCTTTTTAAGCTCATTCATGAACTGAAAAAAAATATTACAAACTTCCCTCTGAAGCCTTAAAGCATAGCATTTCCTTAGCGTTGCAACAGCAGCGCAGTCACCGTTCCGAAACTCCACCCACTTCCCCACCAGTGGAATCCCCTCTTGCCCAAACCAGTAAATGAATGTACATCTACACTGTCTGCTAATAAGAGTGAGCCGGGCATAATTCAGGATGCGATTATTGAAATCACACTGCCTGAAAATAATAGCACCATCGTCTTAAACAAAAGCGGTCGTAAAATTTAGATCTAGATTTATAGAGATTGATAAACGCATTTCATTTCATTATTAATTGTTTTTTTTTCTTACTTACAAATACATAAACTATTCTTGTAAAATGATGAAATTATGAAATAAATTGGTCAAAGGTCTATTCCTATCTTTTTGTTTTTAAGAAGGGAATGACATTTTCACTTCACTATATGTATTACATAGAAAATTTCCCCGCAAAAAGCATGCACATAACAGGATTTTCCTTTCAGTTGAATACAAACATGATAGTTATATGATTATCAAACACTTTACTGTGATGTGTGGGATATATCAAACACTTTTAAACTTCTCTGGTTGGCCGAGAGAAAACAGCAGTGGTCTAAAAGTATGTAACAGATTAGCGATCACATTTGTTTCCAAAGAAAAAGTTTTGTCATTCAATTTCTATGGAGTTTACACTTTATGAAAAAAACAAAAAAAAACAAGAGGACCAAAAAGGCCCTATTTCGCTCACTTAAGAAACACTGTACCAAGACACAATGCCTGGTGAGCTATCAAATAAGTAGACTCCGTGCTGCTGGTTGCTAATGTCTTAGTTTGTCTGTTATTATGTTTTTATGTCATATCCCAGTGGTGTATCAACCTCAACGGCTTTCCATGATAACCAGTAATTACCAAGTCTTCACAAATGACCGTTTCCTAATACTACTTATTTCTAAATCACCGGTGAGACCAAGATCAATTGTCACGGAGTCAAACCATGGTAGTTTTGATTTCTGATGAAATACCCACAAGGTATGTTACAGTGTAAATGTCAACAAACATAATGTTATTTTGTTTGTTTGTTTCATTTTACGCCTTTTCCTAACAATATTTCAGTCATATAGGCGGGTAGTTTCCTAACCATCGTCCCTGGAGAGTTACACCAGTACTAGACTACCTTCCTCCGTGCTAAACTACCAAAGCATCTCCCGGGGATCGAACCCACGCCAGAGAGGTAACTGGATTAGAATTTTAAATTATTTTATTGTCAAATAGTACATATATTACAAAAATACAAAAGATTGAAAACCTGTTTCAAAACATATTTAACACCTGGACTGCGTTTCATAGAAAGTCATAAGTCCTAGCACAAACTTAAGACAGTTTCAATAAATATTTTCATCTTCGGTAAAATAATTTATAGAATTTTCTTTAATTCATTCTTCTGAGAAAAGTTACAAAATACGATGGCACACGCTACAATCATCAATGTGTAAATGTAAATCTGTACCGCTGTTCAGAAAGTGAAGAGTCTTAACATACAGAGTCATAAGTTAGGACATTAGCTTTGAAATGAAAACTGTCTCAGTTTTTGGTCTTAAGACATACATTAGACTTAGGACTCAAGATGAAACGCAACCCTGTACACAACGTTACCGATGAAACTGTGTTTTAACAATAAAATTGGTTAAAAAGAATATTAGTAACCATTGATGAATATACAAGTTCTGTGAAACAAATTTATTATTTTTTTCAATGCATAGTTTCTACAATATGGATCTAATTACAAATGTAATTCATTTAACAAACAATGTAGATGGTCGATTAAGCTATTTTCTGCATCCATTATCGGACCATGTCATATGTCTTAAGTACAGTTAGTGCAGGCAATCGTAATCACCTTAAGGAAAAGCGTTGTTGTTTTGCATGTTTTGAGCCCATTTGGCTGAAGTATTCAAATGACATAATCTAAAAGTTACTGGTGTCATTTCTTCACAATACTGTCACATAGCTTACTCTAATTTTCTTGAAAATCATGACATTAAATACAAAATATAAAGTCAATCGTTTATGAGAGAAACGAACGTTTATTTATTTGTTTTTGTGAGCATACGGGCGCATCCATGATAACGAGACCGAAAATGTGATGTCATACACCCACTTCCGGTTAAATCGCGCACTATGAAAAATAACAGCAACAAATCGACTCTGCTGGATTTTTTCCCCATTTATTTCACTGTGAAATAATCATTGACGAAAAATTTTGTTAACTGATAGCTTGGAAACTGTGTGTATCTATTGTGTAGCTATAATTTAAGTCAAGATATGTGACAGGATCACAAAATACAGGTATGCCGCTGGGCCAGGCATAATTTTGTAAACAAATCGACTTTGGCTTTCTCTGCTGGACTTTTTGCCTTTTATTTTATTGTAATTTAATCATTGCGAAATACTTGGAAAGTGTGTATCTATTGTGCAGCTATAATTAAGCCAAGATATCTGACAGGATCATCTGTGTTTTTAAAGTTAACAAGAGCTGTCGGTAGGACAGCAACGCTCGACTATTCTTAGTGCTTGATAGTAAAAAAAATGCTTGATAGAGTTACCTCCTCCTGTTTACAGGTTGGGGTCAATGATGGTGAACAAGTGTGCAAAGTTTCAAAGCCATATGTCAATGGACTTTGAAAATATTTGAACTATTACAAAAACTTTAACGTAAATTCTAGGTCGAAAAAGGGGCATAATTCTGTCAAAATGCTTGATAGAGTTACCTCCTCCTGTTTACAGGTTGGGGTCATGATGGTGAACAAGTGTGCAAAGTTTCAAAGCCATATGTCAATGGACTTTGAAAATATTTGAACTATTACAAAAACTTTAACGTAAATTCTAAGTCGAAAAAGGGGCATAATTCTGTCAAAAATGCTTGATAGAGTTACCTCCTCCTGTTTCCAGGTTGGGGTCATGATGGTGAACAATTGTGTAAAGTTTCAAAGCCATATGTCAATGGACTTTGAAAATATTTGAACTATTACAAAAACTTTAATGTAAATTCTAAGTCGAAAAAGGGGCATAATTCTGTCAAAATGCTTGATAGAGTTACCTCCTCCTGTTTACAGGTTGGGGTCATGATGGTGAACAAGTGTGCAAAGTTTCAAAGCCATATGTCAATGGACTTTGAAAATATTTGAACTATTACAAAAACTTTAACGTAAATTCTAAGTCGAAAAAGGGGCATAATTCTGTCAAAATGCTTGATAGAGTTACCTCCTCCTGTCTACAGGTTGGGGTCATGATGGTGAACAAGTGTGCAAAGTTTCAAAGCCATATGTCTATGGACTTTGAAAATATTTGAACTATTACAAAAACTTTAACGTAAATTCTAAGTCGAAAAAGGGGCATAATTCTGTCAAAATGCTTGATAGAGTTACCTCCTCCTGTCTACAGGTTGGGGTCATGATGGTGAACAAGTGTGCAAAGTTTCAAAGCCATATGTCTATGGACTTTGAAAATATTTGAACTATTACAAAAACTTTAACATAAGTGGTTACGCCGACG